ATGCCAGTTGACTCAATAACAGACCTTATGATACAGCACGCACGTGCTAACCCTTTGGCCATCCACCCTCCCCCCCCCCCCCCCTCACCAATGTCAAAGACTTTGGATGATATTGAGTTAGAGACTGAGCTACTTTAATTATGAAGATTTTATTTTTGACAACAATCACATCACCTCTACCCAGCCTGTTACATATAAATAATACATATATACTATTCAAAAAAAGTAGGGGATATTTGATTTTTAAGTGTTATTAAAGTCACCTAATGAAACTGACGAAGAAACAAATGACAAAATGAAATGAAGTTCACATTCATCAATTTATTCCAAATGATCGTTAGACTAAGTAAGGCACAGACTGACCATTATAAGGGTAAAATGATACCCAGGGTCAAACAGCAAAGTTACCACAGCATCACAACCAAGTCAGTAACGGGTAAATCCTCCTCTGTTTGCCAAACAAGCATTGATCCGACGTGGCATACTCCTAATGAGACGTCTAAGGTCATTTTGGTCCAGATTGTCCCATTCCTGTTTCAACGCAGCAGCAAGTTCTTGGGACATTGGCAGGACGTTGTTGACGTTGACGTAACCTCTGTCCAAGCATGTCCCAGACATGCTCGATGGGGGAGAGGTCGGGACTCAGTGCTGGCCAAGGTAATGTGGTGATGTTCTGTTGTTGGAGGTAACCTGTAACGATCCTGGCCCTGTGACATCTTGCGTTGTCATCCTGGAAGATGAAACAGCGGCCATGACGTCGTGCGAACGGCACAACATGGACTGCCAAGATGTTGTCCCGGTAGTACTGGCCTGTAACACGCCCTGCAACAACATGTAAAGCCGTTCTTCCAGCAACAGTGATGCCTCCCCACACCATAACAGAACCACCCCCAAATCGATCATGTCTGATGACGTTAACGTCTTGGAAGCGCTCGTTTCGACGACGCCACACCCTCCTACGTCTGTCCAAAAAATCAACAGTGAACCTTGACTCATCTGAAAACATCACATTGCTTCAGCGTCGATTATCCCAGTGTTGACGATCCCCACACCAACGACGTCTTGCCTGAATGTGATGATCTCTCAAACAAGGGATCACGCGAGGACGTCAGGCGCGAAGGTGACCCCTATGCAGTCGATTCCGAATCGTCTGGCCACTCACTCTCCCACCAGTGTCTGTTTGAAGACGAGCGCTGATCTGATTTGCTGTGATGACACGATTTCTCAAGGCCAAGGTACGGATAAATCGATCCTGGGCTTGAGTTGTCGCCCTTGGTCGACCTGAGCGTGGTCTGTCCTGTACAGATTGTGTATCACGGTATCTGGACCATAGCCTGCTTATGACAGACTGAGAAACATTCATCGTCCGCGCCACAACCGCCTGTGTTGTGCCGATCTGTAGCATGCCAAGGGCACGTAACCTTTCATTTTGGGTAAGCCGACGCATATCAAAATTTGTTTTCTGGTCACTAAAACAATTAAACTGATGTTTCCACCCTGGAATTCAATGCCACAATGACTGTAACATTCAAAGTCAGAGTCGTGCAAATCTTGGGTTGGACCCCCATGATGATCCCAAGCATCACCTGCATTCCATGCGGTAGCTATTGGTGCGTTTGGGTGTCACATGTAACTGGAAATGTTTCTTCTGTTAGGTTCTATAGTGACTTTTTTCGTAGTCATTTGCATATTTTAGTATTATGCCCCCAAAATCAAATATCCCCTACTTTTTTTGAATAGTATATATACATATATCTTTAAGTTAGGTTAGAGCTATGGAATACTATGGTTAATATCAAGTAAACTTAGAGCTATAGTATAGAATAAATCAATAATATAGAACGAAGCTCTAAAGCATCGCGCAAAGCGCGGTGCTTGAGCAAAGCTCTCTTCCGGTAACACAGGAGCGTAACTGAAATTGTCACCCACAGACTGTTGATTAAAAAAAATTCAGACCGGAACCGGATACACTGGGCAAAACAGGCAATGCGCATGTCAATAAATGACGCGTCTAATAAATGACGTCAAATATTTTTGACGTGAATGAAAATAATTCTCACACTTTTTTGTTCTTTTTTTGAAAACAAAATTAATGTATACAATTTAGATCTAAATGAAAATCAATTTGGAAAAACTAAATTATTTAACATTTTTTGTATCACTTGAGAAAATTAATTATTAAGGTTTTATATTTGACAATAATCAGCTTCGCTCTACTCAGGCAATGCCTGTTACATATTACTAGTAATTGTTTTATGTATCCTGATCTGAGGCTGGATTTGATATCAAAGAGTACCGTAACATCTAACAGGATTAAATTTGATGCAATGAAATTTTATCTCACCATGTTGATTGTTTACTTTTGTAGCCAGTGTAGTAGCCTTAGGCTTAGACTTTGGTTTTATAGTTGTCTAGATTGTGTGTTCAATAAATCTGTCGTAGTCTTGACTTCAAGTTTTAGAACCTGAACTGTCACTTCCAATATACAAGGGGTATTAACGCCCGCTTCCAGCTATGCCGATATCGTATCGTAGACAATTTGTCTCTGGTGAACTTGGAAACGTTGCTTTCATTACAGACGGAGACGAATTAACACAATGGAGGTTAATCTAAAATCACTTCCGGTATGCGCAAACGTTAAGGTTGTATTTCGATTATAGACGGGGATCAACCCAACACGAATAATTCATTGTCTGTATACATATTGGGATAAATAGTGAAGTACTTTAACTGGTCGTGATTGTGGTACAGAATGATATAAAACTTCATTCAATAATAAAACTTGAGCCGGGTTTCCTATGGTCATTACAGACTGAGATCTGGCCATTTCCTTTTAAAGAAATCTCTGCCAGGGTTAGAGCCATTTCTAAAGGCCACCTTAACCCTGGACCTAGCCGTAACCCTTACCCTAACCTTAACCCACAATCTCATCGACAATCACGTGCCCTAGCCTTATCTACATCTCTTCATTAGGGTCCCTTCTCAGGCTTCTGTCGGTATTAGGCCTACTGTCTTATAAAAATCAAAGCTAGAGATAACAGAAAGTGCTTATCAAAAAATTTAAGAGAGAGAGAGAAACAGGGTTTAACATTCACTAGACACAAACTAGGTCATTTCAAGGCTAACACATGGTTGAATTTTTATTTCAATAATTTGCTTGCGCATAGGGATCTTTAGCAGTGGGAGGAAACCGGAGGACCCAGAGAAAACCCACGAGGTTGGACAAGTCATTACCGATTTTACCGGGTCAGTAGTGGCCTCTCTTGTAATTTATTGAATGCTGGAGGTAAATGGTTTTCTTTGAAGCGCTTCATCAATTTGTTTAGCTTGTAATATGGGTAAGTACTACTACTCAGTTTTGTTAATCAATGGTTTGTTAATATCACCCTCTGTATGGTGTATGCCTGTTTTCATTAGCCCAGTTTAGAAGCAGAACCGTATGACATTAAACCTCATTTCATTTCATTTCATTTCAGTATCAGGAATTATGTCACAATTCTGCGATCTGTAATGACATTAGGGATTGTCTTAAACGAATAAATAAAAGGAATTTGCTGTTGATAATGTATTTAAATGTTATTGATCAAACAAATAAGAACTATGATCCTCAAACTATGTTTTCTTAATATTTGTTCCGTTCACAACTTATCTGATGGTGTAAAGATAGAGAATCTTCTACGAGTCTTTTTTGATATAAAAAAATATCAACACAAATCGATAAAGTAAAAGCTGAGTTTTTTTTTACTTTATCGACAAGTGTTGATATTTTTTATTATATCAAAAAAGACGAGTACGGGATTTTATTTATCACCCAATCCTTTCTTACATGCACAAATAAATAAATATAATTCTTTGCTATAGATTTCACTTTTACTGAACCTGATTACATTATGGCGTAGTGATATATCATTTTTTGACAGCAATTCAACCATATATAACCATCTGTAACATGTTTGATTGTATGCTTGATAACGGTGAGAGTATCCTCATTAAAACGACATGAAATATGAAATTTGAAAGGAGGTTTAATGTCCTACTGTTCTGCTCCTACATGTATACTGGGCTATTGAAGACGGGCATACGCCATACAGTGTGCTATGAGGGAAATTTTGCCCGGGAAGTGGCAATATCAAATTCCAACTGCCAAGGGATCTTTTTACGTGCATTCCAATGTATACACGGGACCTCAGTTTTCCGTATCATCCGAAGGACTAGACAGCAGTCCTTGTCAGGCCCTCCGTTCTGCACCACTGACAAGGGGAAACCACGTCGGAAAATCCTGATGAACTTTCTCGGCCAATGTAGGGATCGAACACCCGACCCCCAGGCTAGCGAGCCAGCGTCTTAACCAACTAGCCACCATGGCTCCGCCTCATTGAAACGTTGCAGTTAATAAACCTAGTGAATGTTATCCATAAATTTGTCTGTTTATTTTATTGTGTTTCAATCAAAGACAATTAAATAAAAATAGTTCCTTTTTTATAAAAAAGAAGTTACTTTTTAATAAAAAAAAATGACCTGTTCTTTGAAAATAAAAAAAGTAGTTCCTTTTTGATTGACCAATCAAATCCATAAAATTGCTCACACAAGCGATATCTACGGTAGAATGTATTATTAGGTGATAAATTCTATATACATGTATCAATATCAAGAACTGAATATCGACATGAATATTTTCCCATACTTGCTGACAATTACCAGCTATATCTACACTTTTCGCCAGGCCTAATTATAAGCCACTATTTCTTATCCCATGCTAACAAGATGTTATTGACACGTGAATTCACGATACCCTACCATAAAAAAACCCATGAAATATGAATTTTATTTGCAATGTTTACATGCTTTATTAAAAATGACCGACAGTGGAAATTTTGAAATGGAAATCTTGGATGGAATTCAAGTATAAACAAATCATTGTTGTTTCTACATTCTTATGCACACAATTAATATATTAAATAAAATAAAAAATTGATATCCACACATTTCATTTTCTGCGTTTTATTGATAATATTTCCATATCATTATACATACATTATGCAAGAGCTAAATCTGCCTATTGCAGGTCTTTCTTTGGGCCTGAAATGTTATCTAAATTATTAATTAGACATTTATTAACTTAGCCAGGCCATAATCAACTCTCGACGGCATCAGATTACTCTGATAGTAAATAGATTAGAACAGTTCAGCCGTATTTTGATTTAAGCTAAAAATGGAGAAGCGAGACATAGCTTCGAACAACCAGTACAGTGGTTGAAATTATTGCACACGCCTTGTCAAACCTTCAAAGGCTAATACATGTATCTTCGCTCGCAATAGAGCAATTTGAATAAAATTTTCAAATTATTCATTTTAGATTATCTATTTTCGAACTATGATAGCAAGAATGGCTAGCTTTTTATCTAAATCTAACATAATGTATCACATTTATAAGCCCTGTCCAGGGGCGCAAAAAATTGTTTTAATCCACTAGCCCAGGGCTAGTAGTCTACTGTCAGGCACTAGCCCGGCATTAATATCCACTAGTCCATAGTTTGACAAGATACAAGATTTAATCTTCAATATTTGGGCATGTTTTGTTGCCTGCCAACCTATCGTTTTTAATAAAGATCGTAGACTTGATTGCCTAATAATTAAGGATGTATAAGGCTACTCAGTTAACCGGTCACGGTTCGGTTGCACTGGTGAAACAGTTAAAAAAACTACAAACCGATATTCGTTTTCATATATCTGACCTTCAAAACCAGGAATGGTAGCCACAACAATGTTTTCTTTCACTAAAGACAATATAACTACTTCATATAGAACATTTCATTTATAATATATCACGGTAAATTAACGGCCTTTAATTCCCGCTCGAAGATTTGTATACTTACGTTATTATTAGCACTTACTGCAAAGCACGAGATAGCCTCAACTGATTGACAAATTAATTGTTTTACTGTATTTATTTACCTGGTCACTCTATAAAGAGTCTCAAAATGAAACAAATCAGTTTGATGTGCTGATATAATATTAAAATAGACAGTATAGTAAAATTGTTTATATTATCACTCGAGTGCCATGCTGTGTGCCGATAGGGTCAAAGTTGACGACACACGGGTCACTCGAACCATTCATCATGGCGTGTGTGTAATGAACATGTGTAGTTAATTCTTTGGAAATACCTGACATGTTAAATAATCAAAATTATCTTGTATTTAAAAATACAAAGGTATGCTTTCAAATATTTATGTCAGAACTTATCTAATATAAACTATAAGTGAGTCTTTTGTTTTAAATGAACCTGATTTCAACTGGTTTATACGTGAGCTGTCAAGAATGAATGAATAGAAGGGGTTTTTACAACCCTGGTCCTGTCGGAGCATAAAAGTAGGACATTAAATCCCACTTTATTTCATTGTTTTCCCATACATGCATGAATTAGCATGTGTCTCTTTAGAGTATCTCTTCCAGTATATGATTTACTACAAACATCACATTTATAAGGTCTCTCACCAGTATGACTTCGCACGTGCATTTGCAAAGCACTACTCCTGATGTATGATTTACTACAAACATCACACTTATAAGGTCTTTCACCAGTATGAATTCTCATGTGAAAACGTAGAGTACCATTCTCAGCGAATGATCGACTACAAACACCGCATTGAAAAGGTTTCTCTCCAATATGAATTTTCTTGTGTTTCCATAGGTTACCTCGTTGAGTAAATGATTTACTACAAACATCACATTTAAAAGGTCTCGCTACAGTATCAGTTATTGATTCCTGAAGTTTAATTTTGTCTGTGAATGATCCACAATTAGTTCTCACATGTTGCAGTAGACTACAACTATGTCTAAATGATTTACTACAAATATCACATATATAAGGCTTTTCGCCAGTATGAATTCTCATGTGTTGCTGTAGAGCGTTTTTCTGTGAAAATGATTTACTACAAACATCACATTTATATGGCTTCTCACCTGTATGAATTCTCATGTGTACCTGTAGACTTTGATTCTGTGAAAATGATTTACTACAAACATCACATTTAATTGGGTTATCTCCACTATGAATTCTACTGTGTATGTATAGACCATTTCTCCGTGAAAATGATTTACCACAAACATTACATTTATAAGGTCTTTCACCTGTATGAATTCTCGTGTGTCTTTGCAGATCATTACTCTTGCTGAAAGATTTATCACAAACATCACAATTATAGGGTTTTTCTCCGGTATGAACCCTAATGTGTCTCTGTAGATTACTATTATAAGCAAATGATTTACCACAAAAATCACATATATGATTCTTTGCTACACCCTGACTGTCAGCTGATTGTAGGCCTACATCACTATCATTACCAGCTTTCAACTCTTCTTCAATATGTATTTTACAATGTTTCTCTAAATCAGTGTCTGATTTAAATTCTTCATCACATAAATTACACTGATGAACTGTTTCAATATCTTCATTTTTCTCTTCTTTAACATGACAGTATTCAGCTACATCATTGGGTTTTTTATCGTCAAAATGAACATGACAATTTTCACCCACATCATCAGTTTTCTCTTCTTTAACATGTATTTTATTGTGTTGTTCTAAATCATCAAGTTGTTGGAAAATCTCATCACATACAACACACTGATGGAATGTTTTAACATCATTAGTTTCCTGTAATATATAAAAGTTATAACATCATTAGTTTCCTATAATATATAAAAGTTATAACATCATTAGTTTCCTATAATATATAAAAGTTATTACATCATTAGTTTCCTGTGATATATAAAAGTTATAACTTCATTAGTTTCCTGTAATATATAAATGTTATAACATCATTAGTTTCCTGTAATATATAAAAGTTATAATATCATTAGTTTCCTGTAATATATAAAAGTTATAACTTCATTAGTTAAACATGCATTTTTCTGTAACATGTGGAGAGCAAGTTCATATATGTGAATTTAGCTGGAAAAATTAATAACTGAGATTTTCACAAAAATATAAATATACTATCTATGGACCCAAAAGATCAAAATGGCAATAAAACATCTTAAAACACCTTTATTTGGACTTTTTGTAAGGGTATCACATCCTTAAATCTTAAATCAAATAACTCACTGCCATCATTTATTTCCAGTTGACACAAGCTGTTGCCGTGGAAATATGACAAAATTTTCCAAGAAATGTATGGGGAAGAGGTGAAATAAATCAATAGGGCTCATCCTCTCATTCAAGATCTTTTCATCCATAACATATTTATTAAGTTTCATCAGAATGGGACAACAATTGCAGTCCCCCTTGGAAATGAAATGGAGTTTAACATCCTACTGTTCTGCTCCGAAGCCTCTCTGGAGGTTCTGCAAATTCATACATTTTCACATTTTGTGTAAAAAGCAGGGGCTATAGCTCTAGAAAGTGAGTTCTGCTTCGTACCAAAGTTGATCTCATCCAACAACTTTTGATCTTTAACATTTAGTTTAAGTTTTATCTCATGAATCGGACCAAAATTGTAGCCTCAGGGAGGTCCACAAACTTCATTCATATTTCACGCACCAAAATTGAACTCATCCAAGAGCTAGTGATACTCGTTTTAAGTTCATCTAAATCAGATAAAAATTCTGACATCTAGACGGTCCACAACGTTGGTATTACATGCTATTATATTAAGATTCTGACATCTAAATGATTTTATATTATTTGAATAAAGGGGAGTGGTCATTTGACTGACAGTTTCTGTCCGATTTTCAGACAATTTGGACGTAACATTGATATATTTGAACCATTTTGAAAGCAAGATAAAATGGTGACCTCTAGAGGGTCCACAAGCTAAAACATGATATTTCGTACAATCATGCAGTGGTCATAATCAAGAAAGTTACAATCCAATACGCACCAATATCGAGAGGAATCCAGACCTTGAATAAAAATTAGCACCTCTGGATGGACTACACCGTGGGTATAGAGCTGACAATATCCCTGGACATAGATATCGCGACATTTTCAAAAAATGTTGAGATCTTTCGGTTATAAAAACAAACATAGTCAGTTTCATCAAAATTGTATAAAAATTGTGACCTCTAGCAGAGTGTCCACAACCTTGATATCAAGTTCAGCATCGCAGGAAACCACCATTGACTGTTTTTGCATGGTAAGGGATTTAGAAAAATTAAATTTCACTTCATTGCTGAGTAATTTCATTAGCCAAAAAGCGTCTCCTAGAAGGCCCCTGTACCCTAGCCCAAGGTCCTAGGATGGTAGTCCCAACCCAATCAAGAATTGCTTCCACCTGCCCTGAAATATATCGTTTGTCATAATGTACAGCACATTGATCACGCACTGTAATAGACCATTACAGGAAATATTTCCTACGCTGACTTATTACAACCGAATATTTCTATAGGCCTAATGTATGATACTTTGTATTTGTTTGTATCTGTATTTCTGTCTGTATTTTTATATGTAGGCCTACTTTTGCAAACGATAAAACATTTCCTGCACTTATATATAGATGGTTCTTTGATATTCATAATTTCCTGTAAAAGTAATCAATTAAAAAACGAGTTAGAGCTATATACATGTAATATAATTGTTTGTTGTTTATTAGTAATATTACCATGTCGATTAGCCCTATTCACTTGTTTTGTTGCCCGTTGGTTTTAGAACAGTCGACTTCGTCTTCCACGAAACCCAACAAGTCAATGTCGTAACAATTACTATGCAGTGATCAGGGGTGTTAGCGTCCACTTCCAATCACACTGATATCGTAGACAATTTGTCGCTAGTGAACTTAGAAAAGTTACTTTCATCACCGACGAGGCGATAAGATAGCCATTAATCTAAAATCACTTCCGATTTACGAAAACGTTTTAGTTGTATTCCGAGTCTAGACGCGGATCAACCCAACACGAGTAATTCATTGTCTGTGCATGTACATTTGAAGGGTGAAAAACATTAATTTACCGGTGGTGATTTTCGTACTGAATGATATAAAACTTCATTAATTAATAGTAAAAATTTGAGAATGTCCCAGAGCTAGAAAAGAATCTCAAAAACTATTGAACAAAAGGACATTATGTACAACAACCCTAGCTGATTGTCACTGATGTAGGATGGACAGCTGTCTAGTTGTTCGGATGGCACAAAAAAAACGAGGTCCTGTGTGCATATAAAAGATACCTTGGCAGTTGGAATTCGATATAAGAGTAGGCCATAGTGCTGTTGCTTGGGCAAAATTTCTCTATCATAAACTATCAAGCAAATTTACCCTCAAGCCGTGCCTCACAAGTTATATTCAATTGAATACCCGTTAAAATAAGACAGCTTTTGTTTACAGGGATGGGGTGGGACGACATATTTGTTTTAAGTTTTCAATTTCAGGATTTTTGTACCGAAGCAAATGAACACCCTACTACTATTCAGGACTATTTGTTTGCTTTATGATTTGCAATCTGACGAAATCTGCTCCGATGAAATGTGGTTTAACGTCCTCCTCTTCTGCTTCGACTGGGCTACAGTGTGCTAATGAAGACGGGCATATGCCATACAGTGTGCTTTGCGGGAAATTTTGCCTGCGGAGCGGCACTATGGCCTACCCTTATATCAAATTCCAACTGCCTGGGGATCTTTTACGTGCAAACAAATGTATACAAGGAACCTCGGTTTTTCGTCCGTCCAAATGACTAGACAGCTGGCCTTGTTAGCACATAACCCCCCGTACCACTGACAAGGGGAAAACCAATTGAATCTCAGGCCTTTGAGCATGGGGAACACAACTGTGTACTTAAGAAGGTTTAAATATGTTCATTTAAATTTATTTTAATTTAGACAAATGAATTTATATTTTCTGTATACCCATCGACAAGTAAGTCTATTTATATTGGTATTCATATGTAAACATGCCTTTGTAAATTTAAATCTGATGTCCCATTAAGAAATAACTATCTTCGAGAGGTACATTTATTTAAGAAAAATTTCACGTAACTACAGTAAAGAAAGATAATGTATGATAAGATTTTATTGCATCAAAACCTCCATTAAGGACAACATGTATACATACATTTAGACATAATCATATATATTTGATAATAAATTACATGTACACACAAGTAATACATTCATACAATCAGTGGTATATATTTGATAATAAATTACATGTACACCACAAGTAATACATTCATACAACCGGTGGTAGATATTGATTACAACACAAGTAATACATTCATACAACCAGATTTCTTAACAAAAGCCAAAAACACAATCTGAATAAAATACAGATCTATATTTTGTTTTTTATACTTTTGATGGCCTACACTAGATAAAGATCTGACCAGCTGTAGTTAGATGTAGTGCCAGGTGTCATACGATCGGCTTTTGGCGTCGGACATTTGATAACCCAATTAGCGTTGATGTTTCTTGTCAGATACCCACACCCACAGTTCCGTGCATCGCAAAACAAGAAGTCGCTGCAACAGATCGTTTCATTGGCTAATCCCTCACATCAACCAGAACGCGGGTTATATAACAACTCTTCAATATCCTAGTGTAGTAAAAACAAATAAAACAAAATTTTGAACTATAAAACCGGAGGACCCGGAGAAACCCAACGAGGTTGGACAGGCAACCCTACTCCTTGTCACGTACAACCGGGGATTCGATACCCCCCCCCCCAAACCGTAACGAAATAGGATCTGTGCATTAATCAGATTGAAACAGATACAAAGCCACTGCCTTGGCAATAGATTTTAAATGTTGTTGAATAAAGGGCTAAATCTGCTTATTGCAGTTCTTTCCTTGGGTCTTAAATGTTATATAAACTTTTTATTAGACATTAATTTACCAAGACCACAATAAACTCTAGGTTTTCAACACGTTTTGAAGTTGATGAATTACTGTAAAAATGGATAATCGAGACTTTGTAGCAACGACAACCCAGTTTCCACTGTTCTTGTAACAACGATAATTCGGCTTCGAGAGAAGTAACTTGACTAAAAATTTCAACATATTTTCTTTTAATTACCTATTTTTTAACTGTCAGCACTTTTAATCTAATCTTTCATATAGGTTATGCCTGTTCCTGAATCCCTTTCAATTTCTAAATAAAACATTGTTTAAAAAAAGAAAAAAGATAGGTTGCCAGGCAACGAAACATACGCCCACAGCAGCTAAATCGTCCGGGCAGTCAACAAGAGTTGTCACATATTTTTACTTTTTTCGGTAATGAAACATTTATAATACATTAAAATCTGATTAAGAGTAACAACTCATTAAGTAATTATCAGAAAACCATAAGAATTTGTTTGGTTTTTATAAAGTTCTGTCCCATGCTAACGTTTAGTATACAAAACTTTTAACATCATGGATTTAGCTGTTCAAGTCATAAAGATTCATTGAAAATCAATATACTTGTTCGTCTCAAGACCTTAAACACTGTGTATAAATTTAAAGTCAATCGGATATTAACTTTAGCCTCTAGAGCGTCCAAAAGATTTTTCAAAGTGATCAAGGGCCATAACTCTGGCAAACATTATCGGAAATTGCTGAAAATCACTAGGCTTCTTCGTCTCATGGTCTTCAACACTGTATATAAATTTAGAGTCAATCGGATATTAACTTTAGCCTCTAGAGCGTCCACAAGAATTTTCAAAGTTATCAAGGGCCATAACTCTGGCAAAAATTATCAGAAATTGCTGAAAATCAATAGGCTTCTTCGTCTCATGACCTTAAACACTGTGTATCAATTTAAAGCCAATCGTATATTAACTTTAGCCTCTAGAGCGTCCACAAGATTTTTCAAAGTGATCAAGAGCCATAACTCTGGCAGTAATTATCGGAAATTGCTGAAAATCAATAGACTTCTTCGTCTCATGACCTTAAACACTGTGTATCAATTTAAAGCCAATCGTATATTAACTTTAGCCTCTAGAGCGTCCACAAGATTTTTCAAAGTGATCAAGGGCCATAACTCTAGCAGTAATTATCGGAAATCGCTCAAAATCAATAGGCTTCTTCGTCTCATGACCTTAAACACTGTGTATAAATTTAAAGTCAATTGGATATTAACTTTAGTCTCTAGAGCGTCCACAAGAATTTTCAAAGTTATCAAGGGCCATAACTCTGGCAAAAATTATCAGAAATTGCTGAAAATCAATAGGCTTCTTCGTCTCATGACCTTAAACACTGTGTATCAATTTAAAGCCAATCGTATATTAACTTTAGCCTCTAGAGCGTCCACAAGATTTTTCAAAGTGATCAAGGGCCATAACTCTGGCAATAATTATCGAAAATCGCTGAAAATCAATAGGCTTCTTCGTCTCATGACCTTAAACACTGTGTATAAATTTAAAGTCAATTGGATATTAACTTTAGTCTCTAGAGCGTCCACAAGATTTTTCAAAGTGATCAAGGGCCATAACTCTGGCAATAATTATCGGAAATCAATGAAAATCAATAGGCTTCTTCGTCTCATGACCTTATACACTGTGTATAAATTTAAAGTCAATCGGATATTAACTTTGACCTCTAGAGCGTCCACAAGATTTTTCAAAGTGATCAAGGGCCATAACTCTGGCAATAATTATCGAAAATCGCTGAAAATCAATAGGCTTCTTCGTCTCATGACCTTATACACTGTGTATAAATTTAAAGTCAATCGGATATTAACTGTGAATTCAAGAGCGCCCAGAAGATTTTTTGAAGTGATCAAGGGCCATAACTCTGGCAGTAATTATTGAAAATCGTTGAAAATCAATAGGCTTCTTCGTCTCATGACCTTAAACACTGTGTATCAATTTAAAGTCAATCGGATATTAACTTTAGCCTATAGAGCGTCCACAAGCAATTGTGGACGCCTGACATTTCAATGTGGGCGTATAAAAAATGATTAAAGTTAAATTATGTAAGATTAAGATAAAGAGCTGGCCATTCTTATTATAATAGTTTGAAAATAGTTAATCTAAATTTTCATTCAAATTGCTCCATTGCGAGCAAAGATTTTAGCTTTTGAAGGTTTGACATGATGTGTGCATTAATGTCAACCACCGCACTGGTTGTTCAAAGCTTAGCCTCGCTTCACAATTTTTAGAGTAAATTAAAGCGATAATTTCATATATTCTAAGAAAGTCAAAACATAATTATTTCTATGTCTTTTGCTCAATAGGTTATCAACTCACTATTATACGACCGTGGGCATTATTTCCCACCCTAAAAAATCATTGACACAGGAAATAATAACACAATTACCTCCCTTGTTTTCCTATTGCCTCCATGCATTAGCTACCTTCAAACATTGGAATTTGAAGTTGAAAATGATATTTTTGCCAATTTCTCAGCGGGCAATAGTGAATTATAGAATTAATAGGATTATTCTTTAACAAGGTAGGACGGTTTATGGATACCATCTATTTTAAGGCTTTATTTTAATAAATTTTAAAAATATAACTTAAAAATATGAAATTGCCGCTTTAAAATATGGCTGAACTGTTCTAATCTACTTAATATCGGAGATATCCGATGGCATCGAGAGTTGATTATGGTCTTATCCTTATATAAAATTACCAACCAAGGGTTGCCATACAAGATACGTCCGCATTTTGCAATAGTTGGACAGAGAACAAGCTAAAAAAAAGCATTTTTCTGTACATTCAGGGGCATAATCTAGGATTTTACAGTCCAAGATGAGACAATATCAAAGTAACCAAGATCTTTGATATCTAAAAAAAAATTTCAAGTTTCATCAAACTGAAAACGTGATTTTTCATACAATAATGAAAAAGAACTGAGATCTTTTGAATATATTTTTACTTTTATTAACATCAAATTAAAATTGTGACCTCTCGAGGGTCTACAATCTTGGTATTACATACTTTCACACTATTCAAGTACACAGAGTGGTCTTTTTGTCAGTTTCGATCCAATTTTGACGAAATTTGAACTCTACCACCATCATTAAGATATAACAGTGATACACATGTATTTGAACCGTTTTTAAAATCAGATATAAAAATGTTACCTCTAAAGGGTCCCCAAGCTAAAAAACTTAATTTTTCGTACAACCAGGTACCATAAATCCATAAAGTTAATTAAGATAAACCTATATTTCAAGTGTCGTCTAAACCGGATAAAAATTGTGACCTGTGGACGGACGTGGCCACCGACAATATACGCCCACATGAAAATTTGGTTAAAAACAAAGTTATTGGTATCTCAAGAACACAATATTACGTAAATTACTTCTTCCCCACAAGGTTGCAACTTAAACTATCTTTTTAATTGCCAAAGCTTTCTTATTTTTAGCTTTCGCACGAATCAATGGTTTAGTTGTCTTCCTGAGTTGATTTTTTAAACGGAAAATTGTTACTTTATCCCTATTGATCTTACTTAATAAATATTTATTTTTCTTATTTAGATTGGTCAAAGTCTCATCGACAGATGTCTGTGTCTCTTTATTAACTGAATTTGTCGTGTTGGTATCTGCCGATGATGTCTCGTGTACTGTCACGGGGAAAAAGGGGCTGTCAAGGTAATCGTCATAAAATTTAAAAGATTTATTGGAAGTCTTTATATGCTTACCCAGCTTCCTAGCCTTAGTCTTCAGTCGGGTCAGCCTACTTCGAGTGTCATTGTCAGTAAACGTTATGCAGTCGTCATGTAAGGCCCTAATTATAGACAGGTGCTCCCCATTGTTCGGAAATTTAGCAACAATGCCTTGAACTAGTCTATTTGTGATTCTTGCTAAGGGAAGTTTCTTAACTGAACCGAGATCGTAATGTTCGCCCAAACCAATGGGGGACAGTAACTGATCTACTGCATGACCCTTTATGTGTCTCTGTAGATTACTCCTATGACTAAACAATTTGAAACAAATATCACATTTATAACGGTTAGCTAAAGCATGAGAGTAAGCTGATTGTAGGTCTATATCACTATCATTATCAGTGTTCAACTCTTCTTTAACATGTATTTTACAATGTTTCTCTAAATCTGTATTGGAGTTAAATTCTTCATCACATAATTTACACTGAAAAACAGTTTCAATATCGTCAGTTTTCTCTTCTTTAACACAAAAGTCATCTCCATCGTCAGTTTTCTCCTTTTTAACATGATAATATTTATCTACATTATCAGTTTTCTCTTCTATAACATGTATTTTATTGTGGCAATATTCATCTACATCAATTTTATTTTCCTCAAACTGAACATGACAATATCCATCTTCATCATCAATTTTCTCTTCTTTAACATGCACTTTATTGTGTGTTTCTAAATCATCAAGTTGTTGAAAAATCTCATCACAAACAACACATTGATGAAAAGTGTTACCATCATTAGTTTCCTGTAATATATAAAAGTTATAACATCATTAGTTTTCTACAATATATGAAAGTTACATCATCATTACTCTCCTATAAACAGCTATGTTTGATTATAGCACAGACTTTCGTTGCTAAAATTTACAAACCCAGATTAGCTGACAAATAGAAGCTGGGTCTCGACATCTTTGCAGAATGACAAAAGAAACTTCGTCATTTTATTTGTATTCAAGAATTTCTTGGTCGAAAGCTATATGAGAGACTTATTCACCAACTATTTTACATCAGATGATTTTTCTTAATGGCTAATACACCGTAATTGGAAGGTCTGCATATCATATTGACGTTGTCGGTTGCCAAGAACAAACAAATATGACCCGATTATGAACTTTTAAGGGGAGCCTTAGTGCCACTATCTGCATCCTCGGTTACCCAGTGTACTCATTCCGTTCCACTCCACTATACCCTGGGTTAATCCATAGGGTTTCCACGATTTCAAATTATCTGCCCTGGCCTAGAATGTAGCTACAGTCTATGAACCAATCAGTTTACAAACCAATCGTTTCGCCTTCGTTTTTATAAGGGTAGATAACCATATTCATGTCCATTTACTGAATGATTTATGTAAATAATGTATATATTTATAATTTATTTATATTTAATTGTATTATCAAAATCTGTAGTATGTGTTGTTGATTTCAAATATGTAGAACATCTTTATGTTTGACTTTTGTTATCATTATTACTATTCGTTCTTTGTCTGAAATGTCTCATTCTGTTATGTTTATTATTATTGAACTTATACTTGGCAATTTGATTTATAATAACTTGTCTACGATATCGCTTGGACATAAAATTCCTGGAACGAACGAACGATTCTAAATAAAACTAATGACCCTACATTATTATATGAACGTCTGGTCTTCATTAACATAATATATAATTTTGTTAAAAATTATGCATTTAGAATAGGCCAATTCCTAGCATTGTCCGATGAGAGTTACTTCCCTTTGTCAACTTCCTTTTCAAATAGCAATTTATCGGATTGGTCAATAAAAATAGCACAATCATCAAGCGGGGTTCCCGTGGCTTTGTTTAACATTTTATCAAGGATATTCAAGGATAAATATACGTCAAATTCAAGGATTTTCAAGGACATTTTTTAGCCTAAAGTTACAATTTTTCATCTTAAAAATAACCAAAACATTACCAACTATCGTTATAATCTCATATTTTAAAGGAATTGAAGACATATGAAACAAAATTAAGGATCTCAACAGAAATTTAAGGATATTTTCCTATTTCCGCGAAATTCAAGGATATTCAAGACCTTGAAAATGAAATTTTAAATTTAAGGATATTCAAGGATTTTCAAGGACCGCGGGAACCCTGTCAAGGGTGGATAACTTGAAAACGTGTCTCCCCCATAGATTAACCCAGGGTATAGTGGAGTAGAACGGAATGAGTACACTGGGTAACTGAGGATGCACTGTCTGGGCAAAATTTCACTCATATAGCACACTGTATGGTGTATGCTCGTATTCATTAGCCCAGTTGAAGGGGTTTAACGTCCTACTGTTCTGCTCCTAAACTGGGCTAATGGAGACAGACATACGCCATACAGTGTGCTATGAAGGAAATTTTTGCCTGGGCAGCGGCGCTACGGCCTACACTTATATAGAATTCCAACTTGTAAGCCAATGTGTACACAGGACCTCGGTTTGTCCTCCCATCCGAACGACTAGACAACTGTCTTTGTCAGGCCTTCCATCTTGTATCACTGACAAGGGGAAACCACGCCGGAAACATACTGTACACGTATTTGTTGAATGATGGTGGATTTCATACCATAAAATCTCATCTTACCATGTCCATTATTCACTTCTTTGTATCCGATATGTGTAGGCCTGTAGTTTAAATTTTATAGTTGTATAAAGTGTTAAATAAATCTAGCCGAGTCTTGACTTCCAAGTTTTAAAACAATAACTCTGTCTTCCATCAAACCTAAAGATAAAATTTTTATTGATACATCATAAACAGATAAAAACAACATCAGGACTCAGACTAGCAATTATTTGCCCATTGACTTCAATGTTAAATGGCTGTAACATCACAGGCTGTAGCTTTTTGCTCAACATTCCGTTGGTTCCAATCTTTATAGGCACAATGGGGACCACATTTGGCAATCTCCTCATCATAATTTTGTAGTGGGTTGACCGTTTAGATTTTTTGCTACGCGGATTTGAAGTTGACTGGGGTGAAAATCTCACTTCCGACACAATGATTGCTCTGCAGAAGGACACTTTACACCTCCTATCCCTCCGCTGTAATATCATCAGTATTACCCAAAACTGCTATGAAATTGCAAATTTGATCCCTTTTCTCCAATTCTAGACCAAAAAGTCAACTCAAAAATGCAGGAAGAGGGGAGAAAAAAATTAAGGGAAAAATTGTCTATTTATAACTCGCACTACATTCATCCATCATGAAATAAGGAGAAATAATTACTAGTATTAGTCCATCAATATGCATTGCACGTAAACTAAACATTTAATAAATCAATAATCTCATTTAGTTTACACTACACATTGGGATTGTCACACCTGGTCACGACAAATCAAGGATGATATGTGTTGAAAATTTGGCAATTGAACCTAATTTTACTTGCTCAAAGCCTCGAATAGGGCCTAGTGCATGTAGTGTAGGCCTAGTCCAGCTCTGAACGTAGGCAGGGCTGCCGACAACCAGTATCGCAGCGCAATTTGCGATACATATTTTGTCCGTCGCTAATCAAAAATTAAAATCTAACGTTTCTTAAATTTGTGCGTTACCCTTTCAATGATGTCCGCCAAGTCGGTTAGAAGACAGAGATGTATTTTTTAACAGCGTGTTGTGTCGCTCATACTGACTCTAGCCAGGTAAGCAAGGTCTTATTTTCTCACTAAGATGTTCCTTTACACTGTACAGGCGTTCACTTGGATTGACACCCCACCGTTTAGCAGTAAAAGGTTGCCCAGTAAAATTGACTGGGAAATTAATTTCCGTCGACAAGGCCTCAATAGAAGGATCCCTGGACGTAGAGGTGAGTGTTTAATGAGACCTACGTTCAAAGCTGGACTAGTGTAGGCCTATCAATTAAATAGCAGCCGTGAATGAGAATTATCAGGGCTACAAATTGCAGCTAGACAAGACAGTGGCAAACACATTTATACACTTATATTGAAAGGTAATGAAAGGAAATTGGTATTTTTCAGAAAAGGTTATAATTTATAATATAACAATAAGTTTTAAAAGTATAGCAACTCGGATGAACTACTAAGTAAAGTTTTCGAATAAAAAAGTACTTTCATTTGCTTTTTTATAGTTTACCTTGCAAGTCAATGTCGTGACAACTACAGTGATCAGGTGTGTTAACGTCCGCGTCCAGTCACGCTGATATCGTAGACAATTTGTGAACTTGGAAAACGTTGCTTTCTTGACCTCAGAGAGCCAGTACAAATAATCAAGTAACAATTGACGAGTTGAGCTAACCGCCAGCAATCTAACATCACTTCCGGTTTGCCCTCACACAGTAAGGTTGTATCTTGATTCTTGACGCGGATCGATCCAACACGAATAATTCATTCATAATTAATAAAACTTCATTAATTAATTGTAAAAATTTGGGGGTGTCCGGGAGCTAAAAAGAATCTCGAAAACTATTGAATGAAAGGACATTATGTACAACAACCCTAGCTGATTGTGACTGTAGGATGGACAGCTGTCTAGTTTAGATGGTACAAAAAACCGAGGTCCTATGTTTACATTGGTGTGAACTTAAAAGATACCTTGGCAGTTGGAATTCGATACAAGAGTTGGCCATGGTGCTGTTGCTTGGGCAGAATTTCTCTCATAGCACACTGTATGGTGTATACCTGTCTTCATTAGCTCAGATGGAGAAGTACAGTAGGATGTTAAACCCCATTTCATTTCATCGCAATCTGACGAAATCTGTTCCAATATTCAATTGAATTTCAGGTCTCACCGCTGTGTACTTAAGGTTCATTTAAATTTTTGTAGAAAAATTAGACAAATGTATTTATGTTTTCTGTATACCCATAGATAAATAGGTCTATTTATATTGGTATTCATATGTAAACATGCCTTTGTAAATTTAAATTTGATGTCCCATTAAGAAATAATGTTCGTAAGGTACGTTTATTTAAGAAAAGTTTCTTATAACAACTACAGTAAAGAAAGATATATGATTTTATGGCAACAAAACGGCCATTAAGGACAACATGTATACACATACATTTAGACATAATCATATATATTTGATAATAAATTACATGTACACATAAGTAATACATTCATACAACCGGTGGTATATATTTGATAATAAATTATATGTACAACACAAGTGATGCATTCATACAATTGGTGGTATATATATATAAAAAGTTTCAGCTACATGTCGTTACCACCAGATTTCTTATCAAAAGTCACAAACACAATCTGATTAAAACACAGATCTATATTTCGTTTCGTTTTTTTAAACTTTCTATGGCCTACACTACATGAAGATCTGACCAGTTGTAGTAGGAGGTTGTGTCAGGGGTCATAAATTGGCTTTTGACCCTATGACTTCAGACATGTGATAAACCAGGGGCCATAATCCAGGAAGTTATATTCTGATACGTGCGAATATAAAAGCAACCGAGATCGTTGGTATATATTTTTAGTTTTATCAACATCGGATCAAAATTATGACCTCTAAAGTGTCCACAACCTTGGTATTACAAACTTTCACACTGTCACTATTCATTAAGATGTTACAGTGATATACATGTATTTGAACAGTTTTTAAAATCGGATAAAAAACTTGATTTTTCGTACAATGAGGAGTCATAATGGAACCGATTTGGAAGATAAACCTACATGTATATTTCAAGTTTTGTCAAAATCGGATCAAAATTGTGACCTACAGTGTGTCCACAAATAAATTGTGGCAACATGAAAATGTGGTTAAAAACAAAGTCATTGATATCACAAAACCACCTTTTATAGTATCTAACTTACTTCTTCAGAGAACACAATATTACGTAAATTCACTTCTATCCCACAAGATTGGGACATAAACCATTCTTTTTAATTGCCAAAGCTTTCTTATTTTTAGCTTTCGAACGAATCAATGCTTTACTGGTCTTCCTGAGTTGATTTTTTAAACGGAAAATTGTTACTTTATCCCTATTGATTTTACTTAATAAATATTTATTTTTCTTATTTAGATTGGTCAAAGTCTCATCGACAGATGTCTGTGTCTCTTTATTAACTGAATTTGTCGTGTTGGTATCTGCCAATGATGTTTCGTCTACCGTCACAGGGAAAAAGGGACTGCCAAGGTAATCATCATACAATTTATAAGCGTTATTGGAATTATTTGCATTTTTCCACAGCTTTCTGCTCTTAGTCTTCAGTCGGACCAGCCTACTTCGAAGGATCTTGTCAGTAAACGTTATGCAATCGTCATGTAAGGCCCTAATTATAGACAAGTGCTCCCCATTGTTTGGAAATTTTTCAAAAATGCCATGAACTAGTCTATTTGTGATTCTTGCTAAGGGAATTTTCTTAACTGAACTGAGATCGTAATGTTCGCCCAAACCAATGGGGGACAGTAACTGATCTACTGCATGACCCTTTATGTGTCTCTGTAGATTTTGCCTATGACTAAACAATTTGAAACAAATATCACATTTATAACGGTTAGCTAAAGCATGAGAGTAAGCTGATTGTAGGTCTATATCACTATCATTATCAGTGTTCAACTGTAGGCCTACATTTCCATTATAAGCTGTCAACTCTTCTTTAACATGTATTTTACAATGTTTCTCTAAATCTGTATTGGAGTTAAATTCTTCATCACATAATTTACACTGAAAAACAGTTTCAATAACTTCAGTTTTCTCTTCTTTAACATGACAATATCCATCTCCATCGTCAGTTTTCTCTTCTTTAACATGACAATATCCATCTCCATCGTCAGTTTTCTCTTCCTTAACATGATAATATTTATCTACATCAGTTTTCTCTTCTCTAACATGTATTTTATTGTGGCAATATTCATCTACATCATCAGTTTTATTTTCCTCAAACTGAACATGACAATATTCATCTTCATCATCAATTTTCTCTTCTTTAACATGCACTTTATTGTGTGTTTCTAAATCATCAAGTTGTTGAAAAATCTCATCACAAAGAACACATTGATGAAAAGTGTTACCATCATTAGTTTCCTGTAATATATAAAAGTTATAACATCATTAGTTTCCTACAATATATAAAAGTTATAACATCATTAGTTTCCTGTAATATATAAAAGTTATAACATCATTAGTTTCCTACAATATATAAAAGTTACATCATCATTACTCTACTATAAACAGCCATGTTTGATTATAGCATAGACTTTCGTTGCTAAAATTTACAATCTCATCTTACCATGTCCATTATTCACTTCTTTGTATCCGATTATGTGTAGGCCTGTAGTTTGAATTTTATAGTTGTATAAAGTGTTAAATAAATCTAGCTGAGTCTTGACTTCCAAATTTTAAAACAATCACTTCCGTCTTCTATCAAACCTATAGATAAGATTAAGATAAGATTTTTATTGATACATCATAAACAGATAAAAACAACATCAATATGCATTGCACGTAAACTAAACATTTAATAAATAAATAATCTCATTTAGTTGACACTACACACTGGGATTGTCACCTGGTCACGACAAATCAAGGATGATATGTTATTTAGTGTTGAAAATTTTGCAATTGAACCTAATTTTACTTGCTCAAAGCTTTGAATAGTGTATCAATTGAAGCTAGACAAGTGGCAAACACATTTATACAAACTTATACTGAAAGGTAATGAAAGGAAATTGTTATTTTTCAGAAAAGGTTATAATATAACAATAAGTTTTAAAAGTATAAAAACTCGGATGAACTGCTTTAACTAAGTAAAGTTTTCGAATAAAAAAGTACTTTGCTTTTTTTATAGTTTACCCACAGGTACATGGGGACAGGCACGCCCTTATATGGTGGACCTATACTATTTGATTTTTTCAAAATATTTTCATGATTTTCTGGGGTTTCTTCTTAATATTTTTCAAATTTTTTAATCTGCTTTATTTTTCTTCCTATTTGGTGCTAAATAATATAATATTTACTATCAAACATGTTCGTATTAAAAATCATACCTTCTGATGTAGGCCTATATAATAAAAGAGAAAGGTAAGACACTTTTCTGTTGACATTTTTTCTCCGTGAGGCACCCCTGTCGCTATTTAATTCCAAATCATGAATAAAATTATCTTGCCTTACAAATCGACCACTCGGTTCCCTTCGATATATATTCCTTTCGATAAAAACACATATTTCAATTTTTTTCAAAAATGCTTAGTCAGTTTATTTGCCATAAATCACTCAAGTTTTTTTACAATTCATCGACATTTTGAACATGTTCAGTAGAAATGACGGAAGTCGTAATAAGGGAGACAACTCTGTTGACTGGCCCGAATAAATCGGCGTTACGAAAAGGTAGGCCCAATGAAAAATACGGGAAAATCACAGGTGCATGTGGACAGGGATATTGTAAAATATTGTGACAAAAACTATCTGTGGGTAAAATGGATGAATGTAAAACAAATGCGTTTAATTTAGTGTCAAATGGACACAACTTGGTCATTTTTCATTCGGCACACCTTTTCGTAATGCCGATCCATTCGGGCCAGTTGACAGAGTTGTCTCCCTTATTACCACTTCCGTCATTTCTACTGAACATATCGAAAATGTCAATGAATTGTAAACAAATCTCGAGTGATTTATGGCAAAAAAAGTGACAGAATTTTTGTTAAAATTTGAAATATGTGTTTTTATCGAGAGGAATATATATCGAAAGGAACCGAGTGGTTGATTAGTAAGGCAAGACAATTTTATTCACGATTTAGAATTAAATAGCGACAGGGATACCTCACGGAGAAAAAAATGTCAACAGAAAAGTGTCTTACCTTTCTCTTTTAATATTAGATACATCAGAAGGTACGATTTTTTTTATATACGAACATGTTTGATAGTAAATATTATATGATTTAGAACCAAATAGGAAGAAAATAATGAAGATTAAAATTTTTGAAGAATATGAAGAAAAAAAAAACAAAATCAAAAATTTTGAAAAAATCACATAGGTAAGAAGGGCGTTCCTGTCCTCATGTACCTGTGAGTTCACCTTGCAAATGGATGTCGTGACAACTACAGTGATCAGGTGTGTTAACGTCCTCTTCCAGTTACACTGATATCGTAGACAATTTGTGAACTTGGAAACGTTGCTTTATTGACCTCAGAGAGCCAGTACAAATAATCAAGTAACAATTGACGAGTTGAGCTAACCGCCAGCAATCTAACATCACTTCCGGTTTGCCCTCACACAGTAAGGTTGTATCTTGATTTTTGACGCGGATCGATCCAACACGAATAATTCATTGTCTGTACATTTACTTGTGGTGATTTTCGTACTGATATAAAACTTCATTAATTAATGGGTGTCCGGGAGCTAAAAATAATCTCGAAAACTATTGAATGAAAGGACATTATGTACAACAACCCTAACTGATTGTCACTGGTGCAGGACAGAGGGCTGTCTAGTTGTTCGGATGGTACAAAAAACGAGGTCCCGTGCTAACATTGACGTGAACTTAAAAGATCCCTTGGCAGTTAGAATTCGATCTAAGAGTAGGCCATGGTGCTGTTGCTTGGGCAAAATTTCCCTCATAGCACACTGTATGGCGTATACCCTGTCTTCATTAGCTCAGTTGGAGTAGTACAGTAGGATGTTAAACCCCAATTCATTTCATTGCAATCTGACGAAATCTGTTCCAATATTCAATTGAATCTCAGGTCTCCTAGCATGGGCCAACACAGCCGTGTACTTAAGGTTCATTTAAATTTTTGTAGAAAAATTAGACAAATGTATTTATATTTTCTGTGTACCCATAGACAAATAGGTCTATTTATATTGGTATTTATATGTAAACATGCCTTTGTAAATTTAAATTTGATGTCCCATTAAGAAATAATGTTCGAAAGGTACGTTTATTAAAAAGTTTCATGTAACAACTAAGGACAACATGTAGACACATACATTTAGACATAATCATATATATTTGATAATAAATTACATGTACACACAAACACAATCGGTGGTAGATATAAATTACAATTACAAACAAGTAATGCATACATACAATCGGTGGTAGATATAAATTACAATTACAAACAAGTAATGCATTCATACAATCGGTGGTAGATATTTAAAAATTGTCAACTACAGATCTATATTAAAATACAGATCTATATTTCGTTTTTTATACTTTCTATGGCCTCTACTACATGAATATCTGACCAGTTGTATTGGGAGGTCATGTCAGGGATCATACAATCGGCTTTTGACCCTATGACATCAGACATTTGATAAACCAGGGGCCATAAACCAGGAAGTTACATTCTGATATGTGCGAATATCGAAAGGAACCAAGATCTTTGGTATATATTTTCAGTTTTATCAACATCAGATAAAAAATTATGACCTCTAGAAGGTTCACAACCTTGGTATTACATACTTTCACACTATTTGCGTACAAGGAATGGTAATTTTGCCAGGCAGTTTCGGTCTGATTTTGACGAAATTTGAACTCTAACGTCATTAAGATGTAACAGTGATATACACAATTAGATTAAAATACAGATCTATATTTCATTTCATTATTTATACTTTCAATGGCCTACACAACATGAAGATCTGACCGGTTGTAGCGATAGGATGTGTCAGAGGTCATACAAGTGGCTTTTGACCTATGACGTCAGACATTTGATTAACCAATCAGCATTGATGTTAATTGTGGATTACCCACAGTTCCGTGTAAAATATGCCTAAAGCTCGCCGTAACAGACCGTTTCATTGGCTAATCCCTCACATCAGCCAGAACACGTCAATGATAAAAGCTCTTCCAGATCCTAGTGTAGTAATTTTGAACTATAAAAACGAAACGAAATAGGATAATCAGCTTGTGATATACATTTGTAGATGTATTTAAAAATCGGATAAAAATTGTGACATAAATAAAACTTTATTTTTCGTACAATGAGAAGCCATAACGGAACCAAGATCTTTGGAAGATAAACCTATATTTCAAGTCTTGTCAAAATCGGATCAAAATTGTGACAAAGTCATAGATATCACAAAACCACTTTTTATAGAGAACAGAGAACACAATATTACAAAATCAATTCTTCCCCACAAGGTTGGGACTTGAACCATTTTTTTTAATTGCCAAAGCTTTCTTATTTTTAGCTTTCAAACGAATCAATGCTTTAGAGGTCTTCCTGAGTTGATTTTTTAAACGGAAAATTGTTACTTTATCCCTATTGATCTTATTTAATAAATATTTATTTTTCTTATTTAGATTGGTCAAAGTCTCATCGACAGATGTCTGTGTCTCTTTATTAACTGAATTTGTCGTGTTGGTATCTGCCGATGATGTCTCGTCTACTGTCAAGGGGAAAAAGGGACTGTCAAGGTAATCTTCATACAATTTAAAAAATTTATTGGAATTATTTACATTTTTGCCCAGCTTCCTAGCCTTAGTCTTCAGTCGGGCCAGCCTACTTCGAATGTCCTTGTCAGTAAACGTTATGCAGTCATCATGTAAGGCCCTAATTATAGACATGTGCTCCCCATTGTTCGGAAATTTAGCAACAATGCCTTGAACTAGTCTATTTGTGATTCTTGCAGAGGGAAGTTTCTTAACTGAATCGAGATCGTAATGTTCGCCCAAACCAATGGAGGACAGTAACTGATCTCCTGCATGACCCTTTATGTGTCTCTGTAGATTTTGCCTATGACTAAACAATTTGAAACAAATATCACATTTATAAATGTTAGCTAAAGCATGAGAGTAAGCTGATTGTAGGTCTATATCACTATCATTATCAGCGTTCAACTCTTCTTTAACATGTATTGTACAATGTTCCTCTAAATCTGTATTGGAGTTAAATTCTTCATCACATAAATTACACTGATGAACTGTTTCAACATCATCAGTTTTCTCTTCTTTAACATGACAATATTCATCTACATTATCAGTTTTCTCTTCTTTAACATGACAATATTCATCTACATCAGCAGTTTTCTTTTCGTCAAAATGAACTGGACAATATTCATCTACATCATCAATTTTCTCTTTTTTAACATGTATTTTATTGTGTTTTTCTAAATGATCAAGTTGTTGAAAAATCGCATCACATACAACACACTGATGAAAAGTGTTGCCATCATTAGTTTCCTGTAATATATAAAAGTTATAACATCAGTAGTTTCCTGTAATATATTAGTTTCCTGTAATACATGTATGTAAAAGTTATAAAATAATTAGTTTCCAGTAATATATAAAAGTTATAATACCATTAGTTTCCTGTAATATACTCTTCAAAAAAAGTAGGGGATATTAAAATGCAAATACCTATGCAGGCTGTGATATGATATTTAGTCATGGACACTTGACATGCTTTGAGAGTATGTTCACAGTAAGACGAAGAACTTATTAACCCAACAGAACCACTGAGCTGCATCTGCGACACACAATAGCGCCATACACGTGGTAGGGGTTCATTGTCAAATTTGACACTTCAAGGAAGGATTGATGAAAACTGCCGCGTGCTGGTTTATCCTATCCATGTTTGCTTTCCTATCGGTTCTTGCATAAGATTTACTGTTTAGCATATCTTTGCTTTAGTGTGTTACGTTTAATTTGCAATGAGACCTCTTCAACATGATGAACGTCTACGTGCTATTGGCATGCTTCAAATGGGTTCTACACAGCGAGCAGTAGCCAACATGCTTAATGTGTCACAGTCTGTGATCAGCAGACTGTGGAACCGGTACCAACAAAGACACAATGTTGATGACAGATCTCGTTCAGGTCGTCCTAGAGTCACTACACAAGCCGAGGATCGATACATTTGTACACAGGTCCTATGAAATCGAGGACAAACGGCCAATCAGCTTTCTGTAAACTTGTACTAAGTTACAGGAATTCGAGTTACACCCCAAACGATGATCGAGTATTTGTAGAATGATGGTGGATTTCATACTCTAAAATCTCATCTTACCATGTCCATTATTCAAATCTTTGTACCCGATTATGTGTAGTCCTGTAGTTTAAATTTTATAGTTGTATAAAGTGTTAAATAAATCTGGCCGAGTCTTGACTTCCAATTTTTAGAACAGTGAGTGACAGTCGACTTCGTCTTCCATCAAACCTTGCAAGTCGATGTCGTGACAACTACAGTGATCAGGAGTGTTAACGTCCACTTCCAGTCACGCTGATATCGTAGACAATTTGTGAACTTGGAAAACGTTGCTTTGTTCACAGACAACGGCACAAATAACAAACCTCCATTGACTCCATCAATCTAACAGCACTTCCGGTTTGCTCCACACAGTAAGGTTGTATCTCGATTCTTGAAGCGGATCAACCCAACACGAATAATTCATTGTCTGTACATTGAGTTGGGCTAAATAGTGAAAACCATTTATTGCTAATGATTATGGTACGGAATGAAAAAGAACTTATGCAATAATAAAATGATGTAAACTTTATTCAATCATAATATAATGTAAACTTTATCCAATAATAAATGAAATGAAATGGGTTTTAACGTTCTACTCTGTCTGAACTAATAAAGACGGGCATACGCTATACAGTGTGCTATATAGGGTGACCCGTGCACCGTGCAGAAAGTTGGTCTCGACACAGCGAATGTACACGCTTCAGTGGCTTATCTTGAAGTGATTTCTCGCATACACTACGCACTATGATAACAGTCAGAACTAGAGTATGATACTATAAATAGCCATCGCACGTGCAATTCTCTATAGTCCAGTGGCTGAATCGCCACCCGAGCTGTGATTTTATGAGACCAAGTTTTTCTAGACCAGTTTTTTGCGTAGATTCCCAATCTGTGTGGTGATCAGGCGTTTGAGGGGGCGTTTTAGAGATATAGGGGTCAAATGTCTACAATGGGGGGAGGGGGAGATGTCATTATGTTGACGTAATATATTAATATAACATAAATTTCTAAGACTGCCCATCTATAAATAAGTGTTTATGATGCCCCTGGACAACTATTTTGATTTGTGGGGAGGTGGGGTGGGGGTAGCAGGTGTGTATGGGTGTGTGTGTGTGTGTGGGTGTGTGTGTGAGGGGGGGGGGGTGTCATTATGTTGACATAATATATTAATAAAACATAAATTTCTAGGACTGCCCATCTTTAAATAAGTGTTTATGATGCCCCTGGACAGCTGTTTTGATTTGTGGGGAGGTGGGGCGGGGGTACCAGGTGTGCGTGTATGGATGGGGGGGGGGGGGTACAATTGGCGGGAAGTGAGTTCATGTTGATGATTTTCTTAGAGCTTGGTAAAAACATTACTTTTTAATTCCACTGCACACCTCTAAATATGTGTATACGATTACTATTGTATGGGGGAGGGTAAATGTATTTTGGGGGACAGAAACCACTTGGTTCAAAATTGACCTGAAAAGTGTTTTCTCGAGTTTTCGTTCAGTGCCAATATCGTCATTCAAAATATTAAACTATAATGGCACTTTACGAGAGATCTGGAAATGTACATAAAAAACACATGTTTAGATATTAGTTTATTCTAATAATATGAGTGGGATAGATATCTTCTTGATATGCGTATATCATTTTGATATGCTTCAGATACCCATTCACATTGTATCCTAAAACTGACAACCAACCACGAGGGCACCAAAATATCTTACCTACTCCTCTTCGCATTGCAAATTAATGGAGGTGCTGAAACAAAATGTATTTTGTGTTCTTGCTCGGGCGAAATAGACATCCCAATCATTCTCTTCGCAAACGATGATCCAAATATACAAATTTTGATCGATAATGAGGCGGGCAAAGGTTGAAAATATCGCGAAAGACGACTTACATAACTAGATGACGCTAAAAAAAGATTTTCTGGGTGAAAAAATAACAGACCTTTCTTTATTACCACCTTGCCGTATACGTGGTCTTTTGCTGCATGGCTGGAATGAAGATTTACAATGTGAATTGGTTTCTGAAGCATATCCAAAGGATATGCGAGCTGTTGGCCAGCAACCAAGAAAATATTTATCTCGCTCATATGAACTTTTGATTTTGAATCTTCTGATGAAGACAAAGAATAAACTAACAACTAAACATATCTCTGAGTTAATGTGTTTTTGATTTACATTTCCAGATCTCTTGAAAAGTACAATTATAATTTAATATTTTGAATGAAAACGCTAACGAGATACCAATTTAAGCTCAATTATGAACAAAATGATTTCTGTCCACAAAAATACATGTTGCCACCCGCCATCCCTCACACCGCCCCCCCCTCCACGGCGGGCACTCACCCCGGTGTCCACCCCCATACAATAGGAATCTTATAAACATATTTAGAGATGTTTTATCAAGCTCTTAGAAAATCATCATTTAAATCAACGTGAACTCATTTCCCCGCCAATTTTATCCCCACCCCACCCTTCCACACGCGCACATCAAAACAGTTGTCCAGGGGCATCATAAACACTTATTTATAGATGGGCAGTCCTAGAAATTTATGTTTTATTTATATATTTTGTCAACATAATGACATCAACCAACCCCCCACCCCAACCCCCATTGTAAACATTTGATCCCCTATATCTCGAAAATGCCCCCTTAAACGCCTGATCACCACCCAGATTCGGAATCTACACAAAAAACTGGTCTAGAAAAACTTGGTCTCATAAATTCACAGCTCGGGTGGCGATTCCCCCCCTTCAGCCACTGGACTACTACATATCTATCAACTATTACAGCCGTAAAAAATCTATTGTTGACGATTCTGAATAGCAATAATATTTAGCTTATTAGTTATTACAGCAGCTTTAGAAATTACGTTCATTTTATTTTTTAAATTGCTTTATCATTAACTGTACCATTAGGAGCTGCATCTTTTGGTTTAGTACAAATGATATCTCTGAAATACTTGCATTAGGCAAGAACATGATACTAGCAGTAGTTTCATTTTACTTTTACAGGGTTCTTAAAACAATTGTTGAGTTGCCCAACGTGCGTGTTTCTAAATTCAATTTATTGTTCCAGCTTTCTGTTATATTTCGTAAAAAAGTAGTCTTGATTATTCCGGCCTGTTAATCAAACGTAGAATGGCCGGTAGACTGGTTAAGCGAGACTACTTTCAAAACAAGGGCACGTAACCTATTTTTTATTCACACGTGCTCGGATATTATGGCCGACACTCGGAACCATCTTTCAGTGTATTATTTATGGATGATTAAATGGTCATAGCTTATTAAGTACAACATGCCGTTTATTTAGTGACTATAAATGTGATAAACAGATTTAAGTATTGGTATATACATAAATATTCTGGTGTAATTGTCGAGATATTTGGTGATATTTATTTATGAGGAAAATTTTGCCCAGACAGTGGCACTATGCCAAGAGCTTGCCGTAGCAGACCATTTCATTGGCTAATTCCTCACTTTAATTAGAACGGCTGTTATATAACACCCCTTCCACAAAAAAAAAAAACGACTCAGAATAGGATCTGTGTTCTGTGTTTGAATCAGAAATGGGGTTTAACGTCCACTCGACACAAACTAGGTCATTTTGTGACTAACACAGGGTTCAATTTTATTTCAGTAATTCACTTGCGCATAGGGGGTTTAGCAGGGAAGGAAACCGGAGGACCTGGAGAAAACCCACGAGGTTAGTCAGATATAAAAGAAGCCACAGAAAACAGAATTCAAATATCAAAATATTTAATTCTCTCAATGTGATGGTTAATTTAGGATATATGTTCAAAATTTTAAGAATCGCCAATACCCCAAAATGTTGTAGCCAAAATTATCGCTCAAATCATATTTTAACTGTCACTTTCATATTTTTATTGTCAATTTTATTTCATTAATTCACTTGCATGCATGGGGTCTTTAGCCGTGGGAGGAAACTGGAGAAAACCCATGAGGTTAGCAGATGACCGTACTCCTTGTCACATGGGGGAATAGGAACCACAACACTTGACTCAATTACAGACCTTATGATGTGTTAACCATTCAGCCACCCAACCCCACAGACTAAAAACAGCTGCAATATTGTATCATCAACGTGGTATGCGCTACTGTTGGCACACTCACTGATGCTTTCGGCAAGTAACAATAGCCTAGCCCCAAACTGATAATTTCCAACACATTTCGCGATAATTTGTCTTGAAATAATTCTTTTATCACAAGTAATAAAGTATTAACCATTAAAGTAGCTAAATATCAAACTCAGTATTATCCTTAATATTCGAAATTAAAAATGAAATGAAATGGGGTTTAACGTCCTACTCCGAACTGGGCTAATGAAGACGGGCATACGCTATAAAGTGTGCTATGAGGGAAATTTTGCCCGGACAGAGGCACAACGGCCTACTCTTATATTTACGTGTACGCCAGTTTTTCATCCCATCCGAACGACTAGACAGCTGTCCTTGTCAGCCCCTCCGTCCTGCATCACTGACAAGGGGAGAACCACGCCGGAAAATCTGGATGAACTTTCTCGGACACAGAGAGAGAGAGTTGGGGTTTAACATTCACTGGACACAAATCAGGTCATTTCGGGATCAATGATTAACCGAAAAGACAAGTTTGCAGATTTAAGAACAGGTACAGCGAATGGTATTCACCTGAAAAAGTAAAGACACTTTCATAGTACAGTAAACTGTAAACACTGATACTTTTTGAGATTTTTTGTTTGAAAACTGAATGAGTCTTGTCTTATTTCTATGGTTCAGCTAATCTTTACCTTGATCCGTGTGACTACAGGCTGTGATGCATTAATCATATACTACTTTCCTCTTAAATCTTTTTGATTATTGCGATGTCATCTGGGATGGGTACAACAATCAACATACTAATGAACTAGAACAATTACAATTAGATGCACTGAGGACAATATGAGTGGTTGTAAGGGGTACATGTACCAGTGAGAACGATAATGAGGAGTTGTAAGGGGTACAAGTGAGAATGATATGAGGGTCTGTAAGGGGTACCAGTGATAACGGTAGGAGGGGTTGTAAGGGGTACCAGTGAGAACTTTTTTTCTATGTGTACATAAAGGGTTTAGCACACAATTATACATATAAGATAATTCATATAAGGTACTGATGGAACTAATGAATATTAATGATGTGTAAAGGCTTTTTAAACAAGGCTTTTATATCATTAAATATTAAATTAAAATATAATTCCTTATTTTTACATCACAGTGAAATTGATTGCCCTGTATTCTAATTTTTTAACCTAAGGCTTTTTAAACAAGGCTTTTATATCATTAAATATTAAATTAAAATATAATTCCTTATTTTTACACCACAGGGAAATAGATTGCCCTGTATTCTAATTTTTTAACCTAAGTGATTGAACTATATAACATAAGGTTTGTTTTCTAAACTAAGAGTACTAGAAACATCACATTCATGAGGTTTCTCCAATATGAATAATCATGTGTTTCCGTAGAGTTCCTCGTTCAGTAAATGATTTACTACAAACATCACATTTATAAGGTTTCTCCAATATGAATTATCATGTGTTTCCGTAAAGTACCTCGTTCAGTATATGATTTACTACAAACATCACATTCATGGGGTTTCTCCAATATGAATAATCATGTGTTTCCGTAGAGTTCCTCGTTCAGTAAATGATTTACTACAAACATCACATTTAAAGGGTTTTTCGCCTGTATGAGTTCGTACATGCTTCCGTAAAGTTCCACGTACAGCAAATGATTTATTACAAACATCACATGTATAAGGTCTTTCACCTGTATGGATTCGCATGTGTCTCTGTAGAGTACCACTCTCGGTGAATGATCGACTACAAACACCACACTGAAACGGTTTTTCGCCCGTATGAATTCTCATGTGCTTCCGTAGAGTACTTCGTTCAGTATATGATTTACTACAAACATCACATTTATAAGGTTTCTCTACAGTATTAGTTGTTATCGGTATTGGAAGTTTAGTTTTCTCTGTGAATGATCCACAATTAGTTCTCACATGTTGCAGTAGACTACAACTATGTCTAAATAATTTACTACAAATATCGCATTTATAAGGTTTTTCACCAGTATGAATTCTCATGTGTTGCTGTATGGCACTAGAAGTTGAAAATAATTTACTACAAACATCACATTTATATGGTTTTCCAACAGTATGTGTCTTCATGTGCTGCTTCAAGTAATCACTATGGCCAAATGACTTATTACAAACATCACAGTTATAAGGCCTTTCTCCCGTATGGATTTTCATATGCCTGTATATATGACTACTCTGTGGAAATGATTTACCACAAACATCACATTTATATGGCTTTTCACCAGTATGAATTCTCATGTGTGTTTGTAGACCACTATTATGAATAAATAATTTACTACAAACATTACATTTAAAACGTTTTGTTGCAGTTTCACCGTCAGCTGATGGTAGACCTACATCACTACCTTGACCATCAGGTGATTGTAGGACTACATCAATATCATTATCAGCTTTCAACTCTTCTTCAACATGTATTTTGCAATGTATCTCTAAATCAGTATCCGATTTAAATTCTTCATCACATAAATTACACTGATAAACTGTTTCAATATCATCAGTTTTCTCTTCTTTAACAGAACAATATCCATCTACATCATCAGTTTTCTCTGCTTTAAATTGAACATGACAATATTCATTTACGTCATCAGTTTTCTCTTCTTTAACATGTATTTTATTGTGTTGTTTTAAATCATCTAGTTGTTGAAAAATCTCATCACATACAACACACTGATGGAATGTTTTAACATCATTAGTTTCCTGTAATATATAAAAGTTATAACATCATTAGTCTCCTGTAATATATAAAAGTTATAACATCATTAGTTTCCTGTAATATATAAAAGTTATATATACATATGGCGCTATAATCTCTAGGAAATTATATATAATATTATGTCTTAGATGTACATATTTTGTCTTAGATGTACATATTTTGTCTTACATGATAAATTTATTTTAGAGATTGCTAAACATTTATATAAACTGTATAAATAGAACATTAGTTGACAAATAACTTTATTGATAAACTGTTTTAAATCACAATAGTAGCTTAGTATGCCTTCTGATTAATTGACTTAAAACTCGAACATTACATCCGTTAATTGGTTGTACATAGATCAGCGACAATCACCTACTATATTTTATGGTTCCCTTTAATTATTTGCTGTTAGATGTATTCATTATTTGCTGTTAGATGTATTCATTATTTGCTGTTTTAGATGTATTCATTATTTGCTGTTGATGTATTAATTATTGGTTAATTGGTTACTACTTGTTTTTGTATATAAATTATAAACCTTCTGTATATAATATTTTATATTTGTCTACTATATCACCCCTGGCGGAAATGGACGTAAAACTCTAGCAACTAACTAACTACTGTATTTAAGGCGTGTGATAATAAAAATGAAAATATGACGTTAATAGCGGACATCAAACACCAAGAACAATAACAAATATTCATCATCATTAGCTTGATAACGTCGAGAGAACCCTCAACAAAACATTGCTTTAATTAAAATAGTAATTGTGTTCCATATTATGATTTTGTGTTTATTACATGTGTCACTTGCTAAATGCCACTCAAAGAAGATTACTTAAAATATTATTAAAGTTTTATTCAAATAAATTTGGACACCAGTTTCAATTGGGCCTACATGTGAATCATCTGCTGACGGTGCAATCTCCAAACATTTAATACATATACTTTTAAAACATATACTTGCACCCTGGGAGGAACTTAGTGTGTAATATTTAGACACCATTCCCCAGTGAGAATAAGGTGTGTAAATCTTCAATTTCATGAGCACTAGGTTGAGACTACTGATCTAATAATAGACCGTTATTTATTTGCTTGGTAAGATCACTTGAAAATTTCAAATCTCTACAACCACAGGAACTGGTAGAGGTGGAATAGAGAGAGAGAAATGGGTTTTAACATCCACTCGACACAAACTAGGTCATTTCGGGACTAACATATGGTTTAATTTTATTTCAATAATTCGCTTGTGCGTAGGGGTCTTTAGCAGTGGGAGGAAACCGGAGGACCCGGAGAAAACCCATGAGGTTGGACAGGCGACCCTACTCCTTGTCATGTACAACCGGGGATTCAAAACCACGCCAGTTGACTCAATGACAGGTCGTATGATACAGCACACACGTGCTAACCATTCGGCCATCCAATCCCCCGTGGAATAGAGCCATTCATTGCATGATAGTATTGAGTGATATATAGGCCTACTATTTAAGGGTGGATTTGATAAGATAAAATTGGATATTGGATATCCATGGTCCTAAATTTTCACAGTATGACTATGATATAAGGATAGAAACTTAAGCGTCAATACTGAATTTTAATTTGTGTTTTTAAAGTAGTTAAGTCTTTAACTCAATATCATCTACATGTACATTCTTCGACATTGAAAACACAAATCATTTGTCAATTTAAATCAACATTGATGTTGTGATCTTACCGGGAAAAGATGGGCTTCTGATATCCAATATTGAAGACAAAATAATCATTTTACCATTGGTACACAAATCGGGTACCAGAATGCATTTGAGCGCCATTTGTAACAAGGGACTCAAAGAATGACGTTAGACATATTCCGCAAGTCATGTCAAACAATGACCCATATTCTTATGGGGAGAGCATGCGCAATAAATACTACCAGTGTAGACTGGAATAACCAGACGCTAGAGATTGTCATTCTATTGAGTCTACCCACGGATTTCGCCCAACATAACTGATTTGAAATTTGAGTAAAAACAGAAACAATTGAATGTAAATCAGTTTATATACATGCATATTACATTATTATATGCTATGCGGCCCATTTGTGTCAATTTCTAGGTCCCAAATATTAGCTCCTTTAAATTTCTAATATTATGGATAATAAGCAAGGGTGGATTTGAAACAATAAAATTATATCATAACTTACCATATGGATTCTTTACTTCTGTGTTATATATTTAGTGGCATTCAGATGATTTGAAACAATAAAATTATATCATATCTTACCATATCGATTATTTACTTCCGACTCCGTGTTTTGTATTTGGTGGAATTCAGATGATTATTCTTTTCTATGATTTTATTAATTTTATAGTTCGCCTTGACCTTATTTTTCAGGTCAACTTATCAAAAATACCTTTCTTCTCATTAATTAGGGGTGTTAAAGTCTCTCGTGAAACTGAAAACGATGTTTTCATTACAAAGACGAATCAACATAATCACCGGTAATCTAATATCACTTCCGGTATTGAGGTTGTATTTAAATTCTAGACGCGGATCAAAACAACACGAATAATTCATTGTCAGTACATTCATTAGGCTAAATATAGCAAACGATATATAATGTCTATTTTTAAACATTTCATATACGAACGTTGCAACATCTTGTATACATTTATCAGCTTCATTATATGCATTACTGAAACATTCAAACTAGTGATGAGGGGGGTTGGATGGCCGATTGGTTAGCATGTGCGTGCTGTATCATAAAGCCTGTCATTGAGTCAACTGGCGTGGTTTCAAATCCCCAGTTGTACGTGACAAGGAGTAGGGTCGCCTGTCCAACCTCATGGGTTTTCTCCGGGTCCTCCGGTTTCCTCCCACTGCTAAAGACCCCTACGCACAAGCGAATTATTGAAATAAAATTAAACCATATGTTAGTCCCAAAATGACCTAGTTTGTGTCGAGTGGACTTAAACTCCATTTCTCTCTCTCTCTCTCTCTTTAATGTGATGACTTAAAAACTTCTTCCGAAGATTATTGTGGGCGGAGCAATGGAGAAGAATGTGCGTTTCATCTTCTACTTCTCTGCTAGTACAATTTTTACAGGTCCTCTTATCCCTGTGGACAAAAGATTTTTTATGCCTTTCTATATCGTCCTGTCCAATGAAGTTAGAATTCACAAATTTGTTATTTCGGAATTTTATTTCAATAATTCACTTGCGCGCTGGGAGGAAATTACCTAGACAGCCACTCAGCTTTGGCCCTACTATGGCCCACATCTGGCAGCATCTGGCTAGATGTGGCCCATATCCAGCCAGATGTGGGCCACATGTGGGCCACAGTCTGGGTAACACTTGGCAACTATTGGCTCACTACTCACTACTACTGCTTATTTTTGTAACTGGTATCTAAGAATATCTTGTCAGTTTGTTTAAAAGTTTTAAATTTTTTGTTTTATATTCAAAACATATGAAAAAATAATATTATGCAAGAAGTTTGCCATATCTGGGCCAGAGATGGCCCACATCCAACTGGCCAAATGCCTCAAAATATCAACACAATAAATTTCGGCTCAGAATATGACATCTAGTTTCCAGTAGAATTTTCCTGTGTTCTATATTAGTTTTATTACAGTCTTAAAATAATATTTTTTGAATGTACTGTATATAATATGAATGGAATCCTCTCAACCCACCCTCCCCAAAAAGCCAGTAAATGTAAATCTTTAAAGCAAAAATAATAAATTATTCTTGAAAGAAGTCAATGAAATAAAGACAAAGTTTATTTGAACACAGCCTGAGTGTTGGGTATCATGCTACAAAGTAGTTAGATTTTAATTACTATAGCAGATTCTGTACTCAGATTATACAATTTGTTGAAGCCAGCAGGTCAACCATGTAAATAATCTTTAAGTGGCATTTAGCGATTGGAAAACACATTAATAGAACACAATTTTTATGGGAAACAATCACTGGTTTATTCTAAAAGCACGACGTTTCGATAAGTATCCTCTTATCGTTATCAAGCACAATGACATTTCATAAACTTCAGATGAATATATAAGAGTGGTTATTGTTATTTTATCTTATTATATGGTTTCACCATGTCCACTCTTATATATTCATCTGAAGTTTATGAAATGTCATTGTGCTTGATAACGATAAGAGGATACTTGTCGAAACGTCGTGCTTTTAGAATAAACCAGTGATTGTTTCCCATAAAAATTGTGTTCTATTAACCATGTAAATCTTTCAACAAAGCATAATTAACAGCCCATTTACTATCTTGAAATCTGTTTGGTCATTGGCTGAATTTAAAATTGTAAAATTCAGTGTAAAACAACTTAATAGAATTTAGTACTAACAAGAAACTGAAGACATTGCAGTGCCCATGGTACACAACTGTGCATTATTTTCACAGAACTTAGTTAAAAGATAAAAAAGATAAGTACATTTTATTACTTTCGCTACAATAATATTAAATTAGATAAGATTTATGTGATTTCATTATTTAAATAACTTCATTTAACTATTCTTTTGCAGGAACAAGGGGAGAATAATATTGACATGGATAATTTGTATGCCAGTGAATTCTTGTTGAAACGTTGTGTGTATATAATATAGTGATTGTTATCCATAGAACTGTGTTGTGTTATATGGCTGTGGCATGCCATATCCGGCCCAATCATTTTACCAGATGTTGCCAGATATGGGCCGTGTCTGGGCCAAATATGATGTGTTGTCTGGGTAGTGTGTAATATCTAGACACCATTCCCCAGTGAGAACAAGGTGTGAAATATCACATGTCCTCGCTTGCCAGGTTGTGAATCCATGGTCCTAGCCTGAGACATTTAGTTTGTTGTGAATCAAGTGTCCTAACCCGGGACATTTAGTTTGTGAATCCATTGTCCTAACCCGGGACATTTAGTTTGTGAATCAAGTGTCCTAACCCGAGACATTTAATATGTGCATCAAGTGTCCTAGCCCAGGACATTTAGTTTGTGAATCAAGTGTCCTAACCCGAGACATTTAGTATGTGAATCAAGTGTCCTGACCCGGGACATTTAGTTTGTGAATCAAGTGTCTTAGTCCAGGACATCTGTTTATTACTAACAACAGTAAACACGATATTATAGATGGGTTGATTTAATTAAAGAATATTTATGAATAAACTATAAACATACTTATGGAAAACAGCCACTGATTTAAATGCCACTTAAAGAATAATATTTATGATGGAATGATTATTGATATAATAAAGTCAAGGAATAATTGTTCATATATATCTTTATTTCATACGATTACAGGTTCATATATAACTTTATTTCATGTGATTACAGGTTCATATATATCTATATTTCATGTGATTACGGGTTCATATATATTTCATATAATTACAGTACTAATTTCTCATGCATCATATTCTGTAGTCAAACAGATTGGTTTCATACATCACAGTCTACAGCCAAACAGATTAGATTTAGACATGACAGCCTGCAGTCAGATAGATGCATCATATCCTATTCTCAGATGAAATTGTCATGTCACAGGGTGAATTGTCCTGTGTTTCAAGACAAGGATTAGGTGTACGATAAAGCAGGAGAAAATAACCAGAGATAATGAAAAAACTAGCCCGACATTCCGAGGATTTTTTTTCGAGAGTTTTTTCTGAAGTCTTTTTTCGCCAGCATAACCAAAGTCGAGGACTTTATCTTGCTTATAAACAGTCTATGTTTTCATGTGCGCAGGCCCGCAACTGGGGGGGGGGGGCCCTGTGAAAAAATTTTCAACCATAAAAAAAATTGATATACATTGTCCGTCAATTTTACAGCACCCCCGAGAACACTTGTCGCCCCGCCTGGTTGCTCTGAGCTAGTTACTGCCTTGCATGACTTTATTTTGCTTTCGATAATATAGTTTATTTGCAAATACATATATATAAGTATATGCGTATATACAAACGGGATCAAAGCAAATTATACAATTTACGAATCTTCTCCCAGTATAATGTTAAATATTTACAATTACCATTGAAATTTAATTTTTAAACATAAAACATAGTTATATACATAAATATATCATGCTACCTTAGAATAATAAATAAGTCCATACTAAGTGGTGATAAACCACTGGAGAATTACAATAATAGCTATTATCATGTGTGAAACTACAGTATTTAGGATAATAAGTCCATGACGTTATATACTAAGTGTAAATCAACAGCGATAAACCACTAGAGAATTACAATAATAGCTACATGTATTATCATGTGTGAAAGTATAGTATTTAGGATAATAAGTCCATGTTGTTACATACTAAGTGTAAATTAACAGTGATAAACCACTGAAGAATTACAATAATAGCTACAAAGTACATGTGAATCTTTTCGTTTCTTTAATATAATTTTATACGGTGAGAAATATATGGATATTAAAAGATTTAGCCAATAGTGTAGAACCATCTCAATAAATTTTATGAAATTTAGGTCGTGGTAGTTTTCCCATAAAGCCAAGTTTCTTAATTTTGGAGGTTTTATATTGTTTTTTTAAATAAAAGAAAAACAATAACCAACCGATAAATACTTTTCTGGGGACCTATCTTTAAGCTACAATTTTTGAATTATAATTTGAACAGTTATCCCATACTTTGCAGCCATATTCAAGAACTGGTAAAATATAACATTTATATATACTATTCAAAAAAAGTAGGGGATATTTGATTTTGGGGGCATAATACTAAAATATGCAAATGACTACGAAAAAAGTCACTATAGAACCTAACAGAAGAAACATTTCCAGTTACATGTGACGCCCAAACGCACCAATAGCTACCGCATGGAATGCAGGTGATGCTTGGGATCATCATGGGGGTCCAACCCAAGATTTGCACGACTCTGACTTTGAATGTTAGTCATTGTGGCATTGAATTCCAGGGTGGAAACATCAGTTTAATTGTTCTAGTGACCAGAAAACAAATTTTGATATGCGTCGGCTTACCCAAAATGAAAGGTTACGTGCCCTTGGCATGCTACAGATCGGCACAACACAGGCGGTTGTGGCGCCCGACGTCCTCGCGTGATCCCTTGTTTGAGAGATCATCACATTCAGGCAAGACGTCGCTGGTGTAGGGATCGTCAACACTGGGATAATCGACGCTGGAGCAATGTGATGTTTTCAGATGAGTAAACGTGGATATTATTGCCACAAGATTAATTTTTATTTTAATACAGGTGAGTGGCTCAATATAATATTATATTATAAACATATATACGGGGTAATAATATTGAGTAAAAATAGTATATACAATTTCATATATGTTAAAGTTTAACATCCTCACTTGAAAATTACATTTAAGTTAATTACAATTTTGAATTAGATATGTTTATATTATTATAATGATAACAAAATTCACAATGATAAGAGCATTAATATTATAATATGGATTTAACATAATTTTATAACAAGATTTTAATAACAGGTATAATACATTAATATTCCCTCATTTTCTCTTTATTAGTGACTTCTAGTAAGGCATCTAGTTCATAGAATTTCGCTTCCTGGATTATGGCAGCGAGTTTAAGACCTTGGATAGGTAACAAATGTTTAAAAGATATGGGGGAGTTTAAATTTCGAAGGTACTCTAAGATAATGGGGAAATGATCAGGGCTACGGTCTAAAAAATAATAACTATAATAGTTGTCTTGTTTGTAGGGTTGAAAAGGGGAGTCAGGGGTTATCATCTTGGCCAGGATACAGGATGGGTCTTTGCTTAAAATGAAATTGCTTGTGTAAAATAGGGTGCCTCCAACATTTAACGCAATACGGTTGTCCTGGGTGGTTTGAAAGGATTTCAGTTTTAAGGTTATTCTGTTCGTAGGGATGTACGTGGGGGATTGGAGTTCGCTACTGTGGGGGTGTAAGGCAACAGCCCCAGGAATGGCTGGGTTAATTGTATTACTATTATTGTTACAATTATTATTAGATTTCGACACGGATGACAATGATGATGATGAGGATGATGATGACGACGATGACGATATTGATGATAAAAGTAGATCTTGGATTATGGAAACTGGTGTCTTCGTCTTCTCTGGTGAAATTGGTGATTTCTCTGACAACACTGGTGTTTTTTCTGACGAAATTGTTTTTTTCTGTAAAGGAACCGATGTCTTGTCTGATGCAGCTGATGTCTTCTGTATGGTATCGGGTATCTTCTTTAATGTAATTTTTGGTATTGTAGGAACTGGTAATTTAACTTTAGGATGAATATAATTTTTATTTGACTGAATAGGTGGGGCAGGCGGGTCAATCGATAGTTTCAGGTGCTTCATCCCATTGTATGGTTTTTCTGGTATCGTACGATTTCGAAACGGGGCTTGTGGATGCTTATCTGTAGGTAAAGATTGTCGTGTAATTATTAATGCCCTTCTCCTTCCACAGAAAGCTTTATATTCATCCTCGTCGTTTTGATTGAAGGTCATGGTTGCTTTATTGATCAGTTTCATCCTGGCAGTTCCAGGACATTTTGGATGTTTTACGTCTGCTCTCGCGGCCAGTCCAAAACAGTGCGTGCACTGATAGCCAAAGTTACTATGACATGAAGTGACGTGCCTCTCCGCATACTGATATTTGGCGAATTCTGCGTTCATACATAGTTTACACCCATAAAAAAAAAATAAAAATAAAGAGTTGATAATTTATGACATCTTTAACCAATTGGGTATATTATTTCCCGTATACGGTTTCAGATGATTATGGTGGACCATTTTAGGTTGGGTCTTTGGGGATTTTTGTATTTTATAGACTACATTATTAAGACATTTTGTCACCAGGTAGGGTCCCTCCCATGGACACCTTAACTTTGAACCTCCACCTTTGTATTTGTGGTTATAATACCATACAGGACTGCCGGCATTGTATGGATTTAATTGAATAGATCTATCGTGATCAACTTTCATGTTTGCCGTGGCTTGTTTTAAACGCCCTCTAGCAAAACTATGTATTCGTTCTATTTTATTTTGTAAGTCAAAAGCATAGTCTGACTTTATTTTTAAATTTGTAGGTTCCACTGATCCGAGAATGAGATCTACTGGAAGACGGATGTTGCGGCCGAAGACCATTTCACATGGAGAAACGCCCAGTGATTCGTGTTCTGCAGAACGATACGCTGACATGAGTAAGTATATGTGGTCATCCCAATCATTTTTATTAATATTTACAAATGCTGACAACATGGCACTTATGGTACGATTGGCCCTCTCAACCATTCCATCGGATTGGGGTCTATAGGGGGTGGTTCGAGTTTTCTCAATATCTAAAATTTTACACATTTCTTGGAACACCTCAGACTCAAAGCTTGGTCCTTGATCGGAATGGATTTGCATGGGGGTACCAAAAATTGTTACAATTCGGTCAATAAAGGGTTGGGCTATTGTTATAGCTCTTTGATCAGGTATTGGCATAGCCTCAACCCATTTAGAGAAATAATCGGCTGCCACTAGTAGGTATTTATTTCCATGCTTTGTTTCCGGTAATGGACCCAGGACATCTATAGCCCATCTTTCCATAGGTAAACCCACGTTGTAGGTTTTTAAAGGGCCTTTGGCTACCTTGGCAGGGGATTTGCGAGAGGCACAAATATCACAAGTCTCACACCATTTCCTTATGTCATTATGCATTTGATACCAAAAGTATCGGTTTTTGATCTTAGATAATGTTTTTTTATAGCCTAAATGACCCCCTGTTCTGTGTTCATGAAGTTGGGACCATGCAGAATTTCTCAGGATATGAGGGAGAATAATTAAGATGGCTGGATCTTGGCCTTTCCCCTTATCCCAGATATAGCATAACCGATCGTGATCAATTAAAAGGGATTCGAACCGCATCCAATAGTATTTGGTGCGCTGATCTCTGTCCGATATGTTTGGCCACGAAGGTTTATCGTTATGCTTAACCCACTGGATTATTTCATGGAGTGTAGGGTCTCCCAACTGTAGGTTGATTATTAATTTGTCGTCATATATATTTATTTCTTTATTTATATTTACAGGAAGGGAAGAGGAAGATAATGGATTTTTGTTTAATTGGTCTATTGGAGCACTTGTGCAAGCCAAAACATTAAGGTTTTCATTGGAGGTACGTGGATCTTCGATAATACTATGCTTGTATCTCTGTTCCGCTTTGGTACAGTGGAGACAGTCAACTATGCATGGTCGTCGAGATAGTGCATCTGCATTATTGTGTACTCGTCCTGCCCTGTACTGAATGGTGAATTGGTAGGAAGACAGGAACTCAAACCATCTAGCAAGTTGTCCTTCAGGATTTTTAAAATTTATAAGCCATGTTAATGCACCGTGGTCACTTCTGACTGTAAACGGTTGACCATAGAGATAATGGTGGAATTGTTTCACTGAACTTATAATTGCTAGTAATTCTCTTCTGGTTACACAATATTTCCTCTCCGTTCTACTAAAAGCTTTACTATAGTAACTTATCACTCTTTCTACACCATCTTGTGTTTGTGAGAGCACAGCACCTAAACCATTATTGGATGCGTCAGTGTCCAAAATAAAATGACCTTCTAATTTAGGGAATGCAAGTATAGGCGGACTGGTTAAAGCTTCTTTGAGATTATCGAAGGCAGATTGGCATTCATCGGACCATTGGAATATAGTTCTTATCTCTGTTAGTTTATGAATGGGTTTAGCGATATCTGCAAACTTATTGACAAATTTCCTGTTGTATGAGCATAGCCCAAGGAATTGTCTGACCTCTTTAACATTTTGAGGAATAGGCCAATTGTGTACTGCGTCTGTTTTAGATGATTCAGTGGTAATTCCATCCTGATTAATTATATGACCCAAGAATGATACTTGTTTTTTAAACATAAAACATTTCTTTGGATTCATTTTCAGGTTTGCTTGTTGGAGCCTCTGGAAGACTTTTTTTAAATTGGATAAGTGCTCGTCAAAGGATTTTGCAAAGATAATGATATCATCCAGGTACACCATACATATTTCCCATGATAAGTTAGCTAAGACCTTCTCCATCAGTCTTTCGAACGTGGCCGGCGCGTTGCACAATCCGAATGCCATGTTTTTGAACTGCCACAGTCCACATCCGGGTACAGAAAAAGCAGTTTTGGGCCTATCTTGTTCGGCAATCTTGACTTGCCAATATCCCGATCTCAAGTCAATCGTTGAGAACCAAGAGAAACTAGACAAGGCATCAAGAGTAGTGTCAATCCGAGGTAATGGATGACTATCTTTTATGGTGACATCATCTAGACGTCTGTAATCAATACAGAACCGTAGTGTATTGTCTTTCTTTTTAACTAAAACGACAGGAGAACACCAAGGACTATCAGATTTTTCTATTATATTTTTCTGTGCCATGCTTTCTATTTCCAATTCAACCTCTTTTCTGCTTGCCAGGGGGACGCGACGAGGATGCTGACGAATTGGTGGAGCACAACCAGTATTAATCCAATGCTCAGCTTCATTGGTGATGCCTATATCAGATGAATCTTTGGAAAAGGTATGTTTGTATTTTAACAAAAGGGATTTGAATGAACGTTGCTCGTTCTCAGTTAATTCATCTATTGAATTATTATAAACTTCCATCAAATAAATCAGGAAGGATGTCTGAATCCAATGCAGGAGATTGATTAGTGTCTATTTCATTAATGGGAATATTACTTTTCATTTCTGAGACCAGCTGAACTGTGTCAATACGGGCAATAATTGTGTTTTTTCGGACTCTTATTTCTGTGTTGGTAGCGTTCATTAAACGTACGGGCACAGACCCCGAGCTAGGGTTAACAACACTTTTTGCCATTAACAGTTCTGTCTTTTCCAGAAAATTTTCAGTAGGTTCGACAATTGCGACACCACTTCTAGGTATCGGATCCATTAAGATCCCAAAGACAAAAGTCTCACTATTAGCGGGTATAGTAATATCCTCATTCATGCAAATCCTACTGCAAGTTTGCTCCATAGAACTTTGAAATCTATAGCATGGTAGATCATCTCCTTTAATATTCAGGCAATTCCTGTCGAGAAATATATTTATTGAATTGGAAGTAAGTAGGTCAATGCCAATAATTCCTTGCTGTGTAATATCAGCTTTTAAAAACTCATGTTTTATCCTATGAGTACCAAGGGTTATATCGATCCAGCATTTACCATGGAACGGTTTCTTTTCGCCAGTGGCAGTTACCAGGTTAAGATTAACAGGCTTTATATTTAATTCATCCAAAGCCCCATATGTTTTCATAAATTGCGTACTAAGTATAGACACATTAGCTCCAGTGTCTACAAGTAAGGATATAAATTTCCCCATTATATTTGCATTAATAAAAAATCCATGTTTATCATCATTAATATTACTTATTGTTACATTATTGGGCCCTTTGTTATTTTCAATTTCTGCTGAATTCTGACCCTCGAGTTCAGCAACATTTAGTTTTCCTGGTTTTGGAGATCCCTTTCCCTCTGTAAATGGGGATTATAGGTTGTCTCCCTTGGTTTGGATTGTGACTCCTCATCAGGGTTTTGATGATTAGGTTGATTCCAATTATATGGTGGACGAGACCATCCATTTCTTGTGTTTGCCATATGCTGGGGCCTATCTGCTCTCCTATTGGAGTTATAGTGATACCCGCCATAATTATTATTAGAGTTTGTATGTTGTTGGTTATTTGGCCAATGACTCCGACTGTAATTGGGATTTTTATTCCAGGAGCTACGTGATGATTGCTGCAATGGTTGTCCCTTATTTAGGGTATTTATCAAGTGTTTGGTAGTTTTATCCAATGATGTGATTGAACCATTCAAGGTAAGTATATCAATTTTGCTTTGACCCATATCATCAGATTTTACAGCTCCAGCTCCGACCTGGTTTATATTATGATTTAGATCTACAGAATGAACTGAACGTCCTCTTTGTTTATCTGCCAGTCTGTGGGCTTCGAGTCTAATAGAATGTATCTCAGCCTCATTGATATCCTTGGGTCTTAGTTCCCTAATTCGTAATCTCATTTCTGAGTCTGGTATGGAGTCTATAAAATGTTCTAAGGCTAAAATATTGGTGAGAGATGCATCTGCCGTGGGGTAGGCCTGTCTCGTTAGTTTGCGAATGGATTGAGCCAGCTCAGATAAGGATTCGTTTCTTCCTCTAATACGAGTTTGTAATTTTGCTCTATATATTTCAGATTTTTCCGTTGATCCAAAACGAATACTTAGGAGGGTTGTGAGGGTATGGAAATCCGTTCTCTGGATAGTATTTAATTCTGACAAGATTGTCCTGGCGTTTCCAGACAAACTACTGGCTAGGTAAAGGGATTTTTCTTCGTAGCTCCACTTGTTCAATGTGGCTATTATATCAAATTGTGAGATATATTCCTCAAAATCTTCACTTCCATCATATGATTGTGGTTTGATCCTAAGGGGGTTATTAATTCTAGGACTGGTGGGAACATGTGCTTGGATTGAGGTATGATTAGAATTTTGATTATGGCTTGGTGTGCTTCTGTTTTGAGCAACTCCATTTCCATTTGAGTAAAATGTGGCAGGATTTGGATCATTTACTTTTTCATCCAATTTATTAACATGGTCTTTTAGTAATCTAACATCCTCCTTTAATTCCTTTAAATTGTCTAAAAAATCATTTTGAACCTGAGCATTTTCCAGGAAGAATTGATTAAATTGTCGGCTAATTTCTTTAAGAATTCCATCGTCACCCATATTCTGATTTTCTATTTCAGTTCCTGAGACATCACCATCAACTGATTCTACCGAGGGCATATCCGGATCAGTGTCTGGGATAATTTCGAACTCTGGGGACAAGGATTTGGTTGCCATTTTTATAGATGTATTTAGAATCTATTACTACTATTATTAATATTAATAAAGGAACCTAATTCATTTATTTATTTGGAGTTTGTGTTTATTAGAACTTCCGATCCACTAGACACTGGAATAAGTTTCAATGAAATCAATTTAATTTGAATCCCACTTCTGACACCAATGTAGCGCCTCAACATTTATTAGAGACTTTTTAGGGGTTCGTTCCAGCCTAGCACTTCAATCGAAAGAACTAACAAACTCGAGTGTAGATAAAAATAAACATCTTTATTTGGATCAATTTATAATTGGGATACATCGCATTAAGGGGAGATAATTTGGGTGAGACGCCAACCCTTTGGATAAATTCCCAGGTATGGAAACAGGAATTAGGTAAATAAATACATTTGCCCTGTCAGGCCGGTGGATATGACGGGATTAAATCGGAGATTTGGTGACATAAGGAATTGGTAAGACTTGGCGGAATGGGTGAACCACAACTATCTAGGCCTATCTTTGATGCCAGTCACGGTTAAACCAACCTATGAGTCTTTAAATAGGAGACCAGTTATGGATAAATTACCACAGCCAAAGCTAGGATATTAATTCCTTACCCATTTTTGGTGATCCATATCCAATTTAAAATAGCTGGATTGCTGCCAATTACGTAAGGAGCTTTCCCGAGTGCACCGAGTGTCCACAAGGATTTCCTTGTCGTCTGCTTCTATTTATAAGGGGATTCCGATGACGTCAGTTGTCGACCAATCAATGCGAGCGTTACTAACAATGACGACGTTATAGCCTTGACCGCGCCAAAGTGTCATGGCCGCCGGCTGTTTGATGTCGCTTGTTTCGCTAACTGATTTGTGTCAATTCATCGGCCTAATGGTAATGTATGACATTGTTATATAAATGTGTTTCGGGCGTGAACTCTACAAGGGAGCTGGTCTCATTTTTTGACACTCTCAGTCGGAAACGACGTGCGAAAGACTGGAATCGCCTGGACCGTAACACACTTCTGCACATGACAAGTTTTATTATGCGATTATTTAATTTACTTCATGTTTGTGAGTGTGTATATCAGAGATGGGATTTCGCCCGTATATTCCGGACATGTCCGATGCTGTTTTCCAAACATCCTAAATAGTCCGACCAGGAATATGCCCAATCGGACATCAAGACATGGTGAATAATGTTCAAATTTCCAAAATTAATATAGTGTACTGAGTGTATAACTACCACTCAACCCGATTATCGTTGATAATAGGCTGGATTGATTAGATGATTAGGTAATTAAGTGATCAACGTATTTACACTACTTAATCTGCCTTGATTGACTGACTTAATCCTTTGTCGGACAATTCATCAATCTAATCTTAAACAGAAGTCATTGCTTCCCATCTCTGTTGTATATATATACATGTATTTTATATATGTGTCTGGGTGTTTGTGTATATATATATTATTCATGTAAAGCGCCACTGAATACCGATACATCAAAGATGTAATAATGAGCACTATATTAAATTCAATAAATGAAATGAAATGGGGTTTAACGGCCTACCGTTCTGCTCCGACTGGGCTAATAAAAATGGGCATACAAAATACCGTGTGCTATGAGGGAATTTGCCAGGGTAGCGGCACTAGGGCCTATTCTCATATCTAATTTCAACTGCCAAGGGATCTTTTACGTGCACGCCAATGTACATGTATACAGTGGACCTCGACTTTTTGTACCATCCGAATGACTAGACAGCTATCCTTGTCAAGACCCTCCGTCCTGCACCACTAACACGGGGAACAACGCCAGAAAAATTCAATAAACATAAACATACTTCGTTGGGAACCCAGTTCAAGTTAACATTATTTTATAATTGAATAAAGTTCATAACATTGTTTTATTATTTCTTTACTTCCACATTGAAATTTAATCGTATATTTTCGTCAGCCCGTCTCTCCGGCATACGCAATTGCTTGTCGATGCTCTAAAGGTTAAAGCGAGAATTTCATATTTTCTAAGAAAGTCAAAACATAATTATTTCTATGTCTTTTGCGCAATAGGTTGTCAACTCACTATTATACAATCATAGGTATCGTTCTCACACTTAAAAATCATTCACCCTGGAAATAACACAATTACCTCCCTTGTTTTTCTATTCCCCCCATGGAATAGCTATCTTCAAACGTTTGAATTTGAAGTTGAAAATGATATTTTTGCCAATTTCTCAACTGGCAATAGTGAATTATAGGATTAATAAGATTATTCTTTAACAAGGTAGAACTGGTTATAGATACCATCTATTTTAAGGCTTTATTTTAATACATTTTAAAAATATAACTTAAAAATATGAAATTATCGCTTTAAAGTTAATATCCAATTGACTTTAAATCTTTAAGTTCATCAGACAAAGTAGCCTATTGGTTTTCAATGATTTCTTATAATTACTGCCAGAGTTATGACCCTTGATCACTTTAAAAAAATCTTGTGGATGCTTTCGAGACCAGAGTTATCATCTGATTGATTTTTTGTTTACCGTGTTTACGCCTAGATTGATACACAGAATTTAAAGTCTTGAGAATAACAAACAATGTAATGAGATGAAATGGGGTTTAACGTCCTACTGTTTTGCTCTGAACTGGGATAATGAAAACGGGCATACACCATACGGTGTGCTATGAGGGAAATTTTGCCCGGACAGCGGCACTACGGCCTACTCTAAACAGACACATGATAATTCATATGGGGGAAGCCCGATGAATGTGGTGTTTGTAGTAAATCATTTACTGAACGAGGTAGTGTATGGAAACATGTGACAAACAAGTCATATGTGAGAATCCTCACACGAAAAGATAATCCATATGGAAGAAGTCTATTAAATTTTATATTCGTACCCGTAGTACTTTTAGAAAACGTACTGGAGAAAAACCATTGTTGTGTAAAAATAATAAATTATATTTTGATATTTAATGATATAAAAATGTTACAAATTTCTTGTTTAAAATGTTGATTTCGTGCATAAGAATGCAATTTGATTAAAACATCTGTTATATAAAAATAAGGTTGCCGCGATTTCCCGGCAAAAATTATCGTTTGAAATCTCAAATATGGCTTTATCATGATATATCACGATGATTCTATAAAATATCGCGCTATTTTCATTTTGATCACAATTCCTGTTAAATCCGTTCAAAATACTCCAAAAATGAAGAAGAAATCAAATTGTAACAAGTGCCGATACTAGATCTATTCCATTTTCCAAATTCCACAACAGACTTTGAGACGGCCGTTTTTAACGTAAAGGACCAACCAACCAACATTAGTCTCATGTATTAAGTATATTTCACTGGACAAGGGCAGCTGTCTAGTCGTTCGGATGGGACGAAAAACCGAGGTCCCGTGTACACATTGGCATACATGTATAAGATCCCTTGACAGTTGGGATTCGATGTAAGAGTAGGCCGTAGTGCCGCTGTCCATGCAAAGTTTCCCTCATAGCACACTGTATGGCGTATGCCCGTCTTCATTAGCCCAGTTCGGAGCATAACAGAAGGACGTTAAACTCCATTTCATTTCATTTACATTTCACTGAATAATATTAATCGTTATCATACACGTGTTGGCTACGCTTTGATATAATCTGGTCCCATACCCCGCACGAAGAAAGCTTCCACAATATTTATAATTATGACTGATATTATAACGGTAAGGATACCCCTACGTGGAATGACACAGTTAAACTACAGGCGACTATATATGTCGCCATTGTAATGAAGAGATGGTTTATCGTTAATTACCCAGTCCGTTCAAAATTACATAGATATTTTACATTGAAAAATCGTCTGGATAATATTTCTTTTATTCTTTGAATAAAATGATTTCCGAGCTCGAAACTGTCAATGTCAATCGGAATTTTTCTGATGACAGTTCGGCAGACTGCAAAATACACACTGCTGCTGAAACGAAAAAGAGCATTTCTTCTGTCACTCATATTTTAGTTTAAGAAGAACACCTGTTAACCAGATATTGAGTAAATGTATATTTATTCGGTATTCTGGGCATTCCAGCTGATCAGAATAGAATGATCTGCGGTGACGATACCTACAGGAATAATTTTACCCCAGCATATATACTATTCAAAAAAAGTAGGGGATATTTGATTTTGGGGGCATAATACTAAAATATGCAAATGACTACGAAAAAAGTCACTATAGAACCTAACAGAAGAAACATTTCCAGTTACATGTGACGCCCAAACGCACCAATAGCTACCGCATGGAATGCAGGTGATGCTTGGGATCATCATGGGGGTCCAACCCAAGATTTGCACGACTCTGACTTTGAATGTTACAGTCATTGTGGCATTGAATTCCAGGGTGGAAACATCAGTTTAATTGTTTTAGTGACCAGAAAACAAATTTTGATATGCGTCGGCTTATCCAAAATGAAAGGTTACGTGCCCTTGGCATGCTACAGATCGGCACAACACAGGCGGTTGTGGCACGGACGATGAATGTTTCTCAGTCTGTCATAAGCAGGCTATGGTCCAGATACCGTGATACACAATCTGTACAGGACAGACCACGCTAAGGTCGACCAAGGGGCGACAACTCAGCCCAGGATCGATTTATCCGTACCTTGGCCTTGAGAAATCGTGTCATCACAGCAAATCAGATCAGCGCTCGTCTTCAAACAGACACTGGTGTGAGAGTGAGTGGCCAGACGATTCGGAATCGACTGCATAGGGGTCACCTTCGCGCCCGACGTCCTCGCGTGATCCCTTGTTTGAGAGATCATCACATTCAGGCAAGACCTCGTTGGTGTAGGGATCGTCAACACTGGGATAATCGACGCTGGTGCAATGTGATGTTTTCAGATGAGTCAAGGTTCATTGTTGATTTTTTGGACAGACGTAGGAGGGTGTGGCGTCGTCGAAACGAGCGCTTCCAAGACGTTAACGTCATCAGACATGATCGATTTGGGGGTGGTTCTGTTATGGTGTGGGGAGGCATCACTGTTGCTGGAAGAACGGCTTTACATGTTGTTGCAGGGCGTGTTACAGGCCAGTACTACCGGGACAACATCTTGGCAGTCCATGTTGTGCCGTTCGCACGACGTCATGGCCGCCGTTTCATCTTCCAGGATGACAACGCAAGATGTCACAGGGCCAGGATCGTTACAGGTTACCTCCAACAACAGAACATCACCACATTACCTTGGCCAGCACTGAGTCCCGACCTCTCCCCCATCGAGCATGTCTGGGACATGCTTGGACAGAGGTTACGTCAACGTCAACAACGTCCTGCCAATGTCCAAGAACTTGCTGCTGCGTTGCAACAGGAATGGGACAATCTGGACCAAAATGACCTTAGACGTCTCATTAGGAGTATGCCACGTCGGATCAATGCTTGTTTGGCAAACAGAGGAGGATTTACCCGTTACTGACTTGGTTGTGATGCTGTGGTAACTTTGCTGTTTGACCCCGGGTATCATTTTACCCTTATAATGGTCAGTCTGTGCCTTACTTAGTCTAACGATCATTTGGAATAATTCGATGAATGTGAACTTCATTTCATTTTGTCATTTGTTTCTTCGTCAGTTTCATTAGGTGACTTTAATAACACTTAAAAATCAAATATCCCCTACTTTTTGTGAATAGTATATATACATGTATATATATCTCACTTCATCAGTGCATCTCACATACACTGCTAAATACCAAATGGATACACTAGATACATACTTAGGTGGAAGTGGACGTAAAACTCTAGAAATGAACGAACGAACGAACTAATTTACTCCAGACGATAATACATAATATCGCGATAATTTGCTTTACCAATATTTTGTTTCTGTATCGTTGCATTATATAGGCTTTGCCGGTTTCCCAATCCTAAAATGAAATAAAATATTGTTTATAAAAAAAATAACAGGTGCTCTAGTTGATTTGAGGAATTAGCCAATTCAACTTCGCAAATTAATTTCATATTTTATGTTTTCATTATTTATGGTAGGTTATGGCTCTTGTTACACTTTGTTGAACATTGTGAACGCTCTTGTATCCAACCTCGTGGGTTTTCTCCGGATCCTCCCTCTGCTAAAGACCCATATGTTAGTTCTGAAATTACCTTGGTGGTGTTGAGTTAAACCCCATTTCTCTCTCTCTCAATTTGTTTAACCTTGTGAACTCCCTATCAACAAATATCTGATGGATACCTACAAGAAAATAATATGCAACAACCCTTGTTGACTGCTCGGACGATTTGGCTGCTGTGGGTGTATGCTTAGTTGCACGGCAATACTGAAGATTAACATGTCGTTCTCTCAACATGGCTAGACTCTGGAACCCACTACATGTACATCATGGCTTTTTGAGAATCAGACCTGGTTTAGTTCTTTTTTAGGTGAAAACCCCCCAAATTGCTTACATCATAGACGGATGAAATTCCAAATATGGAATAGACATGCTCCATACCGATGGGGATTATTCCCTAATTTGGTCAACAAATATGATCACACTGATCAGCAGTGAATATTTGCTAGTCTTCTACAATCACTGATAGGGATGACATTGATGCAGCTTAATGAGCCCCCAATATTAACTTTTTTCCTTCTGAAAATTAAATTCTAGAACATTTTTGTAAGCATTACAAATATAAATAAAGGTGTTTCAAGTATATGTAGGTAAAAAAATATTTCCTATTTAGTGTAAATGGATAGGTAAAATGAATAAAAGGCACCATTCTGTCCGAACAAAATGACCTGGGAAGGAAACTGTTATAAACTGCTTGGTCTTGAATGATCACAGGTAGCTGGTAGACCTAATTTTCAGTCCTGGGATTCGACACAAACGATTGTTTAAAATTCTTGAAGATGCATTATGTAAGATTTAGGGGATGCTCGATTCACAGTCCAGAACATCCCGAATTGACAGAATTGCAATCGAGTAACGCGGAATTCAGTTTTGTCACAGTTCTGTCAGTCCCGATAACGGAGGTGTTGTGAGTAGAATCGTGACTTAATTAAAAGGTTTCGGCTGCATGGTTGGTTGAGATATTTACTTATTCAGTCGACACATGAGTTGTAGCCCGAAATCTCCCTTTTCACTCGATTGTCACTATTTTTGGGATTGAGAGAATTCAATTCCGGAACGTTCAATCGAGTACCCCTGTAGATACAGAGCTGTCCGTTCTTGCTATAATACTAGCTAATTTAGATAATGAAAGATGAATATATTGAAATTTTCATTCGAATTACTTGATTCTGAGGAATGTTTTGAAGTTTTGACATAAATTGTTTATTATAGTAGAAACATTACTTGTTAATCAAGACTCAGTATTTTAATTGTGTTTAGTCCAAGAGAGTTGATTGTTGCTTGTCATGTAAATAATAACTTGTATAACATTTGAAGCCAAAATAAAACCTGTAATAGGCAGATTTAGCTCTTACATAATGAATCTTTAACAAATTTTCAGACCCGGGTTCAGATAATAATAAATAAATAAAACATTTATAATACAACTTGGTTTCGGATACAAATAAATAAATAAAATAAGTATAACACTTTGTGTATATTTACCTGTAGTAATACTACATTGTTGAGAGCCCGATGCAAATTAGTTATTTTGTTATTGATTAAAGTTAACATTATTTTATAATTAAATAAAGTTTACATTATTTTATATATTCTATATCAATCTGTACCACAATCACTAGCAGTAAAGGGTTTTCACTTTGTAGTCCAACTCAGTGTACTGTAATACTGTACAGACAGTGAATTAGTCGTGTTGGGTTGGTCCACGTCTAGAATCGACATACAACCCTCGCTTGACGTAAAACCGGAAGTAATTTTAGATCAATGGTGATTATGTTAATTGGTCTTTGTGATGAAAGCAAGGTTTCCAAGTTCACCAAAGACAAATTGTCTACGCTATCAGAGTGACTGGAATGTTTCCAAGTTGAACGGAGAAAAATGTCTACGATATCAGAGTGACCGGAAGCGGAAGTTAATACCCCTGATAAATATAGCCGACCTATCACGACATTAACCACACAAACTCGGCGACAAAGAAACTATAAAATTAAAACCACATACACAGAAGTGAAAAATTGCCATGGTAAGATTTTATTGTACCACTTCCACTCATAGACCAGCATACAACAAACCATTACAATTATTCAATATAACTCTAACCTAAAAACACAAATTAGAATTTAATATATGATATGATGGTGTTATTTTAGTAGTAGGGGTTTCAGGTCAAAGTTTTAAATGACAGAAATGTTTTTTTTTTTAAATATTTCATGAAAATATACATAAAATTCTACCCAAAATTTTTTATTTCATCAAAATATTCTAATTGGATCAAAAGTTATCGAATTTTAAAATCTCAGATCGAGGTCAATAATGTAATCAAAATGCTCTATACCAGTCAATCCTTGCCATGGCACCAAAATAAGTGCTTTTCAGTCATATCTGACTGACGTCATAAGCAGTATTTTCCATTCAGAATCGCTAGTACCAATTTTAAAACTCAAATTTAGAATCGCAGATTGAAGCAGGCTATATTTCAGCCGCTGGCTGTCAGATTTCACACTAAAATCATGTGACCTGAAATCCCTATTAGTAGGGAGCAGATCAGTTTATCCCATGACCGTTTCACCTCGAGCTCTTTCATCCCAAACTTCCATGTACATGCGTCGTTTCTTCCCACTTATATAGAGGGTCGTTTCAATTAATGGACTTAACTGTCCATATTGATACTGGTACCACAAAAGTGTTTGTATTCAATTTCAACATACATAAACAATCATAACATAAATAAAATAGATCAATTAAATTATATTATGAATAAAGATATATATGTGAAATGGCTTTATTTAACATCCGCTTCCACGGCGGGTCACGCTGGCTCGCTAGCCTGGAGGTCAGGGGTTCGATCCCTGCATTGGCCGTGGTTCCTCCTTGTCAGTGATGCACGACGGAGAGTCGGACAAGCACAGCTGTCTAGTCGTTCAGATTGGATGGAAAACTGAGGTCCTGTGTACACATTGGCCTGCACATAAAAGATCCCTTGACAGTTGGAATTAGATATAAGAGTAGGCCATAATATGTACATCTAAGACATAATATGTACATCTAACACATAATATGATATATAATTTCCTAGAGATTATAGCGCCATATGTACATCTAACTTTTATATATTACAGGATACTAATGATGTTATAACTTTTATATATTACAGGATACTAATGATGTTATAACTTTTATATATTACAGGAAACTAATGATGTTATAACCTTTATATATTACAGGATACTAATGATGTTATAACTTTTAAATATTACAGGATACTAATGATGTTATAACTTTTATACATTACAGGATACTAATGATGTTATAACTTTTATACATTACAGGAAACTAATGATGTTAAAACTTTTAAATATTACAGGAAACTAACGGTCTTATAACTTTTATATATTACAGGAAACTAATGATGTTATAACTTTTATATATTACAGGAAACTAATGATGTTAAAACTTTTAAATATTACAGGAAACTAACGGTCTTATAACTTTTATATATTACAGGAAACTAATGATGTTAATACTTTTATAAATTACAGGAAACTAACGGTCTTATAACTTTTATATATTACAGGAAACTAATGATGATATAACTTTTATATATTACAGGAAACTAATGATGTTATAACTTTTATATATGACAGGAAACTAATGATGTTATAACTTTTATATATTACAGGAAACTAATGATGTTATATCTTTTATATATTACAGGAAACTAATAATGTTAAATCAATTTACCAGTGTGTTGTATGTGATGAGATTTTTCAACAACTTGATGATTTAGAAAAACACAATAAAGTACATGTTAAAGAAGAGAAAACTGATGATGCAGATGAATATTGTCATGTTAAAGAAGAGAAAACTTATGATGTAGATGAATATTGCCATGTTAAAGAAGAGAAAACTGAAGATATTGAAACAGTTTATCAGTGTAATTTATGTGATGAAGAATTTAAATCTGACATTGATTTAGAGAAACACTGTGAAATACATGTTAAAGAAGAGTTGAAAGCTTATAATGATAGTGATGTAGGCCTACAATCAGCTGACAGTCAGGGTATTGATGTAGGCCTACAATCAGCTGACAGTCAAGGAAGTGATGTAGGCCTACAATCAGCTGACAGTCATGCTGTAACAAAATGTTTTAAATGTGATGTTTGTTGTCAATTATTTAGTCATACTACTGGCCTACAAAACCACAAAAGAATTCATTCTGGAGGAAAACCTTATAAATGTGATGTTGGTGGTAAAAAATTTATACAGCGTATTCATCCTTATAGTCACCTGAAAAGCCATACTGAAGAGAAGCCTTATCAATGTGATGTTTGTGGTAAATCATTTATTTATGATGGAGGCCTACAAAACCATAAGAGAATTCATACTGGTGAAAAGCCATATAAATGTGATGTTTGTGGTAAATCATTTTCACAAAGTAGTCATATATACAGGCATATGAAAATCCATACTAGAGAGCCATCTTATAACTGTGATGTTTGTAGTAAATCATTTGGTTATAGCGATTACTTGAAGCAGCACATGAAGACACATACTGTTGGAAAACCATATAAATGTGATGTTTGTAGTAAATTATTTTCAAGTTCTGTTGGTGTACAGCAACACATGAGAATTCATACTGGTGAAACACCATACAAATGTGATATTTGTAGTAAATTATTTAGACAAAGTTGTAGTTTACTGAAACATGTGAGAACTAATTGTGGATCATTAACACAGAAAATTAATCTTCAGAAACCGATAAAAACTCCAACTGTAAAAAGACCTGTTCAATGTGATGTTTGCAATAAGTCATATACTGAACCAAGTACTCTACGGAAGCACATGAGAATTCATACTAAAGAGAAACCATTTTAGTGCGGTGTGTGTAGTCGATTATTCACCGAAAATAGTTCTCTACACAGGAGAAAACTTATAAATGTGATGTTTGTGGTAAATCATATACTGACCGAGGTAGTCTACGCAAACATGTGATAATTCATATGGGAGAAAACTTATAAATGTGATGTTTGTAGTAAATCATATACTGACCGAGGTAGTCTACGCAAACATGTGATAATTCATATGGGAGAAAACTTATAAATGTGATGTTTGTAGTAAATCAAATAATTAAGCATAGTACAGTATGGAAGCACGTGAGGAACCCATTCACTGAGTATGGTACTGTTCAGAAATAAAATAAAACCAAGTACGAACAATCCAAACCATAAGACAGAATTCGAAGTCCTAAAAAAAGTTATAGGCAAAATAGTGTATTCAAGCAAAATAGTGTAATCAGCAAACGGACTGCTCCTCGTGTACGAATTACACGACAAACAGTGGTAACAGGTGTCTGGAAGAGTAAGCTTACAACTTATACTGGAAAAAAAACTTTCAATGTGTATAGTAAATCATACACTGAACGATACTCCATATGCGAGACACGGATGGAACATGTGCCCTATATTATTGAATACGGAAATGTTTCTTGATTGTTTTTAGAACATTAAGGTTTAGACTACTTTTTTATACATTTCACTGATGTGGTTACGTGTATAGTTGAATTTTACTGATTACATTTGTATTTCGTGTAGCATATAGCAGATCATGACTCATGTTGGCATTGCACAATGGTTTCTTTGGGTTGTATTCAGTGATGGGATTTCAAAATTATACTTGTCGGACATTTTACCGAAAATAAAGGGGCATAACTCTTATCGTTATTTAAGCAGACGAATTCGTACCACAATTAAAAGTCACATGTCAAAATATTCAAATCCCGTACGTAATAAAAATAGGTGAACCTCGCTATTTTTCATATTTAATTCCCGTACAGTATTCAATTCATACCACAATTAAAAACCACATGTCAACAAAATATTCAAATCCTGTACGTAATAAAAATTGGTGACCTCGCTATTTTTCACACTTAATTCCCGTACGGCATTCAAATTTATGTCAGTAAATGTCCTACAAAATTAAGCATTTTCGTGATATGTTGAATGAAAGCTTACCGATCCTGCTTCGGCATCAAATTCACAACCATAATATTCCTTTAGAATTACGTGTCTTCGTTTATACGACAGCAAATGAATGCAGAACTTCCGAAATAGTTAAATCACTTGTAAACAGGCATAGCTAACTTCAGCGAATAACACTCTTTCAAAGTCACGACAGAGTGACAGGCATCATAGGCAACACAGCAGAATGATTGACGCCTACAAATACGTTAGAATTTCTGCTCATATAGTTATTGGTAGCCCCTCCCCTTTTTGTTATTTTGCTGTGTGCGTACTAGTCACGGTCACCCAGAAACTCCTAGTCTTCAACATATTCGTAGAATATTTTTCTGGATAATAGAGACTAATAGCCTACGTGACTCATCACACGGCTTCATAGTAAGCACTGCCTAATAATAAGTTAAGCAATATTCGTGCCGCGCTCGAGATCAAGGGAAAGTGCCACCGTGGATGAGAATTTCTATATGGATTCTTAAAAGACGTAAAAGATATCGTAGACAAAATGACTGTCCATTGATTTAGGGTGTTATTTACTCTTATGATATGTGACATCTATGATTAGTTTATTATAGATGATGTTGGCTCACATCAATGCGATTAAGATGCCCGATAAATGAGGTGGATTAAAATTATAATCATGCTTATTGAATTGATGAATAGTCCGACAAAAGGAAAGCAATGACTTATGTTTAAGATTAGATTGATGAATTGTCCGACAAAGGATTAAGTCAGTCAATCAAGGCAGATTAAGTAGTTAAATCAAGGTAGGTTTATACTATAGACGGTATAACACGATAAATACGTTGATCACTTAATTACCTAATAAACCCAGCGTATTATCGACAATAATCGGGTTGAGTGGTAGTTATACACTCAGTAAACTATATTAATTTCGGAATTTTGAATATTATTCACCATGTCTTGATGTCCGATTGGGCATATTCCCGGTCGGACAATTTTGGGCGTTTGGAAAAAAGATTCGAACAAGTCCGGAATATACGGGCAAAATCCCATCACTGGTTGTATTCCTGATTGTTTTCAAATTTGAGTGAAGTTTGTGTCAGTACAGACCCGGGACTGTAGAGCGCGGCTAGCCCCTGCATCCATTCACTTTTTTTTAATTGTCCGTCTGTTTGTGTTTTCCTGAGTATGATTTCTTGTCCGTGTATTTGTTTTTGTGTAAATTTTGTGTGGTGCAGTCCCCCTGCACTTACTATTATAAATGTGATGTTTGTAGTACTTTTAGAAAACGTACTGGTGAAAAACTTTTTGTAGTTTGATCACTTGTTGTGTAAAAATAATGAATTATATTTGGATATTTAATTATTATACAGTAAACTTTGCTAGTAGATAATTTCCGTTTTGGTGCGAGTAGATACTTCAGTTTTGTCGCCATCTTTTAAAAATGTCCTAAATTTTCTCAGTGTCTCGTACAGCAGACAGCGAGTTACAAATTTTCCTTGAAAATTCTATTATTGCGTTGTATCAAATAGGCTGATTTGAGTCAAATAATAGGGGAAAGTATTTTGGGCCTCTGTGCATAGAATACCCAACTGCGTTTTAGACCATCGGTACGAAACTGGCTCAGTCAAATTCTGATCATACTGTCGATCCGATTGAAGTGAAGGACAAAAGCCGGAATTAGATCAAATGGACTGAATATTTTGATCCAACTTACGCGCAGTAGAAATTTAATAAGAAAAACATGCAGGATCAAAGGGTCCAAACGATTTTATCCGAGTTGAGCAAAGATCTGGCTTATAAGAATCTGACTGTATAATAATGTTACCAATGAAAATGTTTCCATTGTCGTTTAAAGATAGAGAATTATATTTTGATGTAATAATGTTACCAATATAAATAGAGAATTATATTTTGATGTAATTATGTTACCAATGGAAAATAAAAGAAACAAATGCAGTTTCTTGTTTAAAATGTTGATTTTGTGCTGAGAATGTAGCAACAACAATTATTAGTTAATACTTCAGTTCCATCCAAGGTTTCCACTTTTCGCTGTCATACATATTTGATAATGCACGAAAACTTTGCAAATTAATTTCATACTTCATGGGTTTGAACATTGTGAAGGCTCTAATGACAAAAATTTTCTTTTGATCCATTTAGATTGGTAAAAATAAAGGAATATTACGGAATTTCAGCAATTTGCGTATACATGTATATATTTACTAGAGTTATGTCCCTTGTTTCAATTTGTTGAATGGCCGAATGGTTAATGTGTGCGCTCTATATCCTAAAGTCTGTCATTGAGTCAACTGACATGGTTTCAATTCCTTGGTTGTATGTGACAAGGAGTAGGGTCGCCTGTCCAACCTCATGGGTTTTCTCTGGGTCCTCCGGTTTCCTCCCACTGATAAAGACCCCTATGCGCAAGAGAATTATTGAAATAAAGACCCCTATGCGCAAGAGAATTATTGAAATAAAGACCCCTATGCGCAAGAGAATTATTGAAATAAAGACCCCTATGCGCAAGAGAATTATTGAAATAAAGACCCCTATGCGCAAGAGAATTATTGAAATGAGATTCATTCAATCATATGTAAGTCCCGAAATGACCTAGTTTGTGTCGAGTGGACATTAAACCCCATCTCTCTCTCTCTCTCTCAAGAGAGTTGATTGTTGCTTGTCATGCCAATAAATGTCTAAAAGCTACGTCCTACTCTTATATCGAATTCCAACTAGACAGCTTTCCTTGTCAGCCCCTCCGTCCGATAATAACAAGGTTTTGAATATTGATAAATAAATAAAACATTTATAATACTTTGTGTATATTTAGTAATACTTTATTGGGAATCCAGTTCAAGTTAACAACCTTATTGTATTTTTGAATAAAATTTATGTAGCCGGAGCTTTTTGTAACTCGGATGGTTTTCAATTAAGCAGCAGTGGATTAAACAGTTTATTCATAGATCAACCAAAGAAAACCAAAATCACTGATAAAAAAAAAAATGAAAATATAAATTCAAATATATTACAAACATGCCAACAAGATGAACAGAACATAGAATCAAAATAGAAATAAACATACAAAAGAAATAACAAATATAGACTAAGTTATATTTATAGCACGGCTTTCATGAGTTAACAAGTTTAAACTGCGAGACCGTAGGTCGAGATGTTAAACCTATTAACGAATGAAACATGCTATAAATGACTTGTAACATTGACACCTGCTCAACATGCTTGTTGTTATTGCACGGAAAACCCACCCTATTTCTCTATATGATTTCTGCTAAAATAAGTGTAAACCAGCAAAAGAGTGCAATAACATTGAACATGTCTAGTTATTGCACGGTTAAGCTCCACCCAATCTACTAGAGGTAAAACAATCTGCTTATTCAACGAAAAGAACAAAGGAAGATTTCCCGTCCATGTTACAAATACATGTATACCCTGGGAAAGGTGTTTTAATTATAAAAATACCAAATAAGTAGAAACTATTGTAATGATTATACCATTTGCCTCCTATGTCATCCTCCATTCTATATCATTGTCATGTTATTTCGTTATTATATCCAGTTGTATTTTCTCCGCTTCCAGTGTTTACTATTTGTTATTATTATGGGCTATGCGCAGTTATCTTGCGCAATAGTCATGTCGCTTGTCAAATTTTCACACTCGCGTAAATCACACTTCGCCATTAAATAACCAATAAACTATGCATTGTCTTGGATCGTCCTGAATGTGATTTACTCCCGAATACCTTATTTGTAAACTACGACATAATAGGCTGTTGTCGAGCTTGTATAACTTTGTAATTCGTATTTTCCTACAGCACAGCTATTTCTTTTCGCTTGTCAACCGGCATGGCGGAACTGAAGCGCGAGACGTCACTTGGCATGCGCGGCTACATGCCGTCTTCTGATTGGCTAGTCGGTATTATAAATAGGGATCAGACGGCTATTTTGACAGATAGCCTTTCACTGCGGATCTCTGTCAACCAATTTTCATTTCAATATGGTAAGGATTGCTTACGGTTATGACCGTGATTAAACAAGTTCGTGCTGCAACATAAGCAACCGTGTTCTATACAATTACAAAGTGCATGTTGCAAACATAACTAAATGTATAAAAGCTAACATGTTGTAATCGGAACATGTTCATGTTGCATTCATAACAAACTTGTTGCATCCATAACAAACCTGTTGTAATTTAACAAGGATTGGATTTTCAGACACTTGCTACTGTTATTAATTTAACTAGCATATTAATATAATTATAATAAGTTTACTATAGTTTTACTACTTTAACTATTTATTGTCTAGACGTGTGTTCCATCGACAACTCACTGTTAGTGATAGGCCTATATAATTATTGATAGTAATAGTAATACAAGTTCAGTACTTGTTTAATGTATAACAGTTCCGCTTATAATTATAACGTGTTGCCATCCGTGACCTGCATTTATTAATATTAAAGCTTCAAGCATCTTATTCTTATTTATAAATTATTCCATATTATATAGTAAATATAGCCTATAGCTCACAAGCTTAACTGAATTGTAAAATATAATATATTGCATGTATTTATAATTATTACACAGTATTAATATATATATATCATTACAGTCTTTAACTGTTAATAAATTGTTGAGATTTTAAACTTGGCTTGTGTCAATCCTTCGATCGTAGTGCTAGGCTGGGAACGAACGATCCACATATATATTTGTGTAGCACGTTTGCCTGGAAGTCTGTGGGGAAAGGGCGCGATACAGCATTAAGGGTCAGGGGGTCGAATCGCTACACTATGCTTCACAAATATAGAATAAAACAAACACCTCAATAAATATAGACCACTGGGAAAAAGGTAAAAATGGGACAAAAACTAAAGATGCAAATTAAATATTAATTAAGGAAATTCCTGTTATAAGAATTATTAATTAAAGTTGCAATTTCATATTTTTAAGTTATATTTTTAAAATATATTATAATAAAGCCTTAAAATTGATGGTATCTATAAACAGTCCTACCTTGTTAAAGAATAATCCTATTAATCCTATAATTCACTATTGCCAGTTGAGGAATTGGCAAAAATATAATTTTCAACTTCAAATTCAAACGTTTGAAGATAGCTATTCCATGGGGGGGGGGGGGGAATAGAAAAACAAGGGAGGGTAATTGTGTTATTATTTCCGAGGTCAAAGGATTTTTAAGTGGGAGAATAATACCTATGATTGTATAATAGTGAGTTGATATAGAAATAATTATGTTTTAACTTTCTTAGAAAATATGAAATTATCGCTTTAAGCTACTGGGATAAACGTATGCTAAATAAATATATTTACTGATAAATTTGAACTTGATTAAATTATTAAAAACAAGAATACCTGAATCGGAAGAAAACACAAAGGTCTTGACATGTCAAGATAGAAGTGCAATTTCAAACAAGGAGGTGCAAGTCAGGTAAACTCATTAAAATAATTCACTAAACACAATTACAATACCACACTGATCCGCAGTGAATTTTCGCTAGGCCGCTACAATCACTGATTCTAAAAAAATTTTTTCATTTATTAGAAAAATAAATAAAGACGTTTGCATTGTTTGTAGGTAACAGAGATATTAAAAGATCTCTGTGAAACAGATTGTTACAATACAACACACACTGGACTGGACACTACATCTTGGTGGGACACCAAACTGATATAAAAACATACACCATATATTACATAAACTTTATTATACATGTATACAACAAAACATTTATAAATACCACTCTACTACACTTACAACATTATTTTTATTTTATTATTTTACAAAGTTTACAGCATTGTTTTATTATTTCATAAGTTCTATATCATTCTGTGCCACAATCACTAGCAGTAAATGGTTTTCACTTTTTAGCTCAACTAAATGTACAGACAAATGAATTATTCGTGTTGGGTTGATCCGCGTCTAGAATCGAAATACAACCTTAACCTGTGATGTAAAACCGGAAGTGATTTTAGATTAATGGCGATTATATTAATTCGTCTTTATGACGAAAGCAAGGTTTCCAAGTTCACCAGAGACAAATTGTCCGCGATATGCGAGTGACTGGAAGCGGACATTTAAACCTCTGATCAATGTACTTATCACAACATTGATTTACAACGTTTGGTGGAAGACGAAGTGTATGTTCTAAAACTTGAAGTCAAGACTCCGCCAGATTAATCACACAAAGAAAGAAACTATAATTTATAAAATTAAAACCACATACACAGAAGTGAAGAATTGCCATGGTAAGACTTTATTGTATCAAATCCAAGACTTTGCATGATATTGAGTTAGAGACTTGGCTACTTTAATCAGACTAGGGGGATTGGTTGGCTGAATGGTTGGTATACAGACAACTCATCCCAAAGACAATTCATCCCAAGACAACTCATCCCAATATAAGACTACTCATCCCAAGATAAAAGACAACTCATCCCAACTTTAAAACATGAGTAGATATATAAGACAACTCGTACCAACAAATTAAGACCATTCTGATTTTGTTATAAAAATGTGTTATCTCAATAAAATTGATATTGTTGTTATAATAAAATTGATATTGTTGTTTTGATAAAATTGATATTGTTGTTTTAAATTTTAAGTTGTTTTAAATTTTAAGTTGTTTTAAGTTTTGGGCGCTCTGTATACTTATCATAGCGTACACGTTTCAATTCCTTCTTTGAACCATAGATGCGACTGGTACCAGTCGTGCTGCTAATTTCCATATCATTGTCTGATAGAAATTCCTCAGAATATGACATTATATCTTTATCTTTATATCCTTATCTTTATGTATGAGTTTCATTATAGCTAATATCTTGGGATGAGTTGTCTTCTAACTTGGGATGAGTTGTCTTGGGATAAGTTGTCTTTGGGATGAGTTGTCAGGTATTCGAATGGTTAGCGCATGCTTTTTTTGGTATACAGACAACTCATCCAAAGACAACTCATCCCAAGACAACTAATGACAATATAAGATAACTCATCCCAAGATAAAAGACAACTCATCCCAACTTTAAAACATGGGTCGAGATATAAGACAACTCATCCCCCAAAAATATAAGTGTTAGTTATATTTGTTTTTAATACAATTGCTTTCTTTGAAGACCACTCAGACCAATCTCATTTTGTTATAAAAATGTGTTATCTTAAAATTGATATTGTTGTTTTAATAAAATTGATATTGTTGTTTTAAATTTTAAGTTGTTTTAAATTTTAAGTTGTTTTAAGTTTTGGGCGCTCCGTATACTTATCACAGCGTACACATTTCATTTCCTTCTTTGAACCATAGATGCGACTGGAAATGTTGGCCCCAGCCGTGCTGATTGTTCCATATCAATTGTCTGATAGAAATTTGTCAGAATATGAAATATCCTTATCTTTATGTATGAGTTCCAGTATAGCTAATATCTTGGGATGAGTTGTCTTCTAACTTGGGATGATTTGTCTTATATTGGGATGAGTTGTCTTGGGATGAGTTTTCAATCAGACAGAGAATGCTTGGTAGACTGATTAAGCGAGACTAATTTCAAAACAAGAGCACGTAACCTGTTTTTTACTCAAAGTGCCCAGATATTATGGCCGACACTCGTAACCATGTTTCGGTATATTATTTATGGATGATTAAATTGTCATAGCTTATTAAGTACAACATGACCGTTTATTTAGTGACTATAAATGTTTGAAACTGATTTAAGGCTTGGTGTATATATAAATATTGTGTTGTAAATGTCAAGATATTTGGAGATATTTATTTATGGTGGGGCACCCTACCTACATGTATGTATCTACTTTCACACGAGCAAAAGATTTGATAGATGCATGCTTTAAGGTGATGTTGGTTTAGTCGATTTACATTTTCCATTTGCCTGGAGGATATCTTTAATGGTGTTGGTTACCTGATCAACAGGTAATGATGTCATAAAACTTTTATATATTAATTACAGGAAACTAATGATGGTAACTCTTTTATATAATGATTACAGGAAACTAATGATGTTAACTCTTTTATATAATTATTACAGGAAACTAATGGTGTTATAACTTTTATATATTACAGGAAGCTTATGATGTTATAACTTGATATATTACAGGAAACTAATGATGTTATAACTTTGATATATTACAGGAAACTAATGGTGTTATAACTTTTATATATTACAGGAAAATAATGATGTTAAAACATTCCACCAGTGTGTTGTGTGTGATGAGATCTTTCAACAATATGATGATTTAAAAAAACACAATATAATACATGTTAAAGAAGAGAAAACTGATGATGTAGATGAATATTGTCATGTTAAAGAAGAGAAAACTGATGATATTGAAACAGTTCATCAGTGTAATTTATGTGATGAAGAATTTAAATCGGATATTGATTTAGTGAAACATTGTGAATTACATGTTGAAGAAGAGTTGAACACTGATAATGATAGTGATATAGGCTTACTATCAGCTGAGAGTCAGGGTAGTGATGTAGGCCTACAATCAGCTGACACTCAGGGTAGTGATGTAGGCCTAAATTCAGGTGACAGTCAAGCTGTAGCAAAACATAATAAATGTGATGTTTGTAGTAAATCATTTACTGAACGAAGTAAACTGCGGAAACACATGAGAATTCATACGGGTGAGAAGCCCTTTCAATGTGATGTTTGTAGTAAATCATTCACAGACAGTAGTACTCTACAGAGACACCTCAAAATTCATACAGGTGAAAAACATTATAAATGTAATATTTGTAATAAATCATTTACCTTACGTTGTACTCTTCAGGCACATGTGCGAACGCATACCGGTGATAAACCTTATAAATGTGATGTTTGTAGTAAATCGTTCACACGGAGTGGAAGCCTACAGACCCACGTGAGAAATCATACCGGGAAAAAACCGTTTCAATGTGACATTTGTAGTCGATCATTCGCTGAGAGTGGTACTCTACACAGACACATGAGAATTCATACTGGTGAAAGACCTTATACATGTGATATTTGTAATAAATCATTTTCCTTACTTTGTACTCTTCGGACACATGTGCGAACTCATACCGGTGAGAAACCTTATAAATGTGATGTTTGTAGTAAATCATATACTGACCGAGGTAATCTACGGAGACACATGATAAAAAATCATGTGGGTGAAAATCAGGGTTCTTAATCCATTTTGAAACGAACCAGCCAGAATTGGGTCAAATGAGGTTTTAAAATTGTGAGCTTCCATTCCCTATAACCAGACTGGAACAAAAATAATTCTTGGTAATTTGTTATGAGGAATATCGTATTCTACTGTATGTAATTACCACAAAAATAACGACAAATATACTGAGCGCCATGGAAAACGCATCACTTTTTTTCCCAAATATTTTATTACTATGTGGTTTTGTATGTATAATATTATGCAATACTATGAACTATTGTTTCACACAATGCTCCCAAATGCAAAAAATATCGGCCCGTGTGCACAAAAAAACAAATTGCACGAGATGCACATGAAAAACCCAATATTCACATGCAGCGTTGTGCGTGAGCATGTTTTCAACTTAATGTGCAGTACATGAACTGTGAAACGTCAATCTGTCGTAATTTGTTATTGGACCTGTGAAGGAAACAAGCTAGAAATGCCGAGACTTACTGAAAATCAACGAAATGATGCCGTGACTGTCACCTCCTGGTCCACAACGCGTTACAACCCAGACTCAAGACTACTGCATCCGGGTCACTCATCTGCGTAACAGATTCAGCCCAGCGATTTGAACAGGTGCAGCAGTCGTTCGGAAGACAAGGACCAGTAAGTGCCAACACCATAAGACGTCGTCTAAGAGAAGTAGGACTCCGTGCACGACGACCTTATGTTGGAGCTATCCTCAGGGATCATCATTGTCAGCGGCGTTTGATGTGGGCTCAAGGACACCAGACATGGAGAAGAGTAGACTGGCAAAGTGTGCTCTTCAGTGATGCGAGTCGCTTTCATCTTTATCACGCTGATGGCCGTCAACGTGTGTGGAGATGTCTGGGGGAATGTCTTGCAGATGCTGCATCTTCGAAATGAATCGATGGGGTGGGGGAAGTGTAATGGTGTGGGGAGGCTTCACCGTGATGATGTCTTGCAACCAATTAATGTTCCGATGTTTCGAGCACACCCACAACTTCAGCACTTCCAGCAGGATAATGCAGGTCCGCATACCGCCTGTTGTAGTATGGACTTCGTGGCTGCTAACAACATCAATGTCTTGGACTGGCCAGTCATGTCTCCGGGCATGGCACCGATAGAACTTGCTGGGATGAGATTGGGCATCGTCTGTATCGGAGACCACAGATGCACACCATTGCTGCTTTAGAAGCTGCTCTTGTCCAAGAATGGAACAATTTGCACCAGGCCTTCTTTCAAACATTGGTAAATTCCATGCGACGTCACTGCACAGCGTGCGTAAGAGTCCGTGGAGGACACACACGCTACTGACATCTGTGTCGTACTTTTGGTTTTGACCCCCCTGACTTTGTACCGTTGATTACAGATTAAACGTCCATAAGTGTACAAATGTGTTGCGATTGATGTGTTCCCATTTGAATATTGTTCACAATAAGAAGCAAAATAAATAAGATATGTTTACAGGATCATTTTGTTAAACGAAAAACTAAGTGATGCGTTTTCCATGGGACTCAGTATAGATATTTAATTCACGTACCAGCTTGATATTCATGTCAGTAATATTCATGAATAAATTACTGTATTGGTTTTTTGTTTTTATTCTTCATAACACAATTTGTATGTTTTTTTGCAAATGTTTTTATTCATTCGTCCATGATAGACACAGGGCATAATGATGACGTGAAAACCATAATTGAAATGGCTTTAAAGCGGAAATTGCAAATTTTCTAAGAAAGTCAAAACGTATTTATTTCTATGTCTTTTGCTCAATAGGTTGTGAACTCACAATTATACGATCATAGGTGTCATTCTCACACTCACAACTCATTTACACAGGAAATAATAACACAATTACCTCCCTTGTTTTCTATTCTCCACCATGGAGTAGCCTTTTTCAAACGTTTAAAAATGAAGAGGAAAATGATATTTTTGGCAATATTGAAATACAGGATTATTCTTTAACAAGGTAGGACTGTTTATGGATACCATCTATTTTCAGGTTTTATTTTAATAAAATTTTAAAAATATAACTTGTGCTAATTACTCGGATTACGAACTACGTGGTCGTCAAGGAATATCATTAAACACAGACACGTCTGTAACTATTTTTTTAAGAATTTTTTCCTGATTTTGTTCTATCTTATTCATTCTCTTCATAATAACGTCCAGCGACTGCATTATCGTAGAGCTACAATCACATTTCTTGCTAGCAGGACTGGTTTGTTCCAAGTCAGGTAAGGCTGCGAGTAGGGAAAAGTCTAACTCTGGTTCTGGTGTGGCTGCTGGTGCTGGTATTGGCATGAGTGCTGCTGGTGCCACAGCATTTGGTGCTGGTGCTATTTTGGCTACTGGTGGTGAGACAGAATTTGGTGCTGGTGCTAAAGTACGTGTATATGCAATGGCTCCTGCTGTTTGTGTATGGATATGTGCTGGAGTTGGCGTTGATGCAGGGGTTGGTTCTGGTGCTGGTGCGGCATTTGGTGCTGGTGTTAAATTCAATGCAATGACTGGTGCTGTTAGTGTCTGGATAGGTGCTGGTGCTGGTATTGGCATGGTTGCTGGTGGTGCAATTGCTGGTTCTGGTACTGTTGTGTCTACTGGTGCTACGACATTTGGTGCTGGTGCTTGGGATGGCGTTGGTGCTGTTGTGGCTACTGGTGCAGCAGAATTTGGTGCTGAAGTATATGCAATGGCTGGTGCTGGGGTTGGCGTGGGCTTTAGTGCTGTTGTGGCTACGGGTGCTACGATATTTGGTACAATGGCTGGTGCTGTCTGGTTAGGTGTTGATGTGGAAATTGGTTCGGGTGCTGTTGTGGCTGATGGTGCTTGTATCGATGTTGCTCTTGTGGCCGGGGACCCAACAATCAATCTCTGCACTACAGAGGCATACTTCTGAAAAGAAAAGGTAAAGTATGTTATACACCCATACATAATATATAACATTTATAATTAATATGCAAAAAATGTGTCTTTTTTTATATTTTATGTACTGAAAGTTGGTTATCATCCATACATCCAGAGGCGTAGCCGCGAAATATATATTGGGGGGGGGGGGTCCACAACCCTAACCCCTAACCCTAAACCTTTTTTAAAACCCCCCAAAAAATATAAAGAAACACCATGTGGCCATGCTGTCTACACATCTCATTTGCTGATTGGCCCAGCCACCTCGTGCAAAGCATTGTGGTTACGTGGCTGTCAGGCTAACTAGACACAATTTTATGGAACACATATCGGGATATGTACAGGTTTTATACAGATAAGATCTTAACTAATCATAATAATTGTTGTAAATAAATAGGAGTCAGGGCCTACTATGTAAAATTTTTTTTTTTTTTTTTGGGGGGGGGGGGGGTCCAAGTAAATTCAGACCCCCCCCCCCCCCCCATGTGTGACGCCCATGCATACATCTACTTGATACATGCACGTGTATCAGATTATTATGATATAAAATGGTCCAATTGTATGATGTCAAACACCATTCCATTTTGTTATGATTATTATTATTATTATTAATATACATGCAAACCCATCGAACTATTGATTAATTCCATGTTCTGATAATTGAATAAACTATCTATAAGTTAATTAGTCTTCTAAATCCACTTCTTTTTATAATGACAAGTGTGACAAAATCATGGCAACACCGTATATTAACACCGTGATAATCACACCCGAATGTCTAGATTTCTGACTTGCAAACCCATCAACCTGGTGACATCTGGTAAAATGTGTATTTAAGTGTAAAATGATGTGGAAAGTTGGCCTAAAAATCAGTAGAGAATCAAATAATGGTCACTTTGTTTTACAATGCCTTTTAAGATGAAATGAAATGGAGTTTAACGTCCTACTGTTCTGCTCCTAACCCGTGCTAATGAAGACGGGTATACGCCATACAGTGTGCTATGAGGGAAATTTTGCCCAGACAGCGGCACTACGGCCTACTCTTATATCGAATTCCAACTGCCAAGGGATCTTTTACGTGCACGCCAATGTGTACACGGGAACTCGGTTTTTCGTCCAATCCGAACGACTAGACAGCTTTCCTTGTCAGCCCCTCCGTCCTGCATCACTGACAATGGAGAACCACGCCGGAAAATCTGGATGGCCATCCGAGAGTCGGGGGATTTGAACCCAATCGAAATGGTTTAGAGCATGCTGAAGAGAAATGTTAGCAAACGAAACCCAAAAACCAAAGAGTTAACAAACTATTGTGAAGAGTTTTGGGCAGAAGAATTAACGGCAGGAGTTTGCCAGAGGTTTGTGGCACATTTGTACAATGTTGTGCCCGTCATCGTAGCAATAGGTGGACGCGCAACAGGCGATATCCCCAAAAGGTTATTCGGACCAGAGCCTTCAGCTGGTAAAGATTGTGTATATTTTGAAGCTAAATTGGGCACTCAGAAACCACAGACTAAACTGAAAGCAGTAATTGGACAATAGGTCAATTTATGATGGTGAAACATTAACTCGTCTAGTATTTGTACATATTTTTTTCTTTTGATACATTTATATTAATTTTTCGTTTATGTAAATATTTGTGATTTTAAAATTTCAATTGTGGCTAATAAAAATATGTTGCTCTTACTTTTCTTTTGGGTGTTGGCTGGATTTGGGCTGTCTTTCGTTTGGCTGTAGGTTTGTTTGGCGCTACTACTGTCGGGGTCTTCGGAGGCTGTAGTTTTGTCTTCTTTTCTTTTTCCAAAGCTAACCATTCCCCACTGGATATGATCTCAGCCTCTTCAACCTGTTGGATGGTTCCCCACTGCACAAGACATCTCTTCCCTACCCTTATTCTACCCTCTGCAAATATTCGGGACCGGGTTACAACTTTAAAATTCCCATCGTCAAAGGATGCCAGGTAGTGGCTTGGTTCTTTCGTTTGGTCGCGTAGCATGGTCGTAGAATAAAGAGTAATGAACTGACCACATTTAAGGCTGCTCTTATATTCACTTCTAAAAGAATTGAGCAGAGGAAGCCCTAATCACATTTTACAAACAATTAATTAATCCTTTTGAATTTTGTTACTTAAGTAATTGATGTTTACCGGCATGTTATCTTGTGATTAATTGGTTATGAAAGTTGTGTAAACACTGTTCTCGGTATGTTGTTTTACCATGATGGCTATTTAACATTACTGTTTAATTGAGTATGAAAGTTGTTTTAACAATGTTCTCAATATGTTGTTTTATCATGTTGGCTCTCGGGTTTTTTAAAAATATTGTTCTTAGGTGTGGGTGTATCTATTAATTTTGTAGCTTTTTGGGGGATTGGATGGGTGGAGATAGGCATGTACATTTGCGCGTACCATTTTTAATTACATGCATGACTTTTTTAAATTGATAATCCACCGAGTTCTTTGTAGAATTACAATAAAAACATAAGATAATGATATACATTTGCACATGCATATTTAAATATATGAAGATCATTGATTTCAGTGTGAGATTATCATTCAACAGATCTGAAATTAAAAATTAAAATAAATGTTACTGGAAATGTTAAGCCCACATTTACAAATATTCCAATTTCTTATGCCAACACACGTGTGATATATTCTTATTTCTAATAAAAAAAATATTTTAATAGAATAAACACCTGGTTTGTGATTGAAACCACGGCTGTAAAACTGAGTGTACTCCCTTTTCTTTATTTTAATAGAATAAACACTTGTAATCACACTGTCAAGTGTACTCACTTTTCTTTATTATTTGCCGACATACCAAAAAGTTAAATGGCTTCGTAGCACATTGTTGTTTTAAAAAAAAACCAAAACAACAACATAGTAACAGTATAGGCCTACAAACTACGTACATGTGTGTAAATGTATAAGGCATTAATGGACAGTCAGGCGGGCTTTAACAATAGCTAATTCACGAATGTGCAGGTAACTATATGTTGATTTAAATGTACGTCTAAATGAATACATATACATATTCGTGTAACAATAAATGAATGATATTAAATTGCGCCGTGGACACATTTAAATTTCTTCGGCGTTTTAACGAATCCGCGGGGGTCGGTGGTTTAACAAATCCGCTGTGGTCGGCGGTTTACTCAAATTCGCGGGAGAAATTTAGAGCGGGGTCTGAGCGGATTAATAATATGTGGTACAGATCCCTGGTACAGTCTTCACTCAAAATGAAAAAAATAAGGATGTTGTAGTCCACATTACACATGAACTAACCGGACATGATAGGAAGTGAGAAAATAATTTACTACAAATATCACATTTATAATGATTCTCTGAAATGAGTTCTCATGTGTTTAGGTAAACTACCACTTTGATTTATGATATCATAGTGTCCGGTTCCATGTTTTACCAATCGGCTTGATTGAACTTCAAGCGGCTAAAGCTGACAAAAAACAGCCGATTAAGATCCCTATATAGTTCAGTCAATCTGATTAAAATACAGATCTATATTTCGTTTCGGTTTTTTTATTATATACTATTGTCGTCGCCACCGTCTGTCCTTCCTGCATCCACAATTGCTTGCGGACGCCTTAGAGGCTACGATTAACATCCGATTGACTTTAAATTTATACACAGTGTTTAAAGTAGCCAAGTCTCTAACTCAGTATCATCCAAAGCCTTACTCGTTGAAAACACGAATTTTTTGTTAATTCAAATCAACATTGATGTTGTGATCTTACCAGGAAAAGACAGGCTTCTGATACCCAATATTTAAGACAAAATAAACATTTTACCATTGGTACACGAATCGTGTACCATAGTGCGTTTTAGCGTCATTTGAAACAAGTGACCAGAAAGAACGAAGCTAGACATATTCAACTGGAGAGCCTGCTCAATAGACTGGAATAACCAGACGCTAGAAATTGCTATAGGGTTGAGACACAGGCCGTATTTCGCTGGACATAACTGATTTGAAATTAAGAGTCAAAACGGAAACAATTGAATGTAAATCAGTTTATATACAATCAGATTACATTATTATATGCGTTGCGACCCATTTGGGTCAATTCCTAGGTCCCAAATATTAGCGATTTAGCTCCTTTTAATTAAGGTCATAGGATGAAGAATCCTATTGAATTTCAATGATTTCCGATAATTACTGCCAGAGTTATGACCTTTGATAACTTCGAAAAATCCTGTGAATGCTTTCGAGACTATAGTTATAAAATCTGATTGATTTTATATTCATACTACTGCTTGACTATATATTATAGTATATAGTCAAGCAGTAGTAAGAAGTTTTATTTTAATCCCTTCAAGTGTTTGTGGATGCTACTGCTACCGAGAGTTCTGCTAGCGGTTTTGATGTAAACCGACGGGCTGTCATGGCCATGAAAGAAATTGGTGTAGGTAAGGCTGACCTGGACAAATTTACATAAGTATTTGATTTGCCGTCCAGCTTGGACAAAGAAACTACAAATTGCCAGTCAACTAGAAGTCAACGAACATTTGCAAGAGACAGCTAAGATTATTCGAAGTGCATACATTGAGGGAAATCCAGCTCTTGCTTCTGATGAAGTCGTTGATATTTCTGTTGTTTGTGATGGAACCTGGCAACTGCTCTGAACTGGGCTAATGAAGACAGGCATACGCCATACAGGCACTACGGCCTATTCTTATATTGAATTCCAACTGTCAAGGGATCTTTTACGTATGCGGCAATGTGTACACAGGACCTCGGTTTTTCTTCCCATCCGAACGACTACACAGCTGTCCTTGCCAGGCCTTCCATCCTGCATCACTGACAAGGGGGAACCACGCCGAAAAATCTGGATGAACGTTCTCAGTCAATGCAGGGATCGAACACCCGACCTCCAGGCTAGCGAGCCAGTGTCTTACCCACCGTGATCCCTTGAAACTGGCAAAAAAGAGGATACACCTCTCATTATAATACGACAGTCATTACTGATCTTCTGACCGGATTAATTTTAGATTACGAAGTTATGTCAAATTATTGTGTTATTTGCTCTAAAAATACAGGTACACCAGAAGAATACAACTCTACCATAAACCACAAAGGCTCATCAAAATCGATGGAAACGGAAGCTGCCTTGAAAATGTTTCGCAGATCGTTGAAAAGTAAAATTTCCGATATACGACATTGCTAAACGATGGGGATTCCAGTGTTTACACTCGCCTTGCTTCCATGAATGACAACTAGGTACCTTATGGAGAACAGCATACTGTCAAGAATGAAGATTGTGTTAACCATGTCGCTAAATGCATGAAGAATGGTCTTGATAAAATTATTCAGACACTAAAGGCAGCCGGAACTCCAATTGATGTAAAGGGACCACTCGGCAAACCTCAACAGATTCCAGTACCCTACATCTAATCTCGGCTGTATGACAAAGTCCGCCATTATAACTACTTTCAAGTTCCCGGATTACAATGGCGTTGTCCATGACGACCAATGACGTCATTGATCACGACGTATTTGAAGAATGTTTTATCTTACAAAATTTTCAAAGTTTGAAGCTGTTTTTCTTTCAAGTTTATCCGATTTTCTTTAGACAAGGACAAATTTGCAATGAAAATTCTACCCACTCTTCGAACGACGCAATTTTGAGAACTTCTTTCTAAACGCGGGCAAGTTTCCCTTATAAGTAAACCGGTGCCGCATCGCAAATGTATAGGCGTAGGTACATATCACTTACTGTCATACAGCCGAGGCTAGATGTAGGGTACCGGAATCTGCCGAGGTTTGCCGAGTGGGAAAGGGACGTCTGACTAAAGGCCGAGTTCGAGTGTTGCAAAATTATTATGGGCGTACATAAAGGACAACGCTGGTTAAGGCAACGTGGGGGCTATATTTTTCCACTACATCAATGATTCTGAAAATCCTAGACAACATAGATGCCCACCGGGACGGGCCTACATGTACTTCATGGTGTTGGTATTAAAATTAAAAAAAAAAAAAATACAACTAGCAGTAGAAAAGAGGAAGCAGCTTATATTCCCGGAGGGTTTTAGTTTTAGTACCGGTAAATAAAAATAAACTATTAGTATTCAAAAACAATTAATTTTTCACTTTGGACGATGCAACGAACAGTATAATAACATTACATGTACAAACCATTGATGCGGTAACACAAATACCCTCTCATTAGTTTTCATTATGGTAATGGCTAATTTTGGTGGCCATTATAATGTGACTTCCACTTTATATTATTTTTTCTCCACCAAATTTCTTATTTGCACACAGTGACACTGGCACATCAACAACATTCAGAATAAATTTGAGCCAAATCCAACTGATAGATCTCGAAAAATAGCGAAACTAAACACATTACCTATATAAAATCCCATTTTTTCGTTGCCATGGTTGTCAGATGTGATCGAAACAACAAATTGTATACTTGTTTCATGTGTTTTGTGTGAAAATTTAAACATCCTATCTTTATAAGTTAAAAATTTGGTCTGAAGTGCTTACTATCCCCGTAAGTTCTTGGAACAAACATGTATATTGATTTTCAATGATTTTTGATAACTTGAACAGCTAAATCCATAATATTAAGTGTTTTGTATACTAAACAAATTCTAATGATTTTCTGATAATTACTTAATCAGATTTTAGTGTATTATAAATTTTTCATTACCAACAAAAGTAAAAATATGCTACAACTCATGTTGACTGCATGGACCAGACGATTAAGCTGCTGTGGGCGTATGTTTTGTTGCCTGGCAACCTATCTTTAATAAAAAAAAGAAGTTACTTTTAATAAAAAATGAACTGTTCTAAGAAAGCAGTTCCGTTTTAACTGGCCAATCAAATTCATAATGAGATGTCGCAGTAGATTGTGAAATTTAACACACAAGCGATATCTATTGTAGAATGTATTATTTGGTGATATTGGGTGATAAAGCAGAATTAAAAGCAATATCCACAGCTCTTGACTGGCCTTTATAATCTACAAGTACCACTGAAAGAGACACCATTGTGTCAGACTCCCTTAGCAGCATGGAGTCAATAATACATGACAAAACAACATCTAGACCTGAAATTGTTCAGACTAATTGGGCATGTGTTGATTCTCCAAGAAAGTTCATCAAGATTTTCCAGCGTGGTTTGCTCCTGGTAAGTGGTGCAGGACGAAGTGAATGACAAGGACAGCTGTCAGTGATACAGGACGGATGGCCTGACAAGGACAGATGTCTAGTAGTTCAAATGGGATGTAAACCGAGTTCCTTTATACACATGGGACTGCATGTAAAAGATGCCATGGAAGTAAGAATTTGACAGTTGGAATTTGATATAAAAGGCAAACGAACCTTCACTGTCGCCAGCAACCTGGTTGATCATAGTGATAGCTTAGTTTCTCCACACAAACTTGCCAGATTCACAGCACAGAATTTTTAAATCCATATTCAGCTTAAAATAGGCCCTATGGAAATGGACCTGTATTGAATTCTAATTTATGTTTTAGTTTTGAATATTAAGGATAATATTAAGATATATTTTCAGCTACTTTAGATTAATGGTTGCTTATGGTGAAAGAATTTATTTCAAGACAAATTATAGCGAAATGTACTGAAAATTATTCTTTTGAGGCTCAGTGAGTGTGCCAACAGTAGAGCTGACCACGTCGATGATTCAATATTGTATCAGTTTTTAGCCCAACTGAATGTTGTGACAATGAATTATTAGGGTTAGTTTGATCCGCGTCTAAAATTGAAATACAACCTTAAAACCGGAAGTGATATGGTTAATGATATGATTGTGTTGATTTATCTATCTCTGTGACCTTTTTGATGAAAGCAACGTTTCCAATTTCATCAGAGACTTAATTGTCTACAATATCGGCGTGAGTCGAATCCCCTTATCCTTTTCAATCAGAAGAAAGCTGTTTTTGTTGAGTGGACTGGAAGAAAAAAGTCAAGGCTATATATGATATATACTAATACTATAGTCAACAAACTATAAATAGACTCAGACAAAGAATAATCATCTGAAGTCCACCAAATATAACAAAAATAGATAATTAACATGGTAAGATATAATTTTATTGTATCAAATTCTGTGATATAATCCACCCTTACTTATTATCCATAATATTAGAATTTAAAAACGCAAATTAGAATTCAGTATTGACCTTTTCATATTGTGAAAATATAGAACCATGGATATCCAACATTTAATTTTATTGTATCAAATCCACCCTTAAAGAGTAGGCCTATATAACTCAATATTATCATGCAATGAAAATATGGGATCATCATATATCCAATATTTAAGACACAATAAATTTGATCTCGGCGATAAAGAAATGAATTAAAAGCCTTTGTCTCCTGATTTGTAAGCACAACTCGCCTGAAGTCACCGTCAACCTTGCTGAATACATGTGTATTACCATGTATCAGTCGGATAATACATGCTTGATGACCTATTCATTTCGGCACCAAAGAGTTAGGGTCAATGCATACTGTCAATCAACAATACTATATACGGAAAACTACCAGAAAACACCATGTCATACCAAATACCGGAAAACACACCAAATACCGGAAAATACCCTAAATAGGTAACCCGGAGACTGGCACCCTAAATAGGTAGCCCGGAGACTGGTCCTCTGTGTGCCTGGGTTAGGGTTAGGGTTAGTTTCCGGTTTATAGTATAGTCCTTTTCCGGGTTACCTATTTAGGGTGGTTTCCGGTATTTAGTGTGTTTTCTGGTATTTAGTGTTTTTCCGGTGTTTTCCAGTGCCACTGTCATGGTAAAATTAAGAACGGGCTACGATAAATAGCACATTCCCCCCACCCCCCACAATACATCATGTATTACTAATATGTTACAAAGGGTTTATTATTTTTTATGTTGAAACTCGCGCTCTAAAAAATTGTGGATATAAGTGATTATTCAATTTTTAAATTGGTACAGACCAGCGTTCTTAATCCATTTTGAAACAGGAGGAGGGGGTGGATGGTCGAATGGTTAGCACGTGCGTGCTTTATCATAAGGTCTGTCATTGAGTCAACTGGGGTGGTTTCGAATCCCTAGTTGTATGTGACAAGGAGTAGCATCTCCTGTTCAACCTTGGGTGTTTTCTGCAGGTCCTCCTGTTACTGTTAAAGACCCCTACACACAAGTGAATTATTGAAATAACATTGCACCATGTGTTAGTCCCTAAATGACCTAGTTTGTGTCGAGTGGACATTAAACTGCATTTCTCTCTCTCCCATTTTGAAACAAACCGACCAGAATCGGGTCAAATGATGACCCGTATAAAATGGTTTAATTATAAGCTTCCATTCCCTTTAATATAACTAGACTTCAACAAAAATAATTCTTGGTAATTTGTTATGGAGAATGTCGTATTTTAATGTATGTGATTATCACAGAAATAACGACAGGTGAACCTTTTAAAAATTTTCCTTACTTAATTCACGTACCAGCTTGAAGTTCGTGTCAGTAATATTCCAGAATAAATTAGGCATACTGTCTTGGATTATTCGATAAAACGTTCAAATTTCATAAGTCGATGATCTAAAATATTAGCATTTTTCTATTGCCAGTATCGAAAATGCTGTAGCCAAAATAAGCTGATGCGGCACCATGGCATTTCTTCATAACATAATTTGTAGTTATTTTGTCTATCATGTAACTAGTCACGTAATTTGCAAATGGTTTTATTCATTCGTCGATGATAGACAAACGTCACAATTGTCATGTGACAATGATAATTGAAATTGCTTTAACATAAAAATTCTGTAAGATTATGATATAGCTCTCAATAAAAACAACAATATTTTAAAAATTATGCCTTTGTCAGAATGTGTATATAATAAAACAAGCCAACAGTGAGGCTGATGTCCCCCGCCGAAATAGGAAAATAATTAGAGGACACATATAAATTTATCACAAATAAGCGGAACGGACAGACAGACAAACAGACAGACGGACGAACCCATTTTAATAGTTCCCTGCTTTCTTCGAAAGGCGGGGGACAATCAAAGTAGGAGAGTTATTGTTTTCCAAAGTCTCGACCAATCAAATTGCGTATCGCTCTGCTTACCCTGAGCAGAAAATGCTCATTATCAAACTTAGTCAAGGTATTACTGTAATGAAACTATACACCAAGTTTCATCAATCTCACTTAATTAGAACTAAAGTTATCGTGTCCCAAAGCATCAACCAATCAAATTGCTTATCTCTGCTTACCCTAAGCGGAAAATGCTCATCTTCGAACTCCATCAAGGCATTGACCTAATCAACACATACACCAAGTTTGAACATTCTAGCTCAATTAGGAAGAGAGTTATCGTGCCCCAAAGTATCAACCAATCAAATTGCTTATCTCTGCTTACCCTAAGCGGAAAATGCTCATCTTCGAACTCCATCAAGGCATTGACCTAATAAACACATACACCAAGTTTGAACATTCTAGCTCAATTAAAAGTTATCGTGTCCCAAAGCATCAACCAATCAAATTGCTTATCTCTGCTTACCCTAAGCGGAAAATGCTCATCTTCGAACTCCATCAAGGCATTGACCTAATCAACACATACACCAAGTTTGAACATTCTAGCCCAATTAGGAAGAGAGTTATCGTGTCCCAAAGCATCAACCAATCAAATTGCTTATCTCTGCTTACCCTAAGCGGAAAATGCTCATCTTCGAACTCCATCAAGGCATTGACCTAATAAACACATACACCAAGTTTGAACATTCTAGCTCAATTAGGAAGAGAGTTATTGTGTCCCAAAAAGTGTGACGGACAGACAGATAGACAGACAGACAGACAGACGGACGAACCCATTTTAATAGTCCCCTGCTTTCTTCGAAAGGCGGGGGACAAAAAATCATATCGGTAAACACTATTTTAAACCTAATTCCAACCGATATGTCAAATGTCATTGGAATTGGCACTGAAGATTCTATCAGGAAAATGTATTATTAATGACCGTTTCTCGGTGTATTCGGTGTTCTATCATGGGATTACATTCAATGAAGATTAACAAGTAATAATTATGATACCATAATGGCCGGTTCATTATTTTACCAATCGGCTTGATTGAACTTCAAGTGGATAAAGTCAACAAAAAACAGCAGATTAAGATTCCTGGTACAGACTTGAGGGTTGACGTATGCAGTGTATGTTATGACGAAAAGGATGCTTAATCATCATATTGGCAATTGACATATTCTGCCAATTAAATCATACCTTAAACCGATGCCCCTTTTAGATGCATTCATAATTTATTATGTGGTGATAAACTAATGATGTTATAACTTTTATATATTACAGGAGACTAATGATGTTATAACTTTTATACATGTATATTAAAGGATACTAATGATGTTATAACTTTTTATATATTACAGGAAATTAATGATGTTAATACATTCCATCAGTGTGTTGTATGTGATGAGATTTTTCAACAACTTGATGATTTAAAAAAACACAATAAAATACATGTTAAAGATGAGGAAACTGATGTTGATGAATATTGCCATGCTCAATTTAAAGAAGAGAAAACTGATGATGTACATGAATATTGTCACATTAAAGAAGAGAAAACTGATGATGTTGATGAATATTGCCATGTTAAAGAAGAGAAAACTGATGATGTAGATGAATATTGTCATGTTAAAGAAGAGAAAACTGAAGATATTGAACCAGTTTATCAGTGTAATTTATGTGATGAAGAATTTAAATCGAATACTGATTTAGAGAAACATTGTAAAATACATATTGAAGAAGAGTTGAAAGCTGGTAATGATAGTGATGTAGGCCTACAATCAGCTGACAGTCAGGGTATTGATGTAGGCCTACAATCAGCTGACAGTCAGGGTATTGATGTAGGCCTACAATCAGCTGACAGTCAAGGTAGTGATGTAGGCCTACAATCAGCTGACAGTCATGCTGTAGCGAAGCGTTATAAATGTGATTTTTGTAGTAAATCATTTAACCATAATAGTGGTCTACAGCAACACATTAGGGTTCACACTGGTGAAAAACCTTATAAATGTGATGTTTGTGATAAATCATTTTCACAGAGTAGTCATCTATATGGTCACATTAGAAGCCATACAGGTGAGAAGCCATATCAATGTGATGTTTGTAGTAAATCATTTACCAAGAGTAATATTCTGCAAAGACACATGAGAACGCATACGGGAGAGAGACCTTATAAATGTGATGTTTGTGGTAAATCATTTTCACAGAGTAGCCATCTTTACAGTCACGTTAGAATTCATTCTGGGAAAAAACCTTATAAATGTGATATTTGTGATAAATCATTTCAACAGAGTAGTCATCTATACAGTCACATGAGAATTCATACGGAAGAAAAATCTTATCAGTGTGATGTTTGTAGTAAATCATTTAGGTTCAGTCAGGGTTTGTGGCAGCATATCAAAACTCATACAGGCGAGAAGCCATATAAGTGTGATGTTTGTAGTAAATCATTCTCACAGAAAAACGCTCTACGGCAACACATGAGAATTCATACGGGGGAAAAACCTTATAAGTGTGATGTTTGTAGTAAATCATTTAGACATAGCTGTAGTCTACTGCAACATGTGAGAACTAATTGTGGATCATTCACAGGTAGAATTCAACCGGTAACAACATTTACCGGGAAAAAGCCTTTTAAATGTGAGCTTTGTAGTAAATCATACACTGAACAAATTACTCTACGAAAGCACATGAAAATACATACTGGTGAGAAGCCGTTTCAGTGTCATGTTTGTAGTAAATCATTCACAGAAAATGATACTCTACAGAGACACATAAGGATTCATACCGGTGAAAAACCTTATCAATGCGATGTTTGTAGTAAAACATTCACACAGAAAAGTAACCTACAGAGACACGTGAAAATTCATACTGGGGCAAAACCTTATAAATGCGATATTTGTAGTAAATCATTTACTGAACGAGGTAGTCTAAGGAAACACATGATACTCCATATGGGAGAAACTTCATAAATGTGATGTTTGTAGTAAATCATTTACTACTCAAGGTACTCTAAACAGACACATGATAATTCATATTGGAAAAGCCCCATCAGTGTGATGTTTGTAGTACTTTTAGAAAACGTACTGGAGAAAAACGTTATATAATTTGGTCACTTTAGTGAAAAATCACAAATTCATGTAGGCTGTGAAAAAATTAGGTATTAGTCAATTTTTTATTTAAAATGTTGATTTTGTTTATACATTAATTCTACACTTTGCAAATTGAATTCGTATTTCATGTTATTTTATTTATGGTAGGGTGTTGTGAATTCACAGTTCTACACTGTATATCGTTTTGTCAGCGTGGTGTAACAAATACATGTAGTATGGCTTATAATAATTATTTATTAATGAAATATTCCCCATTAGATTTGTACATAGCTTTTATTATCGAAATTTCATACTAGGTTAAAGACTAATAAAAAGCTGAATTGGCCTTGGAAAATCATTCTGTTAGCTCAAACGTATTACCATGTGCTCTATAGAAAACACACTGACCATGACTGTCACAGAATGGTTCAAAGCGATAGTTTCCCATCTGTCAACAGTGGCAATCACGTAATATTTTCCTGCCATTTCTAAAACTAGAGTTGAAAATTAAACCATCTATTGGGAACTTAACTTATGTGTTTGTAATTTTATGAATTAATTGAGTATGATCTATATTATGAGTCATTAAATGTTGATAACGATACAAATTATGTATACATGATCTATATTATGAGTCATTAAATGTTGATAACGATACAAATTATGTCTACATTAATAAAGTATGATCTATATTATGAGTCATTAAATGTTGATAACGATACAAATTATGTCTACATTAATAAAGTATGATCTATATTATGAGTCATTAAATGTCGATAACGATACAAATTATGTCTACATTAATAAATTATGATCTATATTATGAGTCATTAAATGTCGATAACGATACAAATTATGTCTACATTAATAAAGTATGATCTATATTATGAGTCATTAAATGTCGATAACGATACAAATTATGTCTAGATTAATAAAGTATGATCTATATTATGAGTCATTAAATGTCGATAACGATACAAATTATGTCTACATTAATAAAGTATGATCTATATTATGTATTGTTTAATGGTCGAGAGCGAGACATTAAGTAATATATTTTAACAACAAGAGGACCGTAATGCCGGAGTGTTTTTACAATATATTATGCAATGTCTTAAGCTCGAGACCATTAAACAACTTAAAATACAGACACTTGCACATGCTTTACAATAAAATACGTCACTCGGGTTCAATATTTTAACTAGTTACACTTGTATTTTAAGAATTATTAAATGTCGATAACGATACAAATTATGTCTCCATTTTTAAATTATGAACTATATTATTAGTTATTAAATGTCGATAACGATACAAATTATGTCTCTATTTTTAAATTATGATCTATATTATGAGTTATTAAATGTCGATAAGATACAAATTATGTCTGCATTTTTAAATTATGATCTATATTATTAGTTATTAAAAGTATATACATGTAATGATAACAATACAAATCACTAAATTATGTCTAAATTTTTATTGTTATCTATAAGCCTGTATGTCAGATGTAGTTCTGACAGTAATCATGTGAGATCAAAGGGATATTCCCCACCCCCTTCCGTCCTTAATTCCATTCATGCGTAAACAAAATGATATTTTCCCGCCTTTTCTGAAACTTTATGACAATGTGCAGATAATACTGGTAGTGAATGGGTTTATTCTATATTCCAGTCGGAAGTTTTATCGGGTTGACCGTTGGACGTTCCAGTCGGAAGTTTTATCAGGTTAACTGTTGGACGTTTATGTCTAATTTCAATGGGTTGATTCTATATTCCAGTCAGAAGTTTTATCGGGTTAACCAGTCCTTCATGTTTATAAAATTGTGCGGGAGCCATAAAAAGCTCCTGATACCTTGAATATATGCAGTTTAAAAGTAAATAAAAACTGAAAGTAGTTTATTAATCTCAATATTTAGGAGAGCGATTTAGCTAATTTGCAGGAGTCTTTAATGATTCCTTCGAAGGAAAGCCGACGTGCGTCGAGAGGAGCAGGAGCAAAAGCTCCCCTTAAACGTGAAGGACTGGTTAACTGTTGGACGTTTATGTCTAATTATAATGGGTTTATTCTATATTCCAGTCAAAAGTTTTATCAGATTGACTGTTATACGTCTATTTGCACGTGCGTAGAAATGGTATTCTTAAAAAAACGCACTGAGATACCCAAACTCTTCAACAATATGTGAATAAGGATTAAATGAAATGGGGTTTAACCTCCTGCTGTTTTACTCCTACTTGGCTATTGAAGTTTGACATATGCCACGTGCGTGCTGTATCATAAGGCCTGTCATTGAGTCAACTGGCGTGGTTTCGAATCCCCGGTTGTACGTGACAAGGATTAGGGTCGCCTGTCCAACCTCGTGGGTTTTCTCCGGGTCCTCTGGTTTCCTCCCACTGCTAAAGACCCCTACGCGCAAGCGAATTATTGAAATAAAATTGAACCATGTGTTAGTCCCGAAATGACCTAGTTTGTGTCGAGTGGACGTTAAACCCCATTTCTCTCTCTCCAATCCAACTGGTCACCGTCATATAGTCGTTCATAGAAAATGGCAGCTTAGCGCAAAAATTAAAATATACTAAAATTATTTTAATAAACTGCAGCGCTAGACAGGAAGCGCTGTTTGTTGGAGCCCGTCATAGTGTCTTGTTATTCGAGTCTAAATAGTCAACAAACAACATGGTGTCTATTGGATAAATGCATCTCTTGCCAGAAGTGAAATAAAAAAGTTATTGATCGATTCGGCTGAAATTTGATGGCTAGTAGGCCTATACCTTAACATTCCCTGAAAATTTCAAGTCTCTACGGCCAGGGAACTGGTAAAGGTGTGAAAGTGTAATAGCTCCATTTTAATCTGACTTCATTACCTGGGTCAATCACAGACGACTTTCACTTGTACTGTATGGCCAACTAAATGTACACACGCACGGTAAATTAGCGTGTAATTTCAACAATGAATTACTCGTGTTTGGTTGATCCGTGTCTATAATCAATATAAAACCTAAAAATATACTAAATACACTACATCGGAAATGAGGTTCGAGTGTCTAATTGTGACTTTTATTAAGAAAAATGGGCATCCATCTTGTCCTTTTCACATAATTATATTTATAACATTCCCGTTAGGCCGATGAATTGACACAAATCAGTTAGCGAAACAAGCGACATCAAACAGCCGGCGGCCATGACACTTTGGCGCGGTCAAGGCTATAACGTCGTCATTGTTAGTAACGCTCGCTTTGATTGGTCGACAACTGACGTCATCGGAATCCCCTTATAAATAGAAGCAGACGACAAGGAAATCCTTGTGGACACTCGGTGCACTCGGGAAAGCTCCTTACGTAATTGGCAGCAATCCAGCTATTTTAAATTGGATATGGATCACCAAAAATGGGTAAGGAATTAATATCCTAGCTTTGGCTGTGGTAATTTATCCATAACTGGTCTCCTATTTAAAGACTCATAGGTTGGTTTAACCGTGACTGGCTTGATCCAAGATAGGCCTAGATAGTTGTGGTTCACCCATTCCCCCAAGTCTTACCAATTCCTTATGTCACCAAATCTCCGATTTAATCCCGTCATATCCACCGGCCTGACAGGGCAAATGTATTTATTTACCTAATTCCTGTTTCCATACCTGGGAATTTATCCAAAGGGTTGGCGTCTCACCCAAATTATCTCCCCTTAATGCGATGTATCCCAATTATAAATTGATCCAAATAAAGATGTTTATTTTTATCTACACTCGAGTTTGTTAGTTCTTTCGATTGAAGTGCTAGGCTGGAACGAACCCCTAAAAAGTCTCTAATAAATGTTGAGGCGCTACATTGGTGTCAGAAGTGGGATTCAAATTAAATTGATTTCATTGAAACTTATTCCAGTGTCTAGTGGATCGGAAGTTCTAATAAACACAAACTCCAAATAAATAAATGAATTAGGTTCCTTTATTAATATTAATAATAGTAGTAATAGATTCTAAATACATCTATAAAAATGGCCACCAAATCCTTGTCCCCAGAGTTCGAAATTATCCCAGACACTGATCCGGATATGCCCTCGGTAGAATCAGTTGATGGTGATGTCTCAGGAACTGAAATAGAAAATCAGAATATGGGTGACGATGGAATTCTTAAAGAAATTAGCCGACAATTTAATCAATTCTTCCTGGAAAATGCTCAGGTTCAAAATGATTTTTTAGACAATTTAAAGGAATTAAAGGAGGATGTTAGATTACTAAAAGACCATGTTAATAAATTGGATGAAAAAGTAAATGATCCAAATCCTGCCACATTTTACTCAAATGGAAATGGAGTTGCTCAAAACAGAAGCACACCAAGCCATAATCAAAATTCTAATCATACCTCAATCCAAGCACATGTTCCCACCAGTCCTAGAATTAATAACCCCCTTAGGATCAAACCACAATCATATGATGGAAGTGAAGATTTTGAGGAATATATCTCACAATTTGATATAATAGCCACATTGAACAAGTGGAGCTACGAAGAAAAATTCCTTTACCTAGCCAGTAGTTTGTCTGGAAACGCCAGGACAATCTTGTCAGAATTAAATACTATCCAGAGAACGGATTTCCATACCCTCACAACCCTCCTAAGTATTCGTTTTGGATCAACGGAAAAATCTTAAATATATAGAGCAAAATTACAAACTCGTATTAGAGGAAGAAACGAATCCTTATCTGAGCTGGCTCAATCCATTCGCAAACTAACGAGACAGGCCTACCCCACGGCAGATGCATCTCTCACCAATATTTTAGCCTTAGAAAATTTTATAGACTCCATACCAGACTCAGAAATGAGATTACGAATTAGGGAACTAAGACCCAAGGATATCAATGAGGCTGAGATACATTCTATTAGACTCGAAGCCCACAGACTGGCAGATAAACAAAGAGGACGTTCAGTTCATTCTGTAGATCTAAATCATAATATAAACCAGGTCGGAGCTGGAGCTGTAAAATCTGATGATATGGGTCAAAGCAAAATTGATATACTTACCTTGAATGGTTCAATCACATCAGTGGATAAAACTACCAAACACTTGATAAATACCCTAAATAAGGGACAACCATTGCAGCAATCATCACGTAGCTCCTGGAATAAAAATCCCAATTACAGTCGGAGTCATTGGCCAAATAACCAACAACATACAAACTCTAATAATAATTATGGCGGGTATCAATATAACTCCAATAGGAGAACAGATAGGCCCCAGCATATGGCAAACACAAGAAATGGATGGTCTCGTCCACCATATAATTGGAATCAACCTAATCATCAAAACCCTGATGAGGAGTCACAATCCAAACCAAGGGAGACAACCTATAATCCCCATTTACAGAGGGAAAGGGATCTCCAAAACCAGGAAAACTAAATGTTGCTGAACTCGAGGGTCAGAATTCAGCAGAAATTGAAGATAACAAAGGGCCCAATAATGTAACAATAAGTAATATTAATGATGATAAACATGGATTTTTTATTAATGCAAATATAATGGGGAAATTTATATCCTTACTTGTAGACACTGGAGCTAATGTGTCTATACTTAGTACGCAATTTATGAAAACATTAGGGGCTTTGGATGAATTAAATATAAAGCCTGTTAATCTTAACCTGGTAACTGCCACTGGCGAAAAGAAACCGTTCCATGGTAAATGCTGGATCGATATAACCCTTGGTACTCATAGGATAAAACATGAGTTTTTAATAGCTGATATTACACAGCAAGGAATTATTGGCATTGACCTACTTACTTCCAATTCAATAAATATATTTCTCGACAGGAATTGCCTGAATATTAAAGGAGATGATCTACCATGCTATAGATTTCAAAGTTCTATGGAGCAAACTTGCAGTAGGATTTGCATGAATGAGGATATTACTATACCCGCTAATAGTGAGACTTTTGTCTTTGGGATCTTAATGGATCCGATACCTAGAAGTGGTGTCGCAATTGTCGAACCTACTGAGAATTTTCTGGAAAAGACAGAACTGTTAATGGCAAAAAGTGTTGTTAACCCTAGCTCGGGGTCTGTGCCCGTACGTTTAATGAACGCTACCAACACAGAAATAAGAGTCCGAAAAAACACAATTATTGCCCGTATTGACACAGTTCAGCTGGTCTCAGAAATGAAAAGTAATATTCCCATTAATGAAATAGACACTAATCAATCTCCTGCATTGGATTCAGACATCCTTCCTGATTTATTTGATGGAAGTTTATAATAATTCAATAGATGAATTAACTGAGAACGAGCAACGTTCATTCAAATCCCTTTTGTTAAAATACAAACATACCTTTTCCAAAGATTCATCTGATACAGGCATCACCAATGAAGCTGAGCATTGGATTAATACTGGTTGTGCCCTACCAATTCGTCAGCATCCTCGTCGCGTCCCCCTGGCAAGCAGAAAAGAGGTTGAATTGGAAATAGAAAGCATGGCACAGAAAAATATAATAGAAAAATCTGATAGTCCTTGGTGTTCTCCTGTCGTTTTAGTTAAAAAGAAAGACAATACACTACGGTTCTGTATTGATTACAGACGTCTAAATGATGTCACCATAAAAGATAGTCATCCATTACCTCGGATTGACACTACTCTTGATGCCTTGTCTGGTTTCTCTTGGTTCTCAACGATTGACTTGAGATCGGGATATTGGCAAGTCAAGATTGCCGAACAAGATAGGCCCAAAACTGCTTTTTCTGTACCCGGATGTGGACTGTGGCAGTTCAAAAACATGGCATTCGGATTGTGCAACGCGCCGGCCACGTTCAAAAGACTGATGGAGAAAGTCTTAGCTAACTTATCATGGGAAATATGTATGGTGTACCTGGATGATATCATTATCTTTGCAAAATCCTTTGACGAGCACTTATCCAATTTAGAAAAAGTCTTCCAGAGGCTCCAACAAGCAAACCTGAAAATGAATCCAAAGAAATGTTTTATGTTTAAAAAACAAGTATCATTCTTGGGTCATATAATTAATCAGGATGGAATTACCACTGAATCATCTAAAACAGACGCAGTACGCAATTGGCCTATTCCTCAAAATGTTAAAGAGGTCAGACAATTCCTTGGGCTATGCTCATACTACAGGAAATTTGTCAATAAGTTTGCAGATATCGCTAAACCCATTCATAAACTAACAGAGATAAGAACTAAATTCCAATGGTCCGATGAATGCCAATCTGCCTTCGATAATCTCAAAGAAGCTTTAACCAGTCCGCCTATACTTGCATTCCCTAAATTAGAAGGTCATTTTATTTTGGACACTGACGCATCCAATAATGGTTTAGGTGCTGTGCTCTCACAAACACAAGATGGTGTAGAAAGAGTGATAAGTTACTATAGTAAAGCTTTTAGTAGAACGGAGAGGAAATATTGTGTAACCAGAAGAGAATTACTAGCAATTATAAGTTCAGTGAAACAATTCCACCATTATCTCTATGGTCAACCGTTTACAGTCAGAAGTGACCACGGTGCATTAACATGGCTTATAAATTTTAAAAATCCTGAAGGACAACTTGCTAGATGGTTTGAGTTCCTGTCTTCCTACCAATTCATCATTCAGTACAGGGCAGGACGAGTACACAATAATGCAGATGCACTATCTCGACGACCATGCATAGTTGACTGTCTCCACTGTACCAAAGCGGAACAGAGATACGAGCATAGTATTATCGAAGATCCACGTACCTCCAATGAAAACCTTAATGTTTTGGCTTGCACAAGTGCTCCAATAGACCAATTAAACAAAAATCCATTATCTTCCTCTTCCCTTCCTGAAAATATAAATAAAGAAATAAATATATATGACGACAAATTAATAATCAACCTACAGTTGGGAGACCCTACACTCCATGAAATAATCCAGTGGGTTAAGCATAACGATAAACCTTCGTGGCCAAACATATCGGACAGAGATCAGCGCACCAAATACTATTGGATGCGGTTCGAATCCCTTTTAATTGATCACGATCGGTTATGCTATATCTGGGATAAGGGGAAAGGCCAAGATCCAGCCATCTTAATTATTCTCCCTCATATCCTGAGAAATTCTGCATGGTCCCAACTTCATGAACACAGAATAGGGGGTCATTTAGGCTATAAAAAAACATTATCTAAGATCAAAAACCGATACTTTTGGTATCAAATGCATAATGACATAAGGAAATGGTGTGAGACTTGTGATATTTGTGCCTCTCGCAAATCCCCTGCCAAGGTAGCCAAAGGCCCTTTAAAAACCTACAACGTGGGTTTACCTATGGAAAGATGGGCTATAGATGTCCTGGGTCCATTACCGGAAACAAAGCATGGAAATAAATACCTACTAGTGGCAGCCGATTATTTCTCTAAATGGGTTGAGGCTATGCCAATACCTGATCAAAGAGCTATAACAATAACCCAAACCTTTATTGACCGAATTGTAACAATTTTTGGTACCCCCATGCAAATCCATTCCGATCAAGGACCAAGCTTTGAGTCTGAGGTGTTCCAAGAAATGTGTAAAATTTTAGATACTGAGAAAACTCGAACCACCCCCTATAGACCCCAATCCGATGGAATGGTTGAGAGGGCCAATCGTACCATAAGTGCCATGTTGTCAGCATTTGTAAATATTAATAAAAATGATTGGGATGACCACATATACTTACTCATGTCAGCGTATCGTTCTGCAGAACACGAATCACTGGGCGTTTCTCCATGTGAAATGGTCTTCGGCCGCAACATCCGTCTTCCAGTAGATCTCATTCTCGGATCAGTGGAACCTACAAATTTAAAAATAAAGTCAGACTATGCTTTTGACATACAAAATAAAATAGAACGAATACATAGTTTTGCTAGAGGGCGTTTAAAACAAGCCACGGCAAACATGAAAGTTGATCACGATAGATCTATTCAATTAAATCCATACAATGCCGGCAGTCCTGTATGGTATTATAACCACAAATACAAAGGTGGAGGTTCAAAGTTAAGGTGTCCATGGGAGGGACCCTACCTGGTGACAAAATGTCTTAATAATGTAGTCTATAAAATACAAAAATCCCCAAAGACCCAACCTAAAATGGTCCACCATAATCATCTGAAACCGTATACGGGAAATAATATACCCAATTGGTTAAAGATGTCATAAATTATCAACTCTTTATTTTTATTTTTTTTTATGGGTGTAAACTATGTATGAACGCAGAATTCGCCAAATATCAGTATGCGGAGAGGCACGTCACTTCATGTCATAGTAACTTTGGCTATCAGTGCACGCACTGTTTTGGACTGGCCGCGAGAGCAGACGTAAAACATCCAAAATGTCCTGGAACTGCCAGGATGAAACTGATCAATAAAGCAACCATGACCTTCAATCAAAACGACGAGGATGAATATAAAGCTTTCTGTGGAAGGAGAAGGGCATTAATAATAACACGACAATCTTTACCTACAGATAAGCATCCACAAGCCCCGTTTCGAAAGCGTACAATACCAGAAAAACCATACAATGGGATGAAGCACCTGAAACTATCGATTGACCCGCCTGCCCCACCTATTCAGTCAAATAAAAATTATATTCATCCTAAAGTTAAATTACCAGTTCCTACAATACCAAAAATTACATTAAAGAAGATACCCGATACCGTACAGAAGACATCAGCTGCATCAGACAAGACATCGGTTCCTTTACAGAAAAAACCAATTTCGTCAGAAAAAACACCAGTGTTGTCAGAGAAATCACCAATTTCACCAGAGAAGACGAAGACACCAGTTTCCATAATCCAAGATCTACTTTTATCATCAATATCGTCATCGTCGTCATCATCATCCTCATCATCATCATTGTCATCCGTGTCGAAATCTAATAATAATTGTAACAATAATAGTAATACAATTAACCCAGCCATTCCTGGGGCTGTTGCCTTACACCCCCACAGTAGCAAACTCCAATCCCCCACGTACATCCCTACGAACAGAATAACCTTAAAACTGAAATCCTTTCAAACCGCCCAGGACAACCGTATTGCGTTAAATGTTGGAGGCACCCTATTTTACACAAGCAATTTCATTTTAAGCAAAGACCCATCCTGTATCCTGGCCAAGATGATAACCCCTGACTCCCCTTTTCAACCCTACAAACAAGACAACTATTATAGTTATTATTTTTTAGACCGTAGCCCTGATCATTTCCCCATTATCTTAGAGTACCTTCGAAATTTAAACTCCCCCATATCTTTTAAACATTTGTTACCTATCCAAGGTCTTAAACTCGCTGCCATAATCCAGGAAGCGAAATTCTATGAACTAGATGCCTTACTAGAAGTCACTAAAGAAAAAATGAGCGAATATTAATGTATTATACCTGTTATTAAAATCTTGTTATAAAATTATGTTAATTCCATATTATAATATTAATGCTCTTATCATTGTGAATTTTGTTATCATTATAATAATATAAACATATCTAATTCAAAATTGTAATTAACTTAAATGTAATTTTCAAGTGAGGATGTTAAACTTTAACATATATGAAATTGTATATACTATTTTTACTCAATATTATTACCCCGTATATATGTTTATAATATAATATTATATTGAGCCACTCACCTGTATTAAAATAAAAATTAATCTTGTGGCAATAATATCCACGTTTACCACTGCAGAAGTGAGTTGTTCTTTCCTTATTTCCAGTCATCACATGGAAGATAACATTGGCAAAGTCAATCACGTCAGAGTCAGTGTGTGTTGGATAACCGTTTTAGCGTTCGGTACGAACTTCTCCGAGGAAGCGGGCAATGTTGCGGTCCAGGCGATTCCAGTCTTTCGCACGTCGTTTCCGACTGAGAGTGTCAAAAAATGAGACCAGCTCCCTTGTTCACGCCCGAAACACATTTATATAACAATGTCATACCCGATATCCATCTTGTCCTTTTCACATAATTATATTTATAACATTCCCGTTAGGCCGATGAATTGACACAAATCAGTTAGCGAAACAAGCGACATCAAACAGCCGGCGGCCATGACACTTTGGCGCGGTCAAGGCTATAACGTCGTCATTGTTAGTAACGCTCGCATTGATTGGTCGACAACTGACGTCATCGGAATCCCCTTATAAATAGAAGCAGACGACAAGGAAATCCTTGTGGACACTCGGTGCACTCGGGAAAGCTCCTTACGTAATTGGCAGCAATCCAGCTATTTTAAATTGGATATGGATCACCAAAAATGGGTAAGGAATTAATATCCTAGCTTTGGCTGTGGTAATTTATCCATAACTGGTCTCCTATTTAAAGACTCATAGGTTGGTTTAACCGTGACTGGCTTGATCCAAGATAGGCCTAGATAGTTGTGGTTCACCCATTCCCCCAAGTCTTACCAATTCCTTATGTCACCAAATCTCCGATTTAATCCCGTCATATCCACCGGCCTGACAGGGCAAATGTATTTATTTACCTAATTCCTGTTTCCATACCTGGCAATTTATCCAAAGGGTTGGCGTCTCACCCAAATTATCTCCCCTTAATGCGATGTATCCCAATTATAAATTGATCCAAATAAAGATGTTTATTTTTATCTACACCCCAGTTTGTTACTTCTTTCGATCGAAGTGCTAGGCTGGAACGAACCCCTAAAAAGTCTCTAATAAATGTTGAGGCGCTACAAGTGTTCTTGGAATTATAAGTTTTCTTACTTGCTAAAGAAGGACACTCTTTCAGATTTCGTGGTAGTTTTTACCAGAGTTTTGGTCCCGTTAAAACGAAAGCTCGGTCAGTAAAGGTTATATAAACGGATAAAGATTTCGGCATAACCAAACAGGCAGTATATGTGTTAATGTAGATCTATTACTAATTATAAAATACGAATTCCTTGCGGGAAAGTATGGCGTAAAAAGATGTTTTCCTTTGGAAACCTGGTGTTTCCAATAGAATGTTATCAGAAAATCGTGGAGGAATTGAGGGAAAAATCGCGGGAAATTGAGCAAATTAATGTGAAATCTTAGCGATTTCTTATTGTTTTTTCCCTCGGTGTTTGCACAGTTTGGTCCAAATAATTTGGGACGAACTGTACATGGGATATGTTTAGCCTCGTTCATTGAGTTGCTTCATACAACTGGTGCTCGAAAAAATTGTCGCACACGCTTCGTGCACCAATTTAAATGGAGAATACTACTGCAAAAAGTTCTTTTAATATGAAAAATAATGTTAATAATAGAATATTTTTGGGCCTGCAAAATTTAAAAAAACCCGAATTGGCAAAAAACCTTGAATTGCCATTTATGCATATCTGCAGCCTGGTTTTGAATTTTTTCCGTGAGAGACAACAGACGTTGCGAATTTCCCTATAGAAGGCTATTGCAACTGAGCACTGCATCCTGTCAATTTGACTAACTGGAAGCATAAACATGGTCAACTGCGTTGTTTGGGGATTCACCAACAATAAATCAGGAAGTATGTGTCATTTTTCTAAAAATTCCAAGCGAAGCAACATGTAGAAAGGTCTGAGCACAGTGATGTCAACGAGACGCAAAGGGCTGGTCACCATTAAAACATGCTTCTCTTTGTTCGAAGCATTTCAAATTTGAGTTACATGTATCTACTTACGAATGTGACCAGTGAAATTTTAATAATATTATTATGTTGATCAAGATACAGCAGTTATGTTATCTTTCTATGTTAAAAGTTTTAACTTAAAGTAGCTTAGTCTCTAACTCAATATCATCCAAAATCTTCGACATTGAAAACACAATTTATTTGTTTAAATCAACATTGATGTTGTGGTCTTACCTGGAAAAGATGGGCTTCTGATATCCAATATTTAAAACAAAATAAACATTTTACAATTGGTACATGAATCGTGTACCATAATGCGTTTCAACGCTATTTGTAATAAGGGACTCGAAAAACGAGGCTAGGCATATTCCACAAGTCATGTCAAACGGTGACGCTATATTCTTATCTGGAGAGCATTCCAAATAAATACTATCGGCGTAGACTGGAATAACCAGAAGCTAGAGATTGAAATTCGATTGAGAATACTGGCGTATGTCGCCGAACCTAACTGATTAGAAATTACAGTAAAAACAGAAACGATTGAATATAAATCTATTTATATACATTCATATTACATTATTGTATGCGTTGCGACCCTTTTGTGTCAATTTCTAGGTCCCAAATATTAGCGACTTAGCCCCTTTAAAACTGTGCATACATGGACATGTAGTTCTTTTGTTAAACTGACACGCTTTCAAAATCTAGCAATAGAAATGACTGATGTAACCATAGCAACAAAATGTAAACAACACAGCTAGGTAGCCTAAATACATGTACTAATGTAAATTAATCTCCTCTTTTCGAAGCATCTGCCACATCAGTGGTTGGAGAGAGAGAGAGATAAATGGGGTTTAACGTCCACTCGACACAAACTAGTTCATTTCGGGACTAACATATGGTTTAATTTTATTTCAATAATTTGCCTGTGCGTAGGGGTCTTTAGCAGTGGGAGCAAACCGGAGGACCCGGAGTCAGTAGTAGGCCTATGCTGATGATTTTGCAGTTGATCATAGATAGTTCTATATGTAGGAAGTTTGTTACATGTAGATTTAACTAGGTAAATGAGCGTGATAGATATTTTTTCAACAATAGGCCAGCTATACGTGACCCTCGTTTTTCAGTTTTTGCATAAAGAAAATAGGCCAGAGCATGCAATACTGTATTAAATTATGGTTAGGGTAAAGGTATTGCAATTAACAGTTTTTCTCTTATATATTTTCGCCAATGAAGTGTGAACATCAATAAATGAAGCAAAAAGATATATTTTCACCAATGAAGCGTGAACATCAATAATGAAGCGAAAAGTTATCGAGAATCATTTGTCATCAATGAACTAATTGTAAATGATAAAAAATAAACTTTTACTATAGCATTCTACTTTAAAATGTTGATTTTGTCTTAAATATTGGATATCAGAAGCCTATCTTTTCTTGGTAAGATAACCACATCAATGTTGATTCCCACTGGCCAATAAGGCGTGTTTGCAATGTTGAAGACTGTGAATAATACTGAGTTTATAAACTTGGCTCCTCGTGTTTTATCAAAAATTGACTGATAGTGAAAATTTTGAAGTGGAAGTCCTGGTAATATTTCCATATCATTTAATATTAAATATTAAAAATGAAATATAATTCATTACGTTTCCACAACAAGGATATTAATATTGCGATTTATCACCTAAATGATCGAAATATAGTTTTTCTAAAGGATTTTTCTATAAAAATATAAAAAAAAAAAATTCTTACATGTATGCACAAAATCAACATTTTAAATAAGAAATTGACTGTATGTTTCATATTTTTCCGGATTTTAATTGGTAACATTTTTATATCATTAAATATCATAATTCCTTATTTTGATATCATTAAATCTAATTTCTTATCTTTACACAACAAGGAAAACCATAGTGATCGAACTATAAAAGGTTTTTCATCAGTATGTTTTCTAAAAGTACTACCAGTCGTCGTTGTTTGTATTTCAGAGGAGAGCCAAAAAACAAGCTCGCCTCAATCAACGAATTGAAAAAATCGCTCCCCCCTAAAAACTCTCCCAGTTTTGATAAAAATGATTTAGAAATTAAGGAGAGTGATTTGATATTAAGGAGAGTGATTAGTTACATTGTATGTGAATGGGAAATGTTTCAAAGATCAATAACTGCATGTAATGGGGTCATTCCTGGTTTCATAAATGATAATAAACCCCCAATGACTATGTAAAGGAGAGCGATTTTCAGTTAGTTATAAGGGGAGGGAAAAAAAAACCCTGTCGATCGACATTCAGGTAAGCAGCAGGTGCTCAAGAGCAATAGCTCGCCTTAAAAAACAACGACTGTACTATAAACATAACATTCACAAGGCTTATCCCATATGGATTATCCTGTGTCTGTACAAACATCAAATTTATACGTTTTCTCCCACATGGATTATCGTTTCGTGTATGATTTACAAAACACATTACATTGAAAAGTTTTTTATCCAGTACGAGTTCTCATCTGTTTCTGAACAGTATCTTTCTCAGAGTGAATAAATGACTACACACATCACATTGAAATGGGTTTCAGTCCAATATGAATTCTCATGTGCTTCCAGTAAATGATTTAATACTACAAACATCACATTTATGAGGTTTCTGCCATATGAACTATCATGTGTTTCCGTAGACTACCTCGTTCAGTATATACTTTACTACAAACATCACATTTAAAAGGCTTTTCACCGGTGTGAGTTCTCAAATGTCGACGAAGATTACCTTGTATGGGAAATGATTTATTACAAATATCACATGTATAGGGTTTTTCCCCTGTATGGATTTTCATGTGTCTCTGCAAAGAACCTTTCTCTGTGAATAATCGACTACAAACACCGCACTGAAACGGTTTTTCACCCGTATGAATTCTCATGTGGTTCCGTAGAGTACTTTGTTCACTATATGACTTATTGCAAACATCACATTTAACAGTTTTTTTTACAGTAGGAGTTTTTTTCGGTTTCTGAAGTTTAGTTTTCTGTGTTAATGATCCACAATTAGTTCTCACGTGTTTCAGTAGACTACATCTTTGTCTAAATAATTTACTACAAATATCACATCTGTATGGTTTTTCACCAGTATGAATTCTCATGTGTTGCTGTACACCAACAGAACTTGAAAATAATTTACTACAAACATCGCATTTATAAGGTTTTTCGCCCGTATGGGTTCTCTTATGATATTGCAAACCTTGGCTAAAACTAAACGACTTATTACAAACATCACATTGATAAGATTTCTCGCCAGTATGGATTTTCATATGCCTGTATATATGACTACTCTGTAGAAATGATTTACCACAAACATCACATTTATATGGCTTTTCACCAGTATGAATTCTTTTGTGGTTTTGTAGGCCACCATCATAAAGAAATGATTTACTACAAACATCACATTGATAAGGCTTCCCTCCAGTATGGCTTTTCATGTGACTATATAGATGAATACGCTGTATAAATGATTTACTACAAACATCACATTTATAAGGTTTTTCACCTGTATGAATTCTCATGTGTTTTTGTAGGTCAGTATTATGACGAAACGGTTTACTACAAACATCACATTTAAAACGTTTTGCTACAGCATGACTGTCAGCTGATTGTAGGCCTACATCACTATCATTATCAGCTTTCATCTCTTCTTCAACATGTAATTCACAATGTTTCTCTAAATCAGTATCCGATTTAAATTCTTCTTTACATAAATTACACTGATGAACTGTTTCAATATCTTCAGTTTTCTCTTCTTTAACATGACAATATTCATCTACATCATCAGTTTTCTCTTCTTTAACATGGCAGTATTCATCTACATCATCAGTTTTCTCTTCTTTAACATGGCAGTATCCATCTACATCATCAGATTTCTCTTCTTTAACATGTATTTTATTGTGATTTTCTAAATCATCAAGTTGTTGAAAAATCTCATCACACACAACACACTGGTGAAATGTTTTAACATTAGTTTCCTGTAATATATAAAAGTTATAACATCATTAGTTTCCTGTAATATATAAAAGTTATAACATCATTAGAATCCTGTGTTAAATGTCCATATTATGTGTTAGATGTACACATTATACGCTCTCATAAATTTACTGTAGAAATTGCTAAACATTTACATAAACTGTATAAATAGAACATTAGTTGATAAATAAGTTTATTGATAAACTGTTTTAAATCAAACTAGTTGCGTAGGATGCCTTTTGTGTTTACAAATTAATTAACTTAAACCTTGAACATTACATTGGTTATTACTAGGGCTGGAAACCATTTTGGCAATATCGATATCGATATATCGGAAAATTTGTAGATCACATCAAAGGTTTAGGGGTTGTAACTTTGATGTGATATACAAATTTAGTGATTCCAGTAATTAGTTCAAACTATATATTCATTGGATACCTACTTTTGGGAAGCCAATTAGACTTTTTTGATAACTTTCTTGATCAATAAAACTTTACATCAAAGAGGCCGACAACAGTCATTGTTAGGAAAAGTGACTAGACAGGTGGCGTAAGCCGGTGAAATTCAGTAGCTAATTAGGTCGACGCCTCGCGAAAGTAGGACCGAATGAGTTAACATACATTTTGCAGAGTATCACCTGTTGACACCAACAACTCAATGTTTTGGCACGTTTTTTGACCATGTGACGCACCGTTTTGCGCATTGCGGAGTGATTTATATTGTATGACACTGTGCTTTAAGGATTGTTAATTTAGATCATAGTTCCAAACTCTAGCCGGTAATAACTAGGGCTGGCGAAAAATATTGATATAGCCGATAATCGTCGGCAACTACGGAAAAATATCAATATCAATATCGACACTCGTATAAAAAATAAAGGAGCTTCAATAAAATGAAATTAACGGAATGATTTGTTCAAATAATCGCCGTCATATCATTCAAAAGTAAAAGTAAAAACACAAACACTAGACAATGTACAACCACTGCGCCGGTAATTTTTGGCGTCGTTTACAATAATGACAATGAATAATTAATTAATTGTTCAGGGGAAATAACTCGATTTTAATAGAAATTTATTTATTGCTATAAGCGGCCGAGGAAAATTGTCAACAGCAATACTAATACTATAAGATAAGCTGTGAACGAAACAAACATTAAGAAAAGATAGTTTGAGGATCATAGTTTCTTTTTTTATTTGATAAATAACACATTTAAATGCATTATTAGCATACAAACAGTTATTTCTTTCAACTTTAAATTTTCCGATATATCGATATCGATATTGCCAAAATGGTTTCCAGCCCTAGTAATAACCAATGTAAGGCTGACCTTAAAAATATCTTTGTTTCGCCTAACGCGACCGACTAACTAAAACCACCCCCGACTTAAATTATTTTATTGCACTTTTCCGCAATCTTTTTATTTTATTTTGTGTGTCAACCTGAAATATATCACGAGAGTTTTTTCCCTTTACTATGGCTATGGTTTGATTCATTATTGAAACTGGTTGATCAAGACGAAAGCGTCATAGGTGTCGCTTCTCAACAAAATGGTTGCAGACAAAAGCACGTCTATTCCCACGAAATGATTCTGCCTCTATGTCTGTGGGGCGTCGTTTTAAACATGACGACGATATTTTCAATATCCGTTTTCGAGAAAAATAAAGGCACAACCCGCACGATCGTTAAAAACGTGTTGAGGGAGTTTCAAACGTGAGTTTGTCGCAATTTGTGTGCGAGTCGTGCATCAAGAAAATTCCCGATGTCATTGATTTGTTTGCCAATAAGAAGACGAATGTTTGCACCCGGAAAATTATCAAGCTGTCAAATTAGCTCTTAAAAAAAAAATCTTAAAAAAAACCTGACCTACCGACCCTTCTCCTCGATTGTGGGTCGGGTTTGGTGAAACAAAGATATTTTTAAGGTCAGCCTAATGCTCAAGGTTTAAGTTAATTAATTTGTAAACACAACCGGTTTCTTCCCACTGCTAAAGACCCCTACGCGCAAGCGAATTATTGAAATAAGATTAAAACCATATGTTAGTCCCGAAATGACCTAGTTTGTGTCGAGTGGACGTTAAACCCCATTTCTCTCTCTCTCTCTCTTTTGTAAACACAAATACACAAAAGGCATCCTACGCAACTAGTTTGATTTAAAACAGTTTATCAATAAACTTATTTATCAACTAATGTTCTATTTATACAGTTTATGTAAATGTTTAGCAATTTCTACAGTAAATTTATGAGAGCGTATAATGTGTACATCTAACACATAGCATGGTGAAACACAGTGGATTCTTAGAGAAACACGGTGGATTGCAAGCAAATCTTAGAGAAAAATCGTTGCGAAAACATGCGAAAATTCAAGGGAAATCAGAGAATTGTGAGCGATTTTTTTCGCCGCAATTTTGGTAAAAAAAATTTGGAACAAACTGTATATGATCCGCGACATCACTCACTATATTTTATGTTTTCCCTTTATTGGTTAATTAGTTGCTACTTGTTTTTGTATATAAACCTTCTGTATATCAGCGACATCACTCACTATATTTTATGGTTACCCTTTTAAAGATACACAGGGGGGTTGGATGGCCGAATGGTTAGCACGCGCGCGCTGCGCTGTATCATACGGTCTGTCATTGAGTCAAATGGCGGGGTTTCGATTCCCCGGTTGTACGTGACAAGGAGTAAAGTCGCCTGTCCAACCTCATGGGTTTTCTCTGGGTCCTCCGGTATACCCCCACTACTAAAGACCCATACGCGCAAGCGAATTATTGAAATAAATTTGAACCATGTGTTAGTCCCGAAATGGTCTAGTTTGTGTTGAGTGGACATTAAACCCCATTTCCCTATCTCTTAAAGATACATTCCCGCGTACAAACTGGGTGATTTGATGATATATTTTATGGTTTCCCTTTTAATTATTTTCTGTTAGATGTATTCATTATTTTGTTAATTACATGTAGTTACTACTTGATTTTGTATATAAACCTTTGGTGAAAGCAGATGTTAAACATACATTATGCAAGAGCTAAATCTGCCTATTGCATGTCTTTCTTTAGACCTGATATGTTTTCTAAATTATTAATTAGACATTAATTAACTTATCCAGGCCATAATCAATTCTCAATGGCATCGGATTTCTCTGATATTAAATAGATTAGAACAGTTCAGCCATATTTTGATTTAAGCTAAAAATGGAGGAGCGAGACTTAGCTTCGAACAACCAGTATGTACAGTGGTTGGAATTATTGTACACGTCTTGTCAAACCTTCAAAGGCTAATATCTGCGCTCGCAATAGCGTAATTTGAATTAAATTCTCACATTATTCATTTTACATTATTGATTTTCGAACTATTATAGCACAAATGGCTAGCTCTATAATATCTAAATTCAACATAATGTATCTTTAAATAAAGCTATTTCACATATATATAAATTCATCATATTCTTTAATTATGTATTAATCGATTTTATGTACCGATTTTATGTAATAATTGTTTATGTATGTTGAAATTGAATACAAAAACTTTTGTGGTACCAGTATCAATATTGGTACCAGTATCAATATTAGAACGCTCTAATCATTCGGCCATCTGACCGATTCCATGTCATTTTGGTCCCGCATTATTTCGGACACATGGTTATCAAAAGGCTCCACCAAACTTTAAAACACTAGTTGCTCTGACGATTCTTGCTGTACTTCAAGTAACAGACAAAACTGTCAATGGTGATACCACTCAAGTTTATGTATCCAACATACATAAACAATCATTGCATAAAATCGATTAATACGTAATTGAAGTACATGTAGAATGTACAGCAAGAATGAATTTTGATTGTCTTTTTGGATCGCTAAATTCAACATGAATTATTATAAATTTGTCTCGGATGTGACAAAAAATGATTCACCGTGAAAAATAGACGGTAAGGATTCCAAAATAGCCTTAGAACCGAGATGGGAGAAGCCTTATTTTCATATTACTTGTGTATAGGATCCGTCAGTAATGAAGAAGAGCACAGCTAGCTCTCTAAGAAATGGTTCCACTACTGATGTCTTCCGCCTTACTCCAGCCACAGTAGTGGCTCGTCCTACAGAGTTCCTTTGCGCAAGTTTTTTAGTGAAATCTCTACAAAAAAGTTAGTGGCCTATAGCTCCCTTAATTTACACATAAACTGACCCAAAACAGTACTGCACCTAACTTAACATATAATAAATCAATTCCTATTGAAATAAAGGTGAAGCCTTACCGCATAATTATATGATTTGATGAAACCCAACTGCTACGCGAAATTTCAACTGGCTGGTGTCATGGCGGTTTGTGTGTAATACGTCATTACAAGAAACATCGCTATGCAAATGTAGAACGCATAAACACAAAGAAAAACTGTTCGGTAACTATTTTAGTGTCCAGTCTTCACTATTTGTCATAGAATTACTTATTCCAATACAAACTGTAATGATATGTGTTGACAATTGTGCGTGTGAACCTATTTGAACTTGCGTAAGAAATGAAATGAAATGGGGTTAAATTTCCTACTCCTAACCTGGGCTAATGAAGACGGGCATACGCCATACAGTGTGCTATCACCTACTCTTATATCGAATTTCAACTGCCAAGGGATCTTTTAAGTGCATACGGATTCGTAGACTGTATGTATCAATTGTAACGTCAAGTATAGTAACTATAGCTCTCTAAGAATTTGTTACTAAAGTAACTAGCCACCATCCAATCCCCCCCCCCCCTCTATATTGAAGAGCTACCGTATAAAGAATAATTGTAATAGTTTATTGTATGCTGGTCGAAGGGTGGATTTGATACAATAACATCTTACCATGGCAATTCTTCACGTCTGTGGTTTTAATTTTATAGTTTCTTGACTTAAGACTTAGTTGTAGAACTGTCACTTCGTCTTCCACCAAACGTTGTAAATCAATGTTGTGATAAGTACATTGATCAGAGATTTAAATGTCCGCTTCCAATCACTCGCATATCGTAGACAGTTATTTGTCTCTGGTGAACTTAGAAACCTTGCTTTCATCACAAAGACCAATTAACATAATAGCCATTAATCTAAAATCACTTCCGGTTTTACACCACAGGTTAAGGTTGTACTTCGATTCTAGACGCGGATCAACCCACCACGAAAAATTCACTGTACATTGAGTTGGGCTGCACAGTGAAAACCATTTACTGCTAGTGATTGCGGTACAGAATGATATAGAACATATAAAATAATAAAACAATGTTGTGAACTTTATTCAAAAATAAAATAATGTTGTAAATTTTATTTAAAAATAAACTTGAACTGGATTCCCAACAAAGTATTACTAAATATACACAAAGTATTATAAATGTTTTAATTATTTATTATTATCACCCAATAATACATTCTACATTAGATATCGCTTGTGTGATAAATTTCACAATCTAATCTACTGCGATATCTCCTCAGTTACGTGGTTTCCCCTTGTCAGTGATGCAGGACGGAGGGCCTGACAAGAACAGCTGTCTAGTCCTTCGGATGATACGAAAAACCGAGGTCCCGTGTAAACATTGGAATGCACATAAAAGATCCCTTGGCAGTTGGAATGCGATATAAAAGTAGGCGATAGTGCCTCTGCCCGGGCAAAATTTCCCTCATAGCACACTGTATGGCATTATGCCCGTCTTCATTAGCCCAGTACAGGAGCAGAACAGTAGGACATTAAACCCCATTTCATTTCATTTCATTTCATCTCCTCAGTTAAAAAGGAACTACTTTTTTTTTTTTTTCAAAGAACAGTTCATTTGCAATCTGAGTAAAATACAGATCTATATTTCGTTTCGTTTTTTAAACTTTCGATGGCCTACACTACATGAAGATCTGACAAGTTATAGCGATAGGTCACGTCAGGGGTCAAAAGACCGACTTATGACCTTATGATGTCAGACATTTGATTAACCAATCAGCATTGATGTTACCAGTGGATTACCCACAGTTCTGTGCAAAACACGCCTTAAGCTCGCCGTAACAGACCGTTTCATTGGCTTATCCCTGTCACCATTCAGAACACGAGTTAAATAACAACTCTTCCAGATCCAAGTGTAGTAAAGACAAGTAAAACGAAATTTTGAACTATAAAAACAAAACGAAATAGGATCTGTGTTTTAACCAGATTGGTTCATTTGTTATTAAAAGTAACTTCTTTTTTTTTTTTAAAAATGAACTATTTTTATTTAATTGACCTTGATGGGTCAATATAAAGGACTTTGCAGTGGTTGAATTGCTGTAAAAAAATGATGTATCACTACGCCGCCGTAATGTTATCAGGTTCAGTAAAAGTGAAATCTATAGCAAAGAATTATATTTATTTATTTGTGCACGTAAAAAGGATTGAGTGATAAATAATATCTCCAACTGGTCTTTTTTGATATCAAAAAATATCAAAAAAAGACGAGTAGGAGATTTTATTTATCACTCAATCCTTTCTTACATGCACAAACGGGAGGGGAAAGTGAAATGGCGGGGAAGATAAAGAGGGAGAGAGGGGAGGTGAGAGAGAGGATGGGGCAGCTGCAGACCTCTACCATCATAGCCAGGGGCCGGGTCATGGGTTCCACGTCAGCCGTATATGTCGGTCAAAATCAAGGGCTATGGAAAATAATCATAACTAGATCTGACCCATCGGTCATTTTGCACACCAGATAAAAATTGCCTTTTTCTCAAAAGCTAATTTTTAAACATGGCTTCGATCGACCTCGTTCGTTCGTTCGTTCTTGGTGTTTAACGTCTGCTTTCACATAAGTGATATCGCAGACATGACATAGGAGAGCCGAAGCTGATTCCTGTTTTTTAGAATATGATTTTGCAATCTTTCCATTTGGCCTTAGGCCATGGATTTGGTTTAGTGGGAAGTTCTTCCCTTTATTTAATATAAAAAATATCGTTTGGTAGATGATCTCGTCTGCTTCTGGATTGGTAGATGTCATCGTTTTAGTGTTTAGGTGCCAGTGGATCGACCTCCACAACATAACTATAAAATAGTGCGGCCACTGCAGAATAATGTACACGTATAGAAGCCACATAATCTCATGATTTGTGTTGTAGAGTTGTATACATAGTCGTCAACAGATTATACTGAGTGTTGTGTTGATAATTAATGATGGGTGTCTCGTAGTAGAACAATATAAGTTAATTGATATAGGGGAATCTTAGGTCCCGTGTACACATTGGCGTGCATGTTGGAATTCGATATAAGAGTAGGCAGTAGTGCCGCTGTCTGGGCAAAATTTCCCTCATAGCACACTGTATGGCGTATGCCCGTCTTCATTAGCCCAGTTCGGAGCAGAACAGTAGGTCGTTAAACCCCATTTCATTTCATTTCGAAGTTATTGTTTTACAATTTGAAATTATCTAGGTCAGTGTGTTTTCTATAAAGCATGTGTGAGCTACTGGGATGAATTTTTCTACTGCCAATTAATAAATAATTATCATAAGCCTTATTAATATTTTATTTTTAAAGCCAATATATACATTTTTGTGTACACCATGCTGACAACCGGGTATATACATTTGAAATGAAATGAAATGAAATGGGGTTTAACGTCCTACTGTTCTGCTCCTATACTGGGCTAATGAAGACGGGCATACCCCATACAGTGTGCTATGAGGGAAATTTTGCCTGGGCAGCAGCACTATCGCCTACTCTTATATCGAATTCCAACTGCCAAGGGATCTTTTACGTGCATTCCAATGTCTACACGGGACCTCGGTTTTTCGTCTCATCCGAAGGACTAGACAGCTGTCCTTGTCAGGCCCTCCGTCCTGCATCACTGACAAGGGGGAACCACGCCGGAAAATCGGGATGAACTTTCTCGGCCAATGCAGGGATCGAACACCCGACCTCCAGGCTTGCGAGCCAGCGCCTTACCCACTTAGCCACGTGGTCCCAATATAGACATTTGAATTCACGATACGTTACCGTGAATAAAAACACATGAAATATTAATTTATTTTGCAAAGAGTCTCAACTACTAAGCTAACAGACTTTAAAGACCATTTTCAGTCTGTAAGGTTGACCTATTACTATAATGTAATCATCTTCTATCGTATACAATATGAATGTTAAGCAAGCGCTTCTCTATATATAAAACCATACTCTGCTTCCCTAAGAAAATATCTGTTTCCACAATAATAAAGAGTAAATATAATTAAACACAAACTTAATTATTTCATAAATTAGTAAAAATTGTAGAGCTGGATCACCTTGCATAGTGCTTTATTAAATATAAATTATGGGATACCAGATAATGAGCTGGCAGTTCTCACTATAATAGGAGAGAGAGAGAGAGAAATGGGGTTTGACGTCCACTTGACACAAACTAGGTCATTTCGGGACTAACATGGTTTTGGTTTTTTTAAATTTTATTTCAATAATTCGCTTACGCGTAGGGGTCTTTAGCAGTGGGAGGAAACCGGACGACCCGGAGAAAACCCACGAGGTTGGACAGGCTACCCCACTCCATGTCACGTACATCCGGGGATTCGAAACCATGCCAGTCGATTCAATGACAGACTTTATGATACAGCACGCGCACGCTAACCATTAAGCCATCCACCACCCCCCCCTCAACTATAATAGGTAAAAACTAGATAATGTAAAGGGTATATGCTGAAAATTTCAGTTAAATTGATCAACGCTGAACCAAGATTTTAGCGATAGAATTTTGGGCCTAGCCTCGATCATAATTACTAAAGTCGGTAAGATAAAAAAACCATAGTGTTGATTATCCATTTCATGATTAAAAAATCATGAATGAAAGTTGAACAGCAAATCAGAACCTAGATCAATACATATCGCAGGCTAGCGATGACATCAATAATTGATTATGGTCTGGATAAGTTAATTAATGTCTAATTAATAATTTAGATAACATTTCAGGTCTAAAGAAAGACATGCAATAGGCAGATGTAGCTCTTGCATAATGTATGTTTAATTAAAAATAAATCAATTAAATACAATAAGCTGTATCATGTTCATAGTGCTTTAATTAAAATTGTAACATGGATAGGAAATCTTTCTTTGTTCTTTTCGTTGAATAAGCAGATTGTTTTCCCTCTAGTAGATTGGTTGGAGCTTAACCGTGCAGTCACTAGACATGTACAATGTTATTGGACACTTTTGCTGGTTTACACTAGTTTTAGTAGAAATCATATAGAGAAGTGGGGTGGGTTTTCTGTGCAATAACAATATGCATGATGAGCAGTTGGCAATGTTACAAGTCATTTATAGCACACTTCATTCGTTAACAGGTTTAACCCCTCAGCCTTCGGCCTCTGATTAAACCTGTTAACTCATGAAAGCCATGCTATAAATATAACTTAAATAAATTAAATACAATGGTCTTTAACATAATACTACATTACACTCTTCATTTAAACAAGATTGGAGCAGAACAGTAGGACATTAAACCCCATTTCATTTAAACAAACAATTCATATCAAATATTTCCATGCATCATAAATCACACAGGATCGGTAAGTCATGTGTCAATTTCATATTAATCAAGACTAAATATAATTAAACATAAAGTTTATAATTTCACAATTTATTAAATATTCTAGAGCTAGATCACGTTGCACGAATATAAAAACATAGTCTCCCTCCTTAATATCTTTTTTCATAGTAATAAACAGTAAATATAATTCAACACAAAGCTGGATCATGTTGCATAGTGCTTTATTAAGCAAAATAAATAAAATAAATACAATAGGCTTTAATATAATACTAAATTACACTCTTGATTTAAACAAACAATAAGCATCATACATTTTCATGTATCATAAATCAACGGGAACGGGTATGCCTCGTAATCCCGCCAAATGGAATCACACTCTGGGACTATATTCTTACGCTACAGTTCTTTGCAAATATATTTTCTAAAGGTGCATGCTGAATTACCAGATCGCGTGTAATATATATTCTACAAATTAGGGGATTATTTGATATGTATTCATTCACCAAGTGAATGAGTTTTATAAAGGTGGTGAATTACTCCTTGGATATAAACGGATAA